ATTTGTGTGTCATATTTCAGATTATTTAACAGATTCATTATCCATTTGTTTATTTCTGAACAGTCGAAAAGTAAGTGCGTCTAGACGGGATCCTTCGGGACCTAGATACGACAAGAAATACCTGGTGTTTGGTGAAAAGGTGGAAGAGGGAAGGTATGAATATTATTACCTGTAAAGTTTGTTCAGTTTAGTAAATTGTGTAACGTAAAAAGTATAACGACACGAGCCAAATAGCCCCAAGTTGCCCATGCCTCATGAGCTCATTACGGTTTCCGAAACAGTATTGCTGCTCCTCCCCCTTCCCCCCGTGTAAGATGAAAGTTCATCGAAAGTCACCACCAACGTTTGGTCAGGTTTTGCCCACAGTTGACTGTTATCCATTTATACTCCTGGGTGGAGAGAGGTAGCACATAATGAAATAGATGGGGCCCAATCTTCCTAGAGCGGGGCCCGGCTTGTCTGTCCACGTATTACCTGTGTGGGCTTGAGGCGTGGAAAAAAACTCAAATCTACGCTTTTCTTCAGGTACCAACAATGCAGTAGTCGTTTGGATAATCGAAGAAAATTTCAAATCAGTCAAAGAATGAAGTACTTCCTTGCCCTACTTAGGTGTATTTACAAGTGTGATTTTGTCTCGTCCTAGACACTTTATGGCGCGTATCAAAAACACATTGAGGGAAGGCCTGGAGGGTTTATTGGCTACTTCTGAGGTATTTGTGAATTTTACTCTGGCATATTTACTCGAATCTTTAACATTAACTAACATTTTCCACTTTTGTATTCCATAAGATGTATTATCGCCAGAAAGGCCAACGGACTCCAACGCGGCCCCAGGCTATTCATGAAAATTTCGATCTGTGCGCTGAAGCATTGGTTCAGCGGTTGACTTCTTATAAGACTCAGGCCGAGGAATATCACAACTCGTGTATTCAAGGTGAGGAACAATGGGAGTAAAAAAAAGAGGTTGAGAGTGTTTTCAGCCACGTATTGAGTTACGGTCAAGGGTTTCTTCGACGTAAGTTACTGATCGAAAATCCTTTCCTAAACCATGGTTAATTTTCAAGTTACACCTTGCTGTCAAGCTTCACAGATGGAATGGACTGCAGATGTCTCATTTTGCTCCGGGCTTGTTGCTTGTCTACCCGGCGGAAGAAGTATGGGTCACCGATAATCATCTGTTAAGCCATTTCTAAATTTCACTAGTCATTTCTAAACTAAACAGGCAACGCAGAAGAATTTAGAACTAGTTGTCGATGTTTTTTTCGGAGATACGTCTATGGTTGTTGTTGATGTTCTTTTTTTCATGTTATTAATTTTTTAACAGAACTTCGCGCGCAGATGCAGAAGTTTTCAGTAATTTTAGTTCACCTCCCGCCACTTGTGGTGCAGATAATAGTCGCTGATCAGCTCAGGGACTTGGCCAAAGAGAGGAAAGAATTAGAGGAAGACTATGAAGTCAGAGTTCAAGAACTAGAGAAAAGAAAGGTAAAGTAACATAAAAACTGCTCGCGGCTATCATAAGAAATTTACTTGATCGCTGACAGCGTACCGTACTTCACAGTAGTTGCTAGCTTTCATTGTCTTGCTTTTGGCAGGTCTGCCCTCTTTCCTTATCCAAGAAATCTCCTAAGAACCATACAAAAAGGAAAATTTAAGCTCGCTACACGAGTTGTGAACATGCAGAACTAGAGTTAAATGTATCATTTAGCCATCCCCCCCCCCCCCCCCTGTTTGCTGTTGTTATTGATCTCTTTTTTCCTTGGGAGAAATGTTTGCGTGACGAGTGATATTCATTTGCTCGCACGTTTTGCAGAATTTACATCAATCTCAACTGCGACCATCTCTGGGCCATCCACACAACAGAACCGAGATGGACACCCTGTGTAGCAGCGAGGAGAGAAGAAGACAAGAAGCCTTGGATGGAGCTAAACAACATGCAGAAGCATTAGCGGTCAGTTATCAGCAATCCCTTTGATGCTCAGTCGTGATTAGAGCGTGCACAGTTTATGATAAAATCAGAGAAGGTTGCTCATTTTTAAGCCACTAGCGTGTAATTTTGTAACTGAGAAAAGAGGATAGGTAACGAGAGAGGATCAAGTTTAGAAGACTAACTTTCCAATTAAAGACCTTAGGAGTTATTTCTAAGGTAACCCCTCCTAGGGCTTCACACGGAAGATCACTTCCGGTTTCTTCGACCTTAGTGGGATCTGGAAATAACCAAGCGTGTGCCATTAATGCTCACACGAGCATCCTCTGTGTTGTCTATTTTTGTTCCACTGAAGTATTTGCGCAACAAAATTTTGCTTTTCAGAAACTTGAAGCTCAGTTCGCAAGCTCGTTTATTGAGAAGCTAGCGCAGACATGTGAGACCATGTTACTACAGTTTGATGCAGTTCTCTCTCTTGAAGATGTCGAAGTGGGAAGTAAGTTGGATCAAATTTTAAAATCTAACTATTAAAGAAGCCGGAAGAAAAACAAAACAAGGCTGGTTACTGATTTATTTATTCTCCAACTTACATGAACTGCTTTGGTTTTTACAGAGGTCGAACCCAAACCGAAGAGCACCAAGAGATTGCTCAGAGAAAAATTAGCCGGTGATGAGGACGGAAAAGGTATAAAAATATATATATATATTTCTTAAGCGTATATGCGTAAATATAAATATGCTTAAAATAAACCTATCGTGAATCAAAGTTTAGTTGTTGGATAGAAAAAATCAGAACCTCAGATTTTGCTTTTGATGATGGAGTATGTTGTTGCAGATAAGTTGGCGCCTTTCCCGTCTGGTGGTACATCTTGGGAAGGACTGCCAACGAACGAACTTGTGCTGGAAGAACCGATTGACAAGAAGAATAATATCCTTTATTTATCTTAAACTAGACTGGTCAAGTTATTATTTTTTTCTTTTTTATAGTCAGGCTCTTGGAGCATGCATGAGCTTTGTATTTTTGATTGGAGGTTACTTTTTAATTACGGAAATATAAGTGGTCAGGAAGGACTTACTGTTAATACCTCAAAAAGTACCTCACTGTTTTAGTAGTACGAGAAACGCACAGAAAACGGAGGAGGTTTTTGTTTGCTCGTTTTAAATTCTTCACCAAGTAAGGGGGGAAAACCAAGTAAATCATTAATTATGCATTATGTTAGCTTTTTCGCGCTGTTAGTTTTAACACTTAGCACTGTTCTGTACAGAAATGTAGTGTAATTGATTGAAATACGACTGTAAGTGGTGAGCGTCATGAAAAGCGGTTATGTATTTTCTCTTTCATCTGTTTGAAACTTGGAAGAATAAACGGAAATTTTTCTTTAACTCTTAATCACGAACCCCTACTGTAAAGACTGTTAAGACAACGCAAGGACACCTAGCTGTGATAAAATCGCGCAACAAAGCATATGAGGTAAGACTTGATATGATATTGCAGGGTATCACAAAAGTATAAGTCAACAATATTGTTATAGCATCTACGATTATTAATTGCTCAGTTCGGCGTTAGAGTGTTCAGTTTTGATTGGAACATAGCCTTGTAAAACTGGTTGAGGCTATTTCCAAACACGATAGTCCCTGTTCTCCGTCACAAAGGCTGTTATTTGTACAGTTTGACGGTTTCAGCGGAGGTCATTATCAGGTTGTCAAGACGTATGTCACCGTTATCGACTAAATCCTTCTTCGAGACTGTTCCTATCGATCCTTTCAAAGTTCGTTCGTTGGTATTGGTTGGTATCGTTCAAATGAGTCATGTTTTAACATTTGTATTATTTACGTCCTGCAGGGTTACAAAGAAAAGTTTGATGCTCGACTGACAGCCATACGAGAAGAAATGAATGCACAGATACAAAACGAAGAACGATGGACACGTAGTTGGCAACGGTCAATCACCAAAATAAAAGAACTTTATTAAGATGGTTTCCCCCAGGAATGGTCGATTTGAGTTTGTATTTTAGAACAGTTTGTTTGTAAAAGGTTTTGTTTGACACTGCCCAAAAGATGAGTGAGCAATTAAAGTGAAAAAAAATACGCAATCAAAAGGAGAAACGTCATGGAGGATGTAAAAAAAGTTAACCAGAAGTTTTCGAGCTTGTCATTCGTTATTGCTGTCTATTTTCATCATCCTTATCCATGTACGGTCCTCCTTGTTTTCCTCTTTCATCTCTGACGTTTATCTCCAAACTAAACCTTTTATTCCAAGATCTACTCCTTTCGCTCAAGTTATCAAGGCCACTTTCAGTACTTTTCTTTCAGAATAAGCTTTATTTGTAAATTGAGCTCCTTTACTGGTATTTATTCGATTTGAACGTTTATCTTGACTGTAAAAATGTAAATAAACTTTTCGTTTGATAGATGTCTGCCTCGAAGGTTTTATTTTTGAGGGAAAGACATTTTTTATATATCTTAATTTCTCGGAAAATAGCCATGATCGTCTGCATCACCCCAGGTGAGACAAAACACAGGAGAGAACGAATGAACGGCCAGTCTATTATGATTGGTTTTTTCGCACTAAGATATGAACCTACTCACTACCTGACAGGCTCATCTCTAGAGACGTCACCGCGTATATTTTGCTTCAGAAGTAAGTTTACGCATGACAATTCAAAACGACGACAAACGGCAAAAATGAACTGTAATATCATTCTCTCTTCATGTAATCCTTACATAAACCCCGTGGGAAAACAGAGCGAAGATCTTTGTTCACAGCTAATGGAAATATCTGCAAGTTAGTGAACAAATAAGTGAATTTGCACAAAAAAGAAGACGGTACGAAGTTCCTTCTCAGCCGTCTGCCGTTAATGCCGCTATTCTTTGTCTCTCTTTTAGCATTCATCGAAAAAGGCCAGAGACAAATGTGAGACAGTACTTCGATAAAGTCGCTCACAAAATATAGAACTGGATCCTGAAACTTGGACATCAATTTTGAATTCATACCATTCGCTCATCAGCGTAGTCTCGGGAAAAAACACTATATTGCTAGCTACTTACAGGAGCAGTAAAGCTGAATCTATGGTCACCTCCACCTCAAAACAAAGGTTTTAATGTCAATTGATAAGATAGTTGTTACATGAGCATTTTTTGAAAACTTTTAGCACGATAGCATCCTTCCTGGAATTACGGTCGAATTGCAGCGTTTGAACTATTTGCAATGTACTTGCTGGTTTGAAAATAATTTTTTTGTATTGTCTTTCACAGAGAATTCCAATGTGCTTTTCACATGGGCCTCTATGCATATATTTAGTAAACGTGATGACTATCAGCGGTTCGCGAAAAGACGTGTGCTGCTCATTGCCGTAACAAGTTCCAAAGAAACGCAATGGAACGTAAGTGAAGAATGAATATTTTTTGATTATTCCTCGAAGAGAGTTGCTCGTTACACATCGCTATTTGTAACACTTTTTGACGTCTGGTTGTACAGTGTCGTGTACAGTTTCATGCGAATATCGTTCCCCAAAAGACAGTCGCTCTCACAACATGTGAGGTTGGCCTTGATGTCTCAACTCTTTAGCTTCCACTTCTACTTGCAAGGAATACTGCCACCGGCTCCATGATATCTAATTATGGACGTAAATGAGATGAACAAGAGATAAAAACAGTCATGAGTATTTTTCAAAGTGACGATTTTGTATTGTATAATCCTTAATGGAAAATGTTGTTGAAGGAGTACAACTTCAAATTATGAACAGAAGATAGACTGACATATTGCACCATTGGTAATGGAAATCAAACATCACACGTTCCCTGTAAGCATCAATTTTAGGGTTCAAAGAGAGGGAAATCAGCTATATACAGGTCTGAACTTGGAAGTCGTACATAATTATCTTGAACTTATTTGACTGACACAAATCTTTGGTCCTGGAGGGTGGAAGGTGAAGACTTTATGCTGGTGTGAACCATACAAAATGTAACTAAAATTGGGATGAAAATGCATCATGTGCAAATCAACAAGCTCTTGCTAATTGTAGAGGTTACATTGTACATCAAAAATGTTAATAACTGGGATTCTGTGGAATCAAAGGGAGCTGTCAAAATGTGATTTTCGCTGCTTGCACTCTTGATAGCAGAGGCTCTTGCACAATAATCGCACTAAAAATTTCTAAACTTATGTTCAAATTTACAAAAGCAAAGCAAAATGAAACAAGAGCATGTAAAGTAAAGATAAAAATTCTTAGTAAGAAGTACATATACACACCCAGCAATCAATACTCTGTTTTGAATATGTCTCCACCACTCATATTAAGTAACAGTATCTAACCTCTTATCTTGTAATCATTCCTGTCCTGTGTGGATGTCCATTCCCTGACTGCCTTGTACACAGTTTCCATTGGTGCTGTGTATGTTATTCTCCCCAAAATGTCAATTTTGTCATGATATCTTCATTCTCAAGTCAAGAAAACTGACAACTTTAACCCTTTATGCTCTTAACATCAGTATGCAAATTCTCCATAATTTGTTTAACAATCAAGAACTTCTTTAGTTGGTGATCATTTCCTATTTTCTCATGACCTTAGCTTGATTCAGGTATGACATTGTAGGGAGAAATTAGAAGCTAGTCACTCTTAAAGGTACAAGTGTTAAAACTGACTGACCACATTACTTTTATTAGAATATCATATAGATTATTATATCCAACATATTTACTTTTTCTTACTTACTGATTTCTTACTTTAGCTTAATGAACAATTTAGTTGCAACTTGATTCTGACAGTGTGGAGAAAACAGAACTTAATTTCACATTTACGTCATTATAAAGTTATCAATTTCCAAACATCATGACAGTGTGCATGATAAACTTAAAAAATATTCAATTTCCTAGAAAATGCTTTGTGTCTTGAATAACTTTTCATCATTTTAAGATGGATGTAACTTTTGGTAACTTTTCTTACGATTACACAAGCATTTCTCTGGCTCTTTTCAGTTGCAGTGTTGGTCAGAGCAATCACATTTTGAGGTTCAGTATCAACCTGAATGGTAGTGAATGAATGCTAATCCTAATTCTTTGAGACAAAAATGCTTATTTCTACATGAATCACAGGGTTTAAACACACTCAAAAATAACAAGTCCTCTTCAACATAGCTGATCAAAGTTGGTGCCAATCACCAAAGGTTGCTTTGTGCAACCAGGAAATAACACATGATGTCATAATAAAATGTTAAAAGGATACAATCCACTGTGTATTCTGTTCAAGTCACAGAGCCCCTCAAGTAGGTCTGCAATTGAAGGCTGAGTACCAGTCCCTTCACAAACCACAGACATGGAAAGATAACCTACAAAACATATTAGAGTTTGTGCAAGTTACTCATAATTTTTCAAAAACACTGCAGGGGCAGTTTGGTTTTAAAAATTATACTGTGTAATCAAGCTGGGAAAAATGGGAAAACAAATTTACTAAGCAAGCAGTAATCTTACCTGAAATAGTGACTAGATACATGTATCATTTTCAACAGTGCTTTGGATTAAAATTTGGTTATTGGAGTTTAATAACTAATGATACACTACCCTGATATCCTCTCATGCTACCACATACAAGGGCTCAAAATCAAAGAGATTCCAAAAGACACATGTTTTTCAATGACCTAGTACACAATGATGAGCAGAAATGGTCTTTACAACTTATCTACAATTTAAGGAATCATTTGAGAAGGGTTTAAACCTAGACTTCCCGGTACTCATGTCACCAATGGATTGTTGTAACAGATGAGGACCACTGAAATGAAGCATACTGCTAGTAACCCACCATTCATGTACGTACACTGTAAATGCAAACTTGTCAGAAGAGTTTGTCAAATATCTACCAAAAGTTGCAAGATGTGGCTACCCTTCTGTGTGACACTTACTGGAATGAGCTTCGTAAACTTCCAAACTGCTTGAACAAAGTTTTGCAACCTTGTCTGACACACCCTTGAATATGTTCCTACAAGAAATTCAGAGAGTTGAAACAGAAAATCTTTAAAGCATGTAGGATTTAAATGCTTGTGGAAAACAAATTTTCAAACAAGTGATGTTGGAGTACATTTAAACATTAGATGGAGGAAAAGGTCTTTCAAAATGTGTTTAGTTCTGTTTAAAAGTTCATCCACTTTCCTAACATAAATTGATTGCACAAATTGAATGGAGCAGCTATTGGTAACAGTATCAAGTACTGACTGGTAATATTCTCAATGAAACCACGTTGAAAGCAACTGATAAGAGCCCAGTTGGTTAATTTAGCTTTACTTGACTTACTGAAAGTTTTTTATCCTGAATTACAATATAATTAACGATAACTCTGACAAAAGTAACTCCAAAATATACTCATTAAGTCTTATGTAACTGGGCAATTCGTCCAGAGATTAAGGGCGAATTTTCTAAGGATTGGGGCGAAAAGTCTAACGACAGGGAGCGAGCAGTCCAGGATAAGTTTTCTCACTACAAACTGTAGATTCAACGATCACAAGGGGCACCAGACAGTGCTATCAATTTAGAATTAAATCTGCATAAAAACAGCTTACAGATCATCTTGAATCTTTTCCATGATCCCCTCCATTTGCTTCAAAAGTTTGTATTCAAGTTTTTCCTTTAACCCCTCAAAATCGCACAGAGGAGAACGTTCGAAAGAAGTTTTCGCACAAGAGCGAAGTTGCTCCATTGGACTTGTCAACGACTGAATCAGTTCATTAGAGTGACGCTGGGTATCCTTCCATAAATTAAGTTGCTTCTCAACTTCCCTGTATGATTTTTCAAGCTTATCGAGGCAGAGAGTTTCTCCCTTTTCCATTTCATAAAAATAAAGGTGGAAATCTGGCCAAGCTCGTTTCACTTTACGAAGTTAAGCTAACCTCAAGCTGTCCGCCATGTTGAAATCGCGCGCCTGGGGTTCTTCATATCTCACAGTCAGCAGCTTTAATTTCAAGGTGATATGTGGTGTAACAGTACCACCGACGCAGCACCACAGTTTCTTTGGAAACTTACCCCTTTATTCATGTGTTTGGTATCGCTTAGTTGATAACAAAAGTTCCCATAAACATATCAGTTAAACTATTAGAATTGTGCGCATATATAACCGATCGTAGAAAATTGAATTTAAAATTTTTTTAGCCTAAAAGCTAATTAGCAGCCTTAAATCTTTGTGTTGGCTTAGTCAATAGGACCCGTAAAAGTTACTGTCGCGGTGATGCTTGCAATAACACGTCACTGGTGTTGTTTTATCGTAATCGAGTTATTTCTCCTCGTAAACGTTTCACTTCTCTCTACTAAGGTACAAGTTTTCGCTTTAAATCTTTTACGAGAGATAGTTACAGCGGCTAATTGCTAGCTTTTATTCATTACTAGCCACAGGAAAAATATCAGCAAATTCTCTAATCGCAATAGTTCATCAGAATAACCAGTAGCTAAGATATATACTCGGGCTTCCGTGGGAAAGCCCGAGTCTTGAAATACAGGCAGTTCTTAGGCGCCAAAAGGGGGGTCATAGTCCCAGGCGTTCCTTGCGTAAACCGTGGAAACTGGCGATGAGAGTCCAGCAACTTGAGTTATAATGTGCTCGCTCTTCGTAAACATCATAAATTTACGGATTGCTGTGTTTTATGAAGTCCGCTTTGCAAAGATTCCTGTCCTATGCGCTCATCTCACATACAAAAATGCACACGCTGTTCGTGGTAGGCCCACACGAAATGATGTCGAGCGTTTTCGGAATGGGCTGGTCCACGAACTCTCTAGCTTGAAAGCTAGCCAAATGTGCAAAGTTTACACTAGTTCTCACGAGATAACAAATGAGGCATATGTGAGTTCAAACTTCGAAAATACTGGCAAAACTGTGACAGCCGATTTAACAACAAACTATGATGCTGAGATGAACACCTCACTTGCTGAAAAAATCAAGAATGTTCTTGAACACAACTTCGAAGGTGGCGCTAACGACAGCGAATTGGATAAGGATACTGCCATATGTAAGCAACTTGAATAGTAAGGTTGAATATCTAAGCTTAGCTCTTCCGTTAAAAATCCTGTTTCTGTTATTGGTTTTTATCGGGTTCAATACTTGTAAAGTACGATTTGGTATTTCTTACACAATCACTATTATTATTGTAAAAGCGATAGTGAATGTTGGTTTGCTCTCCGCATGGAGTTGTATGTTCTTCGTATCAGATATGATGAATACTCTTGATGACTGTGATCTACTGGAAAAAGTTGTCAATATGACTAATGTACACGAACATAATGATATTACAGTGTCAATAAAAGTACAACAATTCAGATCTCGTCGTGCAAAGTCTGTATATTATAATCGTACTCGTGTTGTGTGTGAATGCCATGGCTATACACGTGATCGTGAACCAAGCAGAGTACCAGTAAGGATGTTAAAACGTCTCTCTCAGAAAATCAGAATACTGCAGAGTTATGTACGGAGCCGTTTAAGTAAAAACGTACCAAAGTCAACGAAATTCCATGATCTTATTAAAAATAATGCAACATGAAAAAAAAGTACACATAAAACAAGAATCAGGTTTGTACAAAAAATGAGAAGGAAACCAATTTTTAGAACAAGAAACGTTAACTCTTCAATGAGATATGTCTACAATTCAAGTAGAGATAAACATGGAAAGAAATATCTCAAATACTTAAGGTTCTTTTTGTGTAATTTCCCATATAGTGAGTACAAGGGTGTAATTCACAGAGGCAATTGTACAAAGAACAAGCTCTATAATTAATGATATAGAGAAAACCCTGTTCCTTGTATGCACCTTGTGGATCCCAGGAAAATAATAAAAGCACCATATAGTCAAGGGGATGTTGTTGTATTTGGACAAAATGCTGGGCAACAATGTGTTGCAATGAGTTTATGTGCATTAATATACCACAATATGAAAGGAATAGGCAATCTTGATGAATTGAAACAAATAATGGAAGTAAACAGTACAGCAGTTTGTCACAATTATCAAGACCATCATTTTTTACTGCTAGCAGATCTACCATCAATGCTTACAGTACTAGAGGAAGATTACCAGCTAGAATACAGTGAAAGTTACCTCAGTAATGTATATGGTGAGCCTACCACTGAGGGATATCAATACTGTATGGGCCTGAAAAGAGCTTTTGAGTCATTGATATCAGAACAATATAGGTCATATATTTTAACAGTTGGATGTATTTCTGTGGGTATTAGTTGCTGTGCTGATAATGGCCATTTTTAAGCGTTTGACTCACATGCTAGAGATGTTTCTTGTAAAAGTCACTCTCGAGGGACCACTGTTTTGTAGTAGTTCTTTATTCTGTTACTCAATCATTTCACCTTGTAGTTACTGGAACTCAAATACCTTAGATGCAATTGTTGAAAATGGATCTTAGCTTAATAATACAATGCAGAGTAAGTACTGCTTAACATCTGTTACCCTGCCAGACAGTGTTACAATTTTTAGCACTAACATAAATGTACACGTTAATGAAGTAAGTCACAGAGAATTAAGTAATTTAACTGAAAGCAGAACATCTTTAGAGACCTTAATTTTAAGGAACCACAGTGGGAAAACAGGATATTTAATGTGGATTTTAAGTTACTGTATAACTTGTATTTATCAACAAAATACAAAGGTGAAGCAATTGTTTTCTCTTCTGACATATGAAGACAGTCATTCACCTGCAATTAAACAGACAATACACATTCATGGTGTGGATAATCTAGTAGAGGAAATTGATATTATTCAAAATAAACAGGAATGTCAGACTATGGAATATGATATACAATTTATTTGCTGTTCATGTAAAATTACTGAAATTGAAAGGAAACACATCATGAGAAAACACAGAAAAAAACATACTTATGACAGTATGGAACCCATTGCCAATTGGTATATTCAGTATTGTTTTCTGTATTGCCAGCTATTCAATCTTTTTTAGCCCAGTTGCTTGGCATAGCAGTGGTCCTAACAATAATCATTGGAGATTTTATCTTAACTTGAGCATCCCATGAACAAAATAATAGAGAAACATGTTTCATACATTTGTACAAGGCTGTACAGATCAATGAGTGGGATAACATCATGATTATTAATGACTGAAAAAAATAAACAAGTTTCTGGCTGAAACAAATTTTGGCAGTTGTGTTAATATGTATGTACTGATGTCTTCAATGTTAATTATTTTGTAAATAAAGCAAGGTACCTAAAGCATCAAACTTAAACAAAGTATTCTTTTGGTAGAGAGGCCTGTGGTTCTGGACAGAGGTTTTCTGTAAGTATTTACTCTTTGTGGATAATCTGGTAGAGGAAATTACTAATATTATTCAAAATAAACTGGAATGTCAGACTATGGAATATGATATACAATCTGTTCATGTAAAATTACTGAAATTGAAAGGAAACACATCATGGAAACTGTTGCCAAAAAAAGGTTTCTCGAAGACATTGAAAGAAAATATTCAACTATAGATGCTATAATTACTTTCCCAACCCAATGAGAAATTAGTGAAAGCCAGATGGGTTGAATTGTGTATTAACCAGTTTAAGAGGAAAATAGGAGAAGGCCCTTATTTCATATGTACTGTCTGTAATCAAATACTTTATAAGAAATCAGCAATAACATGCATAAACAAGAAGTACCCTTGCCAAACATATTTCAATATTCAACAGTCATTTGATGGAAAACAGTGTATATGCAACACATGTCATTCAAAGGTCATAAAAGGAAAATTACCATGTCAGGCTGTAGTGAATTAAATATGTATGTGGATGAAATACCCTCAGAACTATCCTCGTTAGAAAAACTAGAACAAATACGAATAGCTCAACGAATAGTTTGAGAAGATTGTGGCCGTGCATAAAGGACAGCAGAGAAAAATTAAAGGTGCAGTATGCAATGTACCTATAGAATGTGATCAGACATATAATCAACTCCCTCATCCACCTAATAGATCTTGTTTAATAATGCTTAAGCTTAAAAGAAAGTTACAATCTAGAAGACATGTTTATTTTCAAGCATCACGACCAGAGTTAATACAGCAAGTTCTTAACTGGCTCAAAGTACATAATCCATTGTACAAAGATATACTAGTTGATATTAACAATATTGATAGCAACCTCACAACTTTACAAAATGATGCAGACGATAATGATACACATCAACAAGCTACATCAAACAATGTAACAACAGATAGTGATCCTGCTTTGGAGTTTGATGCAAAGAAAATGATTCATTAAATAGTGATGAAGAAGAAACTGATGACCCCTTAAATGAGTCTAGAGCCCAAGTATGCGAGACATGCTGCGACGCTTAACGGACTGATCATATGCGTGTTTTGAAAAAATACTCGCAAGCGTTTTTATTTATTTGTTTAATTATTTTTGTGTGTGTGTAGGTGTGGGATACAAGCTTGTTTGGAGCAAATTCAGACACATCAAGTGTTTGCGCTATTTGGTATCTTAAAAGCGCTCAAGCAAACATTTATGGAAATAAATAAGAACGTTCAGATATTCAAGTTTTTGGTTGATTAAGAAAGCAAAAAACCGCAAGCGTACGTCACTAGCAGCAGTACGCTATTCAGTAATAATTAAACTAAACGCTCGAGGAGCGTTCACTCGGGCTTCGTATCGAGCGTTTTACTTGGGCATTCACCACTGGATAGTTTGGTATAATTGACTCTAATAATTAATTTTAATGTATTCAAGCGCATTCGACTCACTCGTTTGTTATCTTTTGGCAAGGAGTGATTGCATGTGATCAGCGACCCTTACCTCACTACAAGAGAAACTCTGAGATTCAATGTTCAACTGAGGTAAAAGTGCATATTTTCTACACATTTTGCAAAACTTTAGTTTCCTTTCTGGGTGATATTTGAGACGAAATTTAATCATAAATACAGGGACGTGTGTTACCTCTGAATTAACCAAGTTAATTGCCAAGCTCACCGAAGAGTCTCTGTGGCTCAGTAGTAGAGCGTCAGACAACGGAATCCGAAGGTCTGAAGTTCAATTCCTCACGGGGATTCACTTCGTCCTACGTTCGTGTCGTGTCGTGTCTTACTTCATTAACATATGATACCACGCGATTCCAAAGAGACACAGGAGTTAAGTGTTTATTGACAGAGTTGCTTTCGTGTAAAAGTCAGAACTTAGACTGAAATTGCGGTCGAGGATAAAAATTTTTTGCTTCATTAAAGCTAGTTTGAATTCAATAACGTCTCTTCAGCGCTAACCTCTCTGTGACGGTCGAGAGAAGAGCCTTTATTAATCAAGTCAAGTTTGCAGTCCGCTAGGTCAGTTATTAGCGCAGTCGGAAGAAAATGAAGCCAGATCAAACATATTCTAAGAATTTTTTTTTTTTTTGAGAATATGAGGAAAAGTAGCCTTGACTCTCGATCTCGGAAAAAACCTTCGTGATCTCACCATGCCGGCACATTGTGAACGTACAATCCATTGTCGTGCAATGTCATCGTTACATAAAGACAACCGCATGTTTACAGGCTTAACATATCTGAAAACAGATCCAGGATACTAAATCTCTCCCACACACCCCATTTTAACCGCCAGGAATGTTTTTTTCTAAGGCAGCTGGACTTTTGTCAACCCATACATCATTAGCATGCAGTTCTTAGGTTTAAAAAAAAAAAACAACAACGACAGCAGATAGATTAAACACGATCGATAGATTATCTTTGGGAGTACGGCTTTGTTCTACAATAGTACGTGTACGGGATTATACAGAAATCTTCACCAGTTTTCCTTCAAAAAGCTAGTTTAAATTCAAGAAAGTTTCAGTCCTGTGCTTGCCTTGAGGTGAATATCGAGCGAGGTTTGATTTTCCTCGCTGAACGCCGACTATTTTTATTTTGTTTGAAAGGGATTTTCACGGTTCGTTTGCCATCGCAGGAACCTTTGTTTGTACAAGCTTGAGTTTATGGTAATTCGTGAGACCATTGAATGCACTAACTCATGGATATGTCATTTAGAACTATAGAAGTTTGTTTTCAGTCTTAAAATACCTTTCGTGACCCTCTGGTTTTCGTTGGTTTCGTTGGTTTTCGTGACCCTCTGACCGAAGTCACGATTTTCGACTTTTTCCAGATGTCCATCTAAGCAGTTTTGATTATTTTGATTACTATTACATCCTCGGAGACACAACAGATCGAAAAAAGATACGATGAATGTGTAGTTTACACTAGTTTTGAACAAAACACGGAAATTAAGGAAAGCACAGCAGACGTTTCTCAAGGCGGAAACCACAAACGGGCGTATTCGGTGTCTTAAAAACAGAAAGCTTTGTATGATTAAAGTCAAGAGAATATCAACTTGCTAAAGAATAAAGACCAAGACGCTGTGACTTTCATCTTTCAATAGGTATTCATTCAGCATCAGTCACAACTATGGCGCAGACGGTCCCTGCAGATGATGAGCAAATGGAACAGAGAAAAAGTGGCTTGTACAATTGCCTTAGCAAAATCAAAAAAGAAGAAAACGACAGGAAAGACCCTGAAAGGATTGACGTAGACATAGAAAAGGAAAGAAATACGGAGGATAAACTTGCAGATGAATTGCTCGAAGCCCTCGAGAGAAATGATGCAGCTGAAGTTTGGGATCTGGTTGAAAATAATCATCCCATCGAAGCGCTAAAAATCATGCAACGAGTTAACAAAGACATCGCCAAGAAGGCGAGGAACAAAGAAAAGAGCTGCAATTTCCATTGTAAACCACAGGCAATATTATCTTGCGTCGGAGATACTTATTCTCCTAGTAGTCGTCACAACGGAAAAGAGACGCAACATATAGAGGAAGAACGAAAAGATGAGGCGAGAAAAAGAAAGTGGATCAAAATACTCTCCAACCCTCTATTCATCGGAGTGGAATGGCTCTGGAGAAGAAATACCAACCGCCACTGTGATGATTGCCATGAAAATAACGACAGGGATGCCATAGGAAAGGCTTTATATGATGCATACCTACTGGATAAGATTACCTCGCACGAACACTACTATAGTTTGGAGGATTACAAGAGTTCCGTAGAAGCTTACGAGTCGTTCGCTGCTGATGTCTTGGAGGAAAGCACCGTGACTGAGCTGTACGAGATCATGGACATCGAGGGAGACGGCTTCTTACTTCGGGGGAGCCCCCACCGGCTTAGGAAGTTAGATCAAAGTCTGAGCCTTCTAAAGATTGCTGCTGATTATGGAAGAAAGAAGGTTTGTGTGGATATTGATTCTTAAATAATTCTACTTAATTCTCAAAAGCTCAATCAATTCATCCTGTTAATTAAAACGATTTGCACAGCTCTATAAATTTGAATTAATAATCAAATCGTTCTATAATGAAATGTGCAATTTCAGAGACGAGAAAATTATTGTCCAAAGCTTATTTATCCGATGAGATTAACGTGAAAACTATGCTCAGTTGAATAAATTAATTATCAATTTTGACCCTAGATTTTACATGAGTCAAGTGGGAAGTTTATAAATGATCTCGCTTGACGCAGTCCTGTTTGTAACGCCCACTCCTTCTCTTTTAAAAAAGGGTCGAGATCATCTCCCACTCCGTTGGTGGAGTGTGGTTCGATTGCGACTGTGATGTGTTGCATGTCGACCCCAAGAAACGATTACGTATGGGATTGGACAAACATGACTATTCGGAGAAGGGATACTTGATGTTATAAGCACCACGCTTGAACGCATTTGGTGGAACTCTTAATGTGTTCTCTGCCCTGCTCAAAGTTACGAGATTCTATGATTATCCTGGCAATAAACACCTTTGTAAGGGGGGGGGGGGGTAGGCACAAGAGAACACTGGGCTCCGAGAAAACATCAGAATAAGCCAGGTTGTTCACAAGGCAATCAAGCTGACGCAGGTTCAGTGCAATTTTCTTACGTAGCCGTACAGCTTTTCGAATATATTTTTTTCAAGTTTATTGCTTTTATTTTATTTTTGCCGTGTACAAACATAAAGCCCCCCCCCCCCAAAAAAAAAAAAAGTAGATTCGATTCTGTTATCTTGCAGTTCAGTAGAACTAGTGGCACAAAGTCCAATGAAAGGTCTGAAAAAGCTGTGATATCACTGTAATTAATGCTCTAGTCAATCTTACTGCAGCTATAGTGAATGCTGAATAATGTAATCTGCCTGTTAAAGCCCTATTAATCTTTTAATTTGCAGTTTGTGGCGAGTGCAAGATGCCAGTCTGTTCTTGACCAAATCATTTTCTACAAATGTCCAGAATGGAAAGACGAAGGCATCATGAGAAAGTTTGTGTGGGTCGTTGTTCAGTTGATTCTCACGACAATCCTCACTCCATTCTACATTTCTTTACGGATATTTGAAAAAGTATTCCGAAAGAAGTCTTCCAACATGTGTTCTAGTGGAATCGCGAAAAAAAGCATCGAAAGGATTAGGAGCTTATACGAACATCCCTACTCGAAGTTTGTCAACCACTCAATGTCTTACTTTTTGTTCCTCGCTCTCCTGTTGTTGTCAACGTTTGGTTTTGAGAATGAGTACAAATCAACTTCAGTAGGACTCACCAGGATTGGTAAGTCCACGCTGCTGTTGTAATTGTGTATCCGTGTGAAAAAAATATTTTGGCGTACGAGCAGGCCTTCATCATAAGCGCCGCATTAGTAAAAACCGATGAAAATGTAGTATAGTTAAGGTTATCCTATAATCTCCTTCTATTGCAAAGTTACAAGTTGGGTGGAGGATACTCGGAGATTGAGTGCCGTTTCGATTACGTGTTGTAAATGTAAAATAAAAGTTATCAAAAAGTCCAATCAATGCAAAGAAGAATATCTTAAAGAGCCTAATGGGAACTTGAAGGCGGAACAAGCAATCTGTATGAGACGCGGGCGAACGTGAGTGACTGAGAAAGTCACGACTAGGTTTAGTTCTGTATCTAAGTGGTTCATTGGATGGCGCGAGTTTTCTAAAATAATCACAATGCGTACAAAAACGATTAAAATGCAATGACACAGGTTGCTTGCCACACTGAACACAAAAAAAACCCCATGAGCATGACGAAGCTACTCCATGATCTAAGATTAAGTAAAGCAAACTAAATCGTGCTACTGTTAAACTGGAGGGCACAAAGTTAACTGTTAATTCACCCACCATTCAATTCCAAACGATCATAGCTGAGCAAATTAATAGTTTTTGTTTAACATTCATCCACAGACTATGCAGTAATTGTATTCCTCATTGGTCTCATCTTGCAAGAACTTCTGAAAGCTCAAAAGCAAGGAATCCATTTTTATTTCTCAAAATGGTGGAATAAAATGAATATACTAACCCTGGTTACTTTCGCGGTGTCCTACATTGTATGGCTTGCCGCGTGGGTCCACTTTGGAGAATGGCAACCGAGAAGAAACCCATTTATCGTGGCTGATGTCCTGTATGCAACTGGAACTGTTATGGCATTTCTCCACTTCACCTACATATTCCAAGTCAGTTCAACTCTTGGCCCCTTGCAACTTTCCTTGTACAGAATGCTGAAGGATATATACAGATTTCTTATTATCTATTTCATGCTTTTCCTTGCATTTGGAACTGGATTAGTCAAGATATACTCATACTATGTTTCCTCGCTGCATAAAATAGAAGATGCTATTAACCCGAGTTCTCATCATGTTGCCAGGTATGTGAACAACAGCTCGCTACACATACGCGTGCACGAACGTTTTAGCATAAAAATACTAACGTTTTTGCTTAAAATTACGAAAGTTTTCACGTAAATTCACGGACGTTACGATTAAAGGGCGTGGTGGGTATACTGGTAAGTATTCTATTGTCGATTGCAATGTATTGTGCTCTCTTACTTTGGATAATAACGATAATAAATTGCGCGCGTTAAATGATAAAAGATATCCATTGGGAAGCTTTCACAAAAGAGAAGAAATTATTTTAAGGAATAAGAACATGAAACATGTCAATTTAACAATCTGCAAACACTGCCCGAAAGACCCTGCAGCTTAAGCGTGTATGGTTTATGCTTTCTAGGAGACAACGTTTTTGCAATCAAATGCATGTAACTGGATAAACAGACATAGTTGTAATAGACGGTAACATGAAAATAAATAAGCTATAAATAACAATCTTATTTCGTGATACATTTGTTTATTGATGAAAATGCTAAGCTGAAAACAGCATTTTTGCCTCATATAACCTCGCCAAAAACCAAAAACTAAAACCAATATACGTATGAATTTGTCGACGTTCGGAACAATTTTGAATTCAAGTTCTTAAAAGTTCTCTTACCTTGTAATGATTCAGCTAAAATTTATCTCGTGCGTCACATGTGAGAACAAAGCATGAAAAGAGTTTATGAGAGGAGAAGAGTAAATTGTACCTCGAAACGTTTATCATTAAAAGTCAAGAATATTTAAAAGAAAGCCGATGTTTTACCTTCCATATATTTTTTTCAGACACGACTTAGCTGCTAAACTGTTAGTTTCGATATTTCTGGGTAAAGTGGATGACGACAAAGTAACGGTGCAGGATCCAGCGTTTCACCTCACCGCTGTCATTGGCCGTATATTTTTGTTCGCCTATGGAATCTGCACCACCCTCGTAGCAATAAATATGCTGATTGCTATGATGAACAACTCCTATGAGAGAATCATGGTAAGATCTCGAAAGCATCTTGTAGTTAATTTTGGTCGAGGTAAAATCAGTCTTATGATGGATCGCCCTCCTTTCTCAACACGCGGACTAGGTCACTATCCTGCGTCAAGTGTCGCAGGTGCAATAGAGGGGCGAGATTTCAATCCAAAAGACAAAAAAAATAAACATCTTGGCCCGCGGCTCCATCATTAGGTAACGTAATTTTTGTCTTTCTGAGGACAAAAATTGCCCGGAATCGAATCTTAATTCAAAGGAACGACCGTGGTCTATTTCCAACAATGAAGTGTCCAAGGATAAATATTGGGGTACTAAGAATCCGTGCTCTATGGCACTCCTGGCCTTTCAGGTATCTTTCCTCGCACGCTGATCGACGAACAGCTCGGAAAAAAAACAAAACAAAAAACTAACAAGATTTTGACAACACAAACCAGCGTGTCTTATTACACGCGTTATATGCGGTTAATACCTAGTTTGACCCGGGCCTTGTTCATTCATACGACATCTTTAGACTGCCAATCGCGTGCGAGTTTAGAGAATCGACGGAATATAAAAGGTTGAATGAATGTAATTTTTTAGAGCACCCTTCGGTATTCTCATCGAGCACACATTTAATGTAATGGCTTCATTAGTTATACTTACACGAAGGTCTCTCGTATTGGGTATTCGCCTTTAGGAAGATGCAGACCAGGAGTGGAAATTCTCAAGATCCCGGTTGTGGCTGGATTATATCAACGAAGGAAACTTCGTACCAGTTCCTTTCAACATCGCCTACTATTCCCTTTATCTCTTTTTCATCCCCAACTACATTTTCCGTGTATGCTGCAAGAAGGAACAATGGTCTCGTTCTCGGAAAGTAAGTGTTAGCTGCATCAGACCTCTCCCTTCGGCTTTCAACTAGGTTTTTTTTTTTCACATTACTGGCCAGGAAGCTGGGAAACTAGGATGAAGTAAGCTAAATACATTTAATTTTCACTTTAATTGCAAGATATGTGATAAGTTTTCTTCATAACAAAATTACTTGGATTTCTGTCTCTGTGCATATTTTCCGAGCAGGCTTCGGTATCGTCAATATCGAATATTTGAAATCGGTATCGGCCCATCCTTAATGAATAATTCAGATTTTCATTTTTGTAATGTAATCCTTTTAAAATAGAAATTGTATCATTAAAACATTTTACGATAATGGTTCAGAAACTGTCAAACTGTTAGCATACAGGGAATGAAACAACGACGTTCTTCAAGTAAAGTTTGATTTTTCCAAAGTTTCTGTCAAATGGAACCAGGACGAGATTCTTATTGAACGTCATAGTGGACAAGGAACTCAAGACGTCTTTCGTTATTGCTCCAGACATCTCTTACTTCAAAATTAAATTTGTAAATAGAAGTGGCCAAATCCCTAACTATATCCGAACTGAAAGTGTACTTGTGCTATTATTGTTAGCAGCCATCAAACGAAACTGACGTGGAATTGGAACGAATGAATTCGAACCTCGAGCGATGCACAACAGACAAGGTATTGAGACTTTCCTACAAACAGCTATGTTCTTTTGGCTTTTTAAGCATGATACTTCTTGAGACATTATTTCAATATAATCCAAAAACATTTTTAGACAATACTCAGCACCAGCAGATATACCAGAAAGGGGTTCACTGAATTCGAAATGGCTCTTTTTTGTTGCTGTGTCAACTATGGGCACAATGTAAAGATACTCAGCATCCATAAGAAAATGTGTTTTCTGAACCCGAGGATTAAGGTGCTTCGGAGCTCTTTTGATGAAATAACCTAGGAATACAAAGCGCCAGAGAATCAGCTTTAAAATGTCTCGTTTTGATCTTCACTTATGCAACGTCAGTTGGCCAAGTGATACTTTAAGCGACCTCTCAGTGTTAAGGAATTTTAAGATTTATTTAAAGATTGTTGTTCCCGCTTAAGATCTTTCGACGTTATTTCATTGAAATCGAAACATAGAAATTATATTTACTGCCCTTTCTAACATTATAGAGGTGAAAGAGAGGGAGGTTCAAAACTTCTGTCACTGAGTACGGAAGTCTGCCTCACTAGATATTCTATGTACAAATGTGTGAGAAAGCTTGTGCTGCTTGATCTAAGTAGTTGAGGCTGTTGTACACAAAATTATTTCTAAATACTTCAGCCCACGGCAGTAGCTGCATCTGCTCTTGGTGCCAATTCGGGCCAAAGAAATCGGGCTCTGCAGGATATTTATGTACACAATGGTATTTCAAATCACGTTTCCTCCTCACTTCGAAGAACAAAACCGTTGATTCTTCTGACACTAACATTATAAATTTTCTTGAGGACGGTGGCTGAAATTGAAAGCAATTTCTCTCGCTCACCCAATACAATGATGAAGTCAAATGCACCCAAATCCATGTGGTTTAAGGATAGAATACGTTACAGAAATATATGATTATTGCTTGATGACTTCAATGAGCAGTTTGCTAATGTCTTGTTTTCCAGACTCTCACACATTGGTTCTCCTGCATTTGCCCTGGATGTTCATGTTTTTGTAAGCCGACCCAAGCAAAAGTTGTTAGAGAGGTTTGTAATATATATAATAGCTAACCTGTTATTACGTCCGCTAAGACTTTGACAGGTGGGAAATCTTGAGTGAAGCTTTTGGGTGTGGTCTGAATGTCTGCGAGGTTTATGACTCATCTCCTTATTTTCCGAAATTAAGGAGGTCTTGCTTGTCAACTGACTGAATTGACGCTTAATAACGTGGTTAAGTCTTCACTTACCTCTCAAGACAAGCATGAGCTCCGAATGAACCGTGTATGTGCTTATTTCAAACTTTACATATACAATTTGTAACGTGACTGTTTCGCCTTTCAGGAACGCTTACAAGCGATTAGATTCTCCATCGCAAGGTATCTTAACAATCACTACCCAAACGAGGAAATAGAACGCGAAATGGGTACACTGGTAAGTTCACCGGCACCAAAAGCAGATGAAAGTCTCCAGGAGTGAAAGCTATGTGGACAATTCAGCTAAATTAGTCTGAAGCAAAGGTCCAAAACGTTACATTCAGTGATGTTTCACCTTGAAATTCCATTTCTGTCATTATTATACATGCTTAATAAGTAGAAATCAGTTCCGGAGGAACCTGGAAACTGCTTATCTTTGCTTTACTATAGATAGGTAAAGTCTTTGCTTAACAGAACGAGAGGTGTTGATAGGAACCTTAATGATAATGATTCTAACTTTTTGTGACCGGGCAACACAGCAGAAAACAAATAACGCTGGTGATCATTAATTTCTTGAGCCGCATGTGTTATTAGCTACAGTCCCAGATCAATTGCATAAATTAAAGCTAAACTCTACACATAGAGAATAACATCCAACTTGTTTTTATATCCGTATGAAAGAGGCAAGTAAGTGGCCATTTTCGGCATTGTATTACATAACTGAATAAATATGACAGCAATTTATTCCACAATTCTATTTCTTGAAAAACTTTTCAGTGAAGTGAAGTGAGACGGAAATAGAGGCGGAAGAAATGATTTTATAGGAAACTACTAACTCAGACCAATCAGAAGTTTTACCGTGAACTTATAAAAACGGACAAAGACAACAATATCTTCCCCCTTGCATGCGTTCCCTCTCAGATTCCAACGACCACGCCCCAGGCTTGAATTCATTTCTCTTCCCCCCTCCCCCCCCCTTCTCCATTTCCCTTTGTGCATTCCTCTCAGTCTGCAAATTTCGAACTTCAGTTTCCTTCAATAATCCCTCACGGCAGCCAGACACACATGGCCTAATGATTTATCCAAGCCTTTGTTTATCATTTGTCAATGTGCTTTATAAAAAACAAAGGAAAAAAACCAAGAAACAACAATCAAACAGCGCAAAGCTGTCTATTAGTTTTCGTTTTTTAAAGGATACATCTAATCATTCAGGTGAACCGCAGTATTCATTTTTCAAAAATTAAAAAAAAAAAAAATACAAATAAAAATACAACGATGATCCGCACTCTTGCGAATTTTTTTCGCAAGTCTGAAAAATTTGCAAAGGATAGTGGGATATATAAACAAAGGAAGGATTGGAATTCTGGAATACAGCAAAAGAAAGGCGGAATTTGCGTAGTTTTGATATGAAGACGTCCCCACCATTTTTTTCCTTCGCGTTTCATGGATCGTATAACCCAAGTGAACTCGAGTAGCCTATTTCCCGCGACAAGATAGTCTAAAAATAAACCGTTCTGTGAAAACGCCGTGACATAGGGTCAGTATGGGAGTTGAAGGCTCCAAGTGATGGGCTACCGAAATAACTCGATAAAGACTAACGGATGTTGACAAAGGTGATAACGAGAGTCTAACTTCCGCTGAGTAGACAACAAGCAGTCTCTCCTTTTTGGCGGCGTCCGTAGGACGGGTAAACAAAATCAGTGAAGAAAAATTTGCGTCAGCACGCGGCGGGTAGCTCTTTAAGTGAGGCGCTCGAAAAGAAGGGACTACAGACGAAGCTCAAGAGTTTGACTTCTTCTCACAATGCAAAAATATGATGAGCCCAGCGTAAATCGAGTGTTAGACTTGGGATTTGCAAATCACTTCGGGATCACTGAAGGCAAATTACATGCACGCATACGGCAAAATTCGTTCTGCGATAGTACTTCTACCGGCTTGCCCTTCCTAATTAGCTCCATTTCACAGATTTCCCGTTTATTGTGCGCTTCGAATTTTGAAATAGTTTTCATGTTATTCTTCCCGCGCTTTGCAAATACATGAAGATTGACTGGCAACTAAGACAGGGAATGCCGTTGGCTACAACTTATTGAGATTAAAGATCACTTAGCCGAGCAAGGTCGATCGCTTGGGCTTCACGGTCTGTAGTTCCTTCTTGTCATAGAGAAATAGCATATTATTCACAGCCAACCGCGCTCAAGGGCAATATTTAAAAGCCATCCCGATTATGATATCGAAAAGGACAGTCATTAAAAGATATCCTGGTCATGGCTAAACTTTGGAGGCAGAAGATTCAAAATCGCTTGCGAATGGCGGGAGTCACGCCGACGCGTCAACACGTTCAAGAAAAATCAATCTATTTTCTTCAGCGTTTCTTTATTTCAGGGCGGTTGTCCTCTGAATTCGGGATGATATGAAGAGAGATAACCATCTTTTAGGGAAGCTGTATCCTGCTTTATGCTTCCGAGCATAAATCTATAGCTCTTTCCTAGGCTTAAGAGCGACTGCTTTCTAACTGAATACTATGAGTAATGTTGAATCGAGTCCCAGGATAATGTCACGAGCCAACCCGCCCCAAAAAAATAACCAAAAGAGATGCGACATTACCTTTTTCGACTTGGTTATAAGTTTGAGCTCTTTTCGGCCACGTAAGCTTCTAAACTATTTTGATTGATGTGTTTTCTTTAAAGCAACAGCTGTTAAAATGCCAAGTAACATAATTAAAGCACAATGCAAATGACACGAAACAAACCCAAACTACGGATGAAAATGCGATTTTGTCACGTGAACACCCTGATAATCAGGACTGCCACCTTCAATTCCGGGAATTTGAGGAACTGACTAGTTCTGTTGTCTGAAATATTCACTCTATATTCAAGTTGTCTTGCTGTGGCGCAAGACCTGTCAAGTAACATATATTATAAAAGCACAAATGACCCGAAACAAACCCAACTACCAATGAAAATACGATTTTGTCACGTTAACACCCTGATAATTAGAACTGTCGTCTTCAATTCTGGGAATTTGAGGAACAAGCTAGTTCTGTTGTCTGAAAAATTCAAAATTCAAGTTGTTTTGCTATGGCGCAAGACGTTTCCACCAAAAATGTACAGCAGGAAGGAGGTGCCAAAGAAGTTTACAGACGTCTGCAAGATATTTTGAAGAGTGAAGACGAAAATGATAGCAAAGATATTGTGAAAAGAATAGACAAGAATGATAAAATGCCAAAAAACAAACTTGCAAATGAACTACTTCGTGCCCTCGGGAAGAAGGAGGCTTTTGAATTCTTCAAACTTCTAGAAGGTTACCATCATACGGTCAGGTCGGAATACGAAAACTTCCAAAATGACTGCAAGGAAGCCAACAAGAAAGAGCAGCAGAGGGAAGGGAGATTTCACTGCGACTGTCGGAATTGCTGCACAAAAATGTTCGATTTTTGTCGCAACAAGTGCAAATGTAGTTGTTGTTCGAACTCCGAACCGCAAGGATCAGAAAAAAAAAGCATAAATGATGAAACAAAACTGAACTGGATCAAAATTCTTTCTAACCCTCTGTTCATTGGTTTGGAATGGCTATGGAGAACAACTTCTAACTGTCCGTGTGAATTTTGCGAGAAAGATAGGAAGTTGGATGGAAAAGAAAAGAAAAAGAAGGAGGATGTCATAGAAAGTTCTCTACATGATGCATATCTACTCGATGAAACGTCGTCTCTCAAGCACTACAATAGCCGAGATGTTTACAGGGAATCGGCGGAGGCTTACGAAACGTTTGCTGTTGGCGTGCTGGAGAAAGCCTCCCAGAATGAACTTTACCAGATCATGGATATAAAAGGAGAGGGCCGCCTGCTGAAAAATAATTCTAATCAACACAGAAGTTTTATTCAAAGTCTGAGCCTTCTCAAGAGTGCAGTCAATAAGGGAAGGAAGAAGGTATGCTCTCGGGATTAAACGACGATGTTGTTTAGCGCCGCAGGAATGTGAATATTGATTTCTGCACTCAACCATTTCTTAGAAATATCAGAAATGACCCCTCATTACTCTGCCAACAATTTCCAAATCTTGTGTGATGGAGACCGATCTTTAAATCTCTTGGTAACATAAATCAGTGACAACACGTAGTAATTGATACTGTAGGCCTTTATTCTCCACAAGTTTAATCAGATGATTAAAGATTCGGCTTTGTTTTACTAATGGAGTTTGAACGAGATAACATCAGGCAAATTATTTTTAACCCATCATATCTAGTACAATTTGCATTTCATTAAGGGTGTGAGCAACAAAACACCCAAGCTGAAATGTTTAAGTTTGGAGCTCGCCGACCAAACGTTAGATCCGTGAGTTAAGTGTTATTCTACATAAGGTGAAATGGTGATTCATATGAAATGCAGTTAAATTATACACTTTCAGCGCCTATCAACTTCGATGGCGGTCTTAATACATACTGCTTGTTTTCGTAAAGGAATGATCGTTGCAGCAAAAGTCTTTCAACGATTTCCTCTTACAGAGATTTTATTACATCAAAGCATTCTTTCAAAGTTTCCTTTGTCTGTTACTAAAATACTTGATATTCCGGCCGAACAAGTTGAGTTTTTCTGTCTCAAGGCTGAACGCGTATCCATCAGGGCCCGGTTGTTCAAAAGGTGGTTTGCGATTATCCAGGATGAAACTTTTAACTTGTAATTAGTTGCCCTTGAAATAAAGTTTGCATTAGGGCCTAAGTTTGTGGGGTTTTACCTTAGTGTGACCCAAAAGTGAAGGGAAAAAATCCAATTAACATTGTCTGCAAAGCTACAAAAACTAAACTACAAATTGTTGGCTAACCCTCGGTTAGCTTAATCGTACTAAGAACAATCCGGCCCGGGTTAATAAACTTTTCTCCTTACATAGAGAATTTTCTCTAAGAAATCTCCCACCGATAGAAAAAAATTAATCTCTCTTAATGCTCTGAGACGTAAAAGCCCAATAAGCATCATTCTTGTTCTGATAAACTAATACGTCTATCTGTATGTGTACTTGTAGTTTGTTTCAAGTCCAAGATGTCAAGCTATCCTCGATGAGGTTATCTTTTACGAGATGCGGGATTGGCAGGACAAGAGCATGGCAAAGAAATTTTTTCGATGCCTTTGCCAGTTTTTCGTCGTCTTACTTGTTACTCCTTTGTTTTACGTTTTCATTCGACCACCCATGAAGATATGGCGCAGTCTGAGTGATATCGAATGCCTTGCGTACGTAGAGAAGTTATATGAGTATCCCTACAATAAGTTTGCAAACCACACCATGTTTTACATTGTATTCCTGTGCCTGCTTTTCGCCTCAACTTTCGGCTTTGAACACGAGTACAGAACAAGCACAACAGGGCTTTCATCCATTGGTAAGTTGTGTAGATTGATTCTTTACCACTTTGAGTGTATTAGCTAAGAGCAACGGCTGATTCTGCTGATACCGTTTAATTTCGTAATGCATAATCCTGAATTAGCTGGCTAAACTAACGGGAGAAGGGGGGGAGGGGTGGAGTAGAGGTGGGGCACTTACCTTCAACTACTCTTTGGGTTAAAAATGTTGTCTATTTCTTTATTTCGTGATGCATAATCCTGAATTGGGTGGTTAAACTAACGGGAGGGGGTGGAGTAGAGGGGGGGGGGTACTTACTTTCAACCACTCTTTGGGTTAAAAATGTCTTTATCAGTAGTAACCTCAAACTGCAAGGTTCTGAAAAGGTAAACTAGTGCGACATTAAAGGAATTTAATCAACATCTCGTTAGCGTGAAGCATTCACAGTATTAAATATTTCAAAAAATAATGAAACATCGTCTCCAATTCATTTCGGCAGAGTCATTTGCAGTTCTGATTTGTCCACAGATTACGCTGTCCTTGTTTATTTCATCGGTTTCCTTCTACAAGAAATTTGGGAAGTTTGTCAACAAGGATTCTGCATCTATATCTCGAAATGGTGGAATGTCGTGGACGCAATGACACTTTTCACACTCCTGGCAGCTTATACAGTATGGCTCGTCACATGGCTAAGCGTTTATAAAGAATGGCAACCGAGGAAGAATGCCTTCATTGTGGCAGATGTCTTGTATGCAAGCGCCACAGTGTTAGCGTTCTTTCACCTGGCTCACGCATTTCAAGTCAGCTCAACTCTTGGCCCTTTGCAGCTTTCATTGTACAGAATGCTGAAAGATGTGGCCAAGTTTCTTTTCATTTTTCTGATGCTTTTCATTGCATTTGCAACTGGCCTCATAAAAATTTATTCATACTATGTGGTCTCTCAAGTGAAACTTCGTGAAGAGGGCGAGAGCAAATTCCAGGACTTCCATCCATATGCTGAGTAGGTGGATACTATTGCGATATTTATATAAGAGAGTGGGCGCCCATAAGCAAACATACAATATTTCATCTATAATTTTATAGAAAAATATTGCTAAAAGAAATTTAAAGTGCTTTAATTGATTTGATGAGTGGACGGACGAAGAAAGACTTATGCCCATGTAATCGGACAGATAGACAAACATCACGGCCCAGTTGTTTAAAGGTCGGATAACGCTATCCAACGGATAAATTACTATCCAGTGGATAAGTAATAGCAAAATGTATAGCGTCAACTACCGTATAGAGTTTTATCCAGTGCATAGCGTTATCCCCATCTTCAAACAATCGAGGCCAGACGTATAGTTCACATGACATCAGCTGACCAGTGAAAAAGATATCTCATATTTTCATCATTCGAAACTTTTCAGGCACGAGATCACTTTTATTGGCTTGGTCTGGTTACTGGTTGGCTACGTGGAAGAAGACAAAATAAGGGTTGATGATCCTGCCTTTTACCTTACACAACTGTTTGGTCGCTTGGGTTTCCTCATCTACCTGGTTTGTACCGTTATCGTTGCTTTGAACATGCTGATCGCCATGATGAATAACTCCTTCGACAGAGTTATGGTAGGTCTCAAATTGTGGTTTGTGACAGATTTTGACTTGATATAATAGTTCCGAGAATGATGTTTGCTAGTTGGCTTTTTACTCAGTGACATAAACCACGTTGATTAGCACACTATCATCATGATTGATCCGTAGCATGACGACTCATATGAATTCGAGGGAATTCAGTCAACCTTCGCAGAAATCACTAAATTCCTCTTATTACTGAGTATACCTACCTAGTCAGTCGATCACGGATAAGCTTAAACTCTTTCCAAACCTTGGGGGAAATTTATGTGAGTTATTACATGTGATAGATTTTAACTTAGAAAATGAACTTTGGTTTTTAGGGTGATGAGGACAAAGAGTGGAAGTTTTCAAGGGCTCAAATGTGGTTAGAATATATCGACAAAGGAAATGCAATACCAGTACCTTTTAACCTTCTGTATTATATCTTTTATTTCTGCTTTTTCCTTATATACCTCGTTTACTGGATGGTAAGGGCAGACTGCAGATGCAATTGTAATAAGAAGGTAAATGTTAGCAATTGCTATTTTGTCCTTGGAATACTTGCAAAATCCTTTTAGTGAGATCTTGGTTGTACTTTCATCATGATTCTGAGGAAAAAGGGCTCGGAGAAATCAATTCCGTTTGCTTCATTCCCCCCCCCCCCTCCCCAGGATGAAACATTTTTCGCTATGACCTGGTCTCTTATTAAATCCCGCGAGCACACAGAAACAGATAAAATTAACTAGTAATTCTGGGAAATGTAACATGTAAATGCAAATATAAATTCCAACAGATCTTATATTATCAAGTGTAGATTTCAATTCCAACAGGTCTTAACAAGTTTACTACAGAAGCATTCAGTGCATGTCTCTTGAGTGACAACTCACGTTGGTGCTAAAATATGTTTTGTTTCATTTTGCTGCTTACTTTGACGGAAACAGCGAGAGGAGAGAAAAGGAACTGTTGAGGTACGCAAAATGAAAAAAACAATTTCGATTTAAACCTTACTCGTTGTTTCGTTACGTCATCTCGGGCGCCCAGTACGCTGGCTGATTCCTATTGCAAGAAGCCTGGTGATGAGGAGTTTTGAAAGTGGGCTGGCGTTTGCCTCCTTTGTTTGCGTTTTAAGCATTCAAGATCATGGTGGTAATCTTAAGATAGGTTGTCTAGATCTGCATAACTCATTAACTGGCAGATTTCCTAATTCTTTACTTTTAGATGCAAGCCAGTCTTAAACCCACTGGAGTAGAAGTGAATGTTGAAGAAGGCAATCCACAACAGGTAGAGCAAAATGTAGAGCAAGGAAGTAAAGATCAGGTAGGATTAAGATCCCATTTCTTACTTTCACCTCACAATTCACGATTGCGCTCCGCGGTCAATAGTTTACCAAATATGGCAAAGGAAAAAGTCACCAACACATTGAGATCCTCATTAGAAAAAGGGGAAAATAAGAGACAAATCACAAAACTCTTGTTTTCATTTTAGGCAAACGATTTAATGTAAAAATAAGGAAGCTGTTTTGAACCTTCTCGGTTACAGCACCAATTAATATTTTAAAGTCATTTCCTCTTTACTTTTTCATCAGACTTCAGGCGATAGTATCGCCTGCTGTATTTGTCATGGATGTTTTTGTTGTTGTAAACCCGAAACCGAAAACAAACGAGAAGAGGTCAGTAAATGGATCATTTTGTCGTACCACATATGCGTATAAGTGACAACACTTAGCTGATGAACTAAGGGCAACAGATCCAGGCTGTAAGAGAAATAGATCATGTATCTTTTTTGTATAAATAAACGTCTCAAATTAGCCTCACAATTCCCAATTGCCCTACGCAATCCAAACTGAGTTTGCCAAACCGACTGCTGTGAAAAAGGAATAGAAAAAAACTGAGTAAAGGTAGACACCACTACATTGCAATTCACGGCAGACAAAAGGGAAAACTAGAGACAAATCACAAAACTCGTGTTTTAATTTTAGGCAAACGATTTAATGTAAAAAAAAGAAAGCTGTTTTGAACCTTCTCGGTTACACTTTTTCATCAGACTTCAGGTGATAGTATCGCCTGCTGAACTCTCAGCGCGCTCTCTCGCTCATGAGAAAAAAGTAAAGGTAGACACCACTACATTGATATTCACGTTGGAAAAAGGGGAAAACAAGAAACAAATCACAAAACTCCTGTTTTAATTTTAGGCAAACGATTTAATGTAAAAAAAAGAAAGCTGTTTTGAACCTTCTCGGTTACAGCACCAATTAATATTTTTAAGTCATTTCCTCTTTATTTTTTCGTCAGACCTCGGGCTATAGTTTCGCCTCCTGTATTTGTCATGGATGTTCCTGTTATTGGAAACCTGAAATCGAATACAACCGAGGAGAGGTTTGTTAGTGTTGATTAATTACTTTAGTAAATGGATCATTTTGTCGTACCACATATGCGTATAAGTGACAACACTTACCTGATGAACTAAGGGCAACAGATCCAGGCTGCAAGAAAAATAGATCATGCGTCTTATGTGTATAGATAAACGTCTCAAATTAGCCTTACAATTCACGATTGCGCTCCGCAATCAAAATTGAGTTTGCCAAACCGGCTGCTGTAAAAAGGGAAAAGAGAAAGGTGAAGACAAACACCTTTTCAGCGATTTGGGATCATTTACAATTGAAATATCACAGATGCAGATATTCCAATCGTTGTTGGAAGCAGTTCATTGCTAAGTTTAGTATTTATTATAATACTAAATTGGTACTGTTTCTTCTTTATAAGGAACGCGGGAAAGCTATAGCATCATCTGTTGAGAAGTATCTGAAACAGATGATGACCCCTCAGCACGGAGGACTTTAAAGAAGTCACTTGTTGATGAAAGAGATGACCGAAATCGAAAGAGGGTTGCGTAAACCCATTTACAGGAACTGTAAGCCGTTTTGATGATGTGTAAGATTTTTGTTTTTATTGCAAGAAAATTTAAGACCGGCCCACAATTTAAAGTGCGGGTAGGAAACGGAATTTATCGTAGTTAGTTTAATGTAATTTTTGGGGGGATCTAACGAACTCGTACTTTGTGTTAAGAAAGGACGAATTCTTCAGATTTCTGGTCTATGTTTGCTAATGTATATATCCATTATAACCGCTTTGGCTGCTGTTTTCCCCATATTCACCCGTCTTTATATCAATTGCTTCATTTGTGCTGTCATGCAGCGGTAATGTATGATTATTCTTTTTATCTTTGACTTCTGAATAGTAGTAGTTACTCAGTATGATAAAGTGGCGTTTTCTTGATTTGGTTTCCTTTGTCCCCTGTCCTCCGCCCCCTAGTGAGGGTTTCAGATCGGCACGCCCCCCCCCCTCTCCTTTCAGTCCGAACTACCAACTTTCAGGAATGTTAATAGCCAGAGGAAGAGAGCACGTTTTTGTAACAAGATTTGTTTGGGTGTGGTTAATGTTGACGTAGTAGTCTTAGTTTGTTTTTGTATAAATCATAGCGAGTAGTCACACAACCTGCCGATCCGAAACCTCGCTTCTTTTGAGGCAGATGAGTTCTACTTAGTTCTCTTGGGTTTTGGTGTCAAAAATCATCTTTTTTTTCTTTGCTATTGTTACTTTCTTTTTTCTTAGAGTTTTTTTTTCTTTTGCCCTCGTTCCTTTTTCCAGTTGTAGGTACCCATACCTCCCCTTCCCCCTTAAAAAATCACTGGAGGACCCTCCGCGTTATGGGGCTCACTTAAATAATAAGTTTATCAAGTACTTTAGTGGAGTCTTAATTATGTAAGATAAACTTGATTTGACTTATTTTTATTATTTAACTTTGTATATTTATCCTTTTACAAGTGTGTTTATCCCTATAGCTTACCCATTGTATCATTGTATTCTATATTTTTGACGCTCAGTTGTGTATTAAATTACACCCAAAGTGTTCTTGAACATGGGGTGAAATCACTAGACTCTCGAATACGTTTTCTCTACTACAATCTTTGAAAGTGAGAACTAACAGACGGTTCGTTCCGAGCACAATTAGTGGTGATGTTAATCTAGCAAATCAATAATGATTTTTTAAATTGGCAGAGGGGTAGTAAATAGCCACACAAACGCGTAAGGAAATATAACTCATTAACTCTTGGGAAACCAGTCCCGGAAAATCTCAGTAAATAGTTATCTTGAAAGAATAATTGTTATTATACAGGTGTAGTTTATGAAGTCTCAGTTATTTGTTCTACTCTATCTTCATTTATATTCTGTTCCCTTCTCTGTAATCGTGAATTAAAGATAAACGTGAAAGAGTGAAGGCCTCTAATCCTTGCTCCATAGATTCTGGTTGACAGTACATGAGAAGAAACAATTGGAAAGATGTGACAAAATGTTCAGTAAAGCAACAGTCAGTGCCATTATCTCTTCACTAATGTGTCCATCACCATATTAAGTTTGGCAAGCTCCATCGTATGACGATCAACCAATCGTTTAAGTAACTTAATGTTTTCCTCAATGAATTGGGAACTCTTTTCTTTTCCCGCTTTCCCCCTTTTGTCATCCGTTGTGTCATCTCCACTTAAGTTGTCTTCCTCACATTTTTCAAAGTAGCAGCCCCATAAATATTTCATCACCAATTTCTCCATCGTTTCTTTTCGTCTCTAGAATGACGTAATAAGATTAAAGACTTTATTCATCATTATTTTCCCCCGCTCTCTATATCATGATATTCTATCGATTTAATTTAGGAGCATTTGTTGTTTTCGCATGCTACAAGGCTCGCTGGATCAATTCTCTTGGTGTTACATCAAAAACATTACTTTAAGCGGTAATCTCGTCCGAAAACAAAATTAAGAGTCAAATTTCATTACCTGAAATAATGAGACAAATAGGATTGCATTTCTAATGAGAAAAATAGGATTGTATATCTAGGAAGTTAGACCTTGATTTGTTTGGGTTTTAACAGAATTTCTCATTTATCAGTCCTGCTTACCTCTCTTTGCGCTTACACTTCGTCTGGTTCCTTTAACAAAGAGATGAAATTTAAGAAATGAGAATAAATTAACGCCTCAATTTGACAGTCTAATTGTAAATGCCAGGTCAGCGATCGGTGTCTTACTTACTTCAATAATCTACGCTCCCTTCTAAAATGAAACGTACGGTTTTGTGTAGTTCGAGAGACGCATATTTCCCGATTAATATTGAACGACTTAGAAACAATAGTTGATCAGAACAATAAATATCCTCTTAGTGATCTACAAAAGATAAAACTTCTTCTCTTCCTTACCCTATTACCATGACAACTACAGTCTCCCCCACCCACTATATGATGCTAAAATTCCCACTGAGGCAAGCTTTCACACGCGAAGTGAAAACACTTGGTAACGTTATCGATCAGTGGGAATGCCTGCGAGTGTGTTAATCGACCGAACTACATAAGTTGAATAAGTACGCTACGGTTTTTTTTTTTTTTTAAATCATTGGTTCTCGCCCCCTTTTGCTTTTGGTTTTCGGCACCACGTTTCCGTATTACATTTCCATATTATTTGAAATGATCCCCCCCCCCCGAAAAAAAAAGAAAAATTGGATGATGAATAAATTTGGAACTTATTGAACAATTATTTGTTTGTTCATTCAAAGAGGGTATTCTTACGTTAAAAAAATAGCCGAATAGCCGCTATGATGGAAAGGGTATTCTGATAATAGTAATGAAAGGTAGCATCGTGAGGGAATAACATCATTTTCCAGGTTCTCCCATTCCATAATCTAACAGAAATACTTAACAATTATTCCACGAGTACGCATTGGATATGAGCTGGTAGATAGCCAACCAGAGGATTGAAGTTGGCTATAACCATGTCTTACCCAACACACGCGAGTGGACAAACTGTTTTAATAAGAACTACCACGTGGTAACAGCGAATCCTGCGAATTGCACCGCGTTCGCCCCCTATCGAGTTCGCCCCTTCGAGTTCGCCCCTACCTTATGCCGTGTTCGCCCCCACACTTTTCGAGTTCGACCCCATCTAGTCGAGTTCGCCCCTTGAGTTGATGAGTTGATTTATGACGAGGGCACTAGCAGAATGTGCCAAATGTCACGTCAGCGACGATCATTTTGAATTTCGGCAATTGCATGGAACCTGCTTGGGAACTGGGTTGACGGAATCAACTAAATACTCTGCGTGGGATCTGGGGTTACCAGAAATAACTGTATACACTGAACTTGTGATAAAGAGAACCACACGGTTTATCTAACGAACACGAAATGTGTTGATCGTAACAACCAGACTTAAGAAGATGCAAACCACGCTTTCATCGCAACAGCATTGCTTAAGTTGTTAGACTTGTACCCGTTTAGCTTACTCATCAACTTACGAATCAACTCATCTGGATATCACTCACCGAAGGGGCGAACTCGATAGGGGGCGAAAGCGGCGGATACCAATCTTGCTATTTTTATTTTATCGCAAGGAAGACAATTTTTGTAAAGAAAACCATCCACTGGCCGCTAAACAAATCAAAACTTAGTTATACAACTTACTTGACAAAATTTGGTGATTGAAAAGTACTCTGACAGTGGTAAAACAACAGAGTAACAAAAAGTTAAAAAAGTAACATTTTTAAATTTGCACGACATTCTCATGTCATCTTTAGCTTTACAGCTGTACATTTGATTTTTCCAGTGTAAATAGTATGTTATAAGGTTACGTCATAAACCTGACGTCATAAATTTGAAGCTACTATGTTCCGTTGCGATTCACTGAAAGGGAAAATTTTGGAATAAGGTTTTTGCTAAGAGTCTTGCTGCTTAACATGGAAGTAGCCGAACATTTTCAACTTATTAAAAGATACAAAAGTTTAATGGTAAGAATTACTGATAATTAGTAAATTGGAGAAATTTCTCTTTTCGCGGCAGTGTCTCAAACGTTTTGGCCAAACTTACTAGAACTTCCATACCATGTGCGAACCAAAATACTTATTATACTATATATCCCTGAAGCACTCAGGCATACAACTATGCCAGGACTTCAACTTGGGTGAACCAAAGAGGATATATAACACTTGCTAAAACTTCAATATCTTGTGCGAACCAAAATACTTATTATGTTATATATCCCTGAAGCACTCAGGCATACAACTATGCCAGGACTTCAACTTGGGTGAACCAAAGAGGATATATAACACTTGCTAAAACTTCAATATCTTGTGCGAACCAAAATACTTATTATGTTATATATCCCAGAAGCACTCAGGCATACAACTATGCCAGGACTTCGACCTGGGTGAACCAAAGAGGATATATTACACTTGCTAGAACTTCAAAACCATGTGCGAACCAAAGTACTTATTATGTTATTTATCCCAGAAGCACTCAGGCATACAACTATGCCAGGACTTCAACCTGGGTGAACCAGAGAGGATATGTAACACTTGCTAGAACTTCAAAACCATGTGCGAACCAAAGTACTTATTATGTTATATATCCCAGAAGCACTCAGGCATACAACTATGCCAGGACTTCAACTTGGGTGAACCAAAGAGGATATATAACACTTGCTAAAACTTCAATATCTTGTGCGAACCAAAATACTTATTATGTTATATATCCCAGAAGCACTCAGGCATACAACTATGCCAGGACTTCGACCTGGGTGAACCAAAGAGGATATATTACACTTGCTAGAACTTCAAAACCATGTGCGAACCAAAGTACTTATTATGTTATTTATCCCAGAAGCACTCAGGCATACAACTATGCCAGGACTTCAACCTGGGTGAACCAGAGAGGATATATAACACTTGCTAGAACTTCAAAACCATGTGCGAACCAAAGTACTTATTATGTTATATATCCCAGAAGCACTCAGGCATACAATTATGCCAGGACTTCAACCTGGGTGAACCAAAGAGGATATATAACACTTGCTAGAACTTCGATTTACCATGTGCGAACCAAAATACTTATTATGTTATATATCCCAGAAGCACTCAGGCATACAATTATGCCAGGACTTCAACCTGGGTGAACCAAAGAGGATATATAACACTTGCTAGAACTTCAATATCTTGTGCGAACCAAAATACTTATTATGTTATATATCCCAGAAGCACTCAGGCATACAACTATGCCAGGACTTCGACCTGGGTGAACCAAAGAGGATATATAACACTTGCTAGAACTTTGAAACCATGTGCGAACCAAAATACTTATTATGTTACATATCCCAGAAGCACTCAGGCATACAACTATGCCAGGACTTCAACCTGGGTGAACCAGAGAGGACATGTAATATTTGAGGGTCTCTACTGGTATTCTGAAGAAATCAAAGATTTATGCTGAAAAAGGAAGATCTCGTAACTGAAGTTTAGGCTTAAAAGTTTATGTAACGCAATGATTTCAATCTAGATAATGAACAAGTAGATCTGCTGAAAAAATGAAAAGTGAACCAGACTTTTCTTACTCGTGCATTGTTCTTTGGTAAATTCCTTAGTTACTTTTCATGTGCAACAATATTGTTTACTTTCCTTATCACACTAAGTCAGTGTTCCTCTTTTTCCTAACTCTTTGGAAGTTTACCTGGATCATTTCCTCACAGAATGTAATCTGATTTAATAAGTATGTTTCAGCAACATCTTTGTCTTTAAAAAACCTTCTCAGGTTTTCTAAAGGCAGTGACTGGGTGACAATTTCTTCAATGTTCTCGAGAAACCTGCGTTCTGTTGAACCTAAAAACGATACAAAGATCACGCTTTAGTAAATACTGCAAAAGTTGTTAAACCACCTTAGGCTGGGGGTGGGGATTAAAAGTTGTTCAGTTAACAATAGTTTATGGTTACTATAGCTTTTCATTTTTCTGTATGATTGTTATTAATTGAAGACAAAGTTATTGTTATTGGCTTTGACAACCACACTAAGTAAGGCATAGTCTTTTTGTTCTAAAAGCTTGAAGAAAACAATACATTAATTATAGTATTAAAGATATGGCTTGGGCACTGGGGTAGGACAGGTTGGACCTCAGCCTACCACGGGGACATGGACGACCCCGCCCACCAGAGTCTGGGGTGACACCTTTGGCAAGTGTTTACAGCCCCGCAGCCACCCCTGCTAGGGTTACAGCACAGGGCAGGTAGAGCTCGCTAGCCTGGAAAGGCAGTTTACCTAGGGGAAGGAAAACCCTTATCCCAAACCTCTGCTGCCTTGCGGCTATATCCACACATGGAAAAGGCTTCAGGAGTAAACCTCGAGGAAAAATCCGGAGTTGGAGTCCCTAAGGCAGCTCGAAGTTGAATTCAACCCGTGCTGGCAGCTCCTGCGACGGCACTGGTCCCAAATTGTAACGACCTTGTTGTTCCTTTGGCCCCATCAGTGACGTGGAGAGGGGGAACATGTTACATGGGCAACAGCTTGTTCTCCATAAAACACTGCCCAGGCTAGCATCCGCCTACACTACACACCAACACACCTCGCACTACACCTGGAGAGGACACTCCAGCTACGCCCATGGCGTAGACACAACACGGAGAATGGCAGTTTACCGGTGATAAGCTACTGCTCGATTGGCGTAGAGTGAAGCGCCAGGGGTCGTTCTCGTCGGTGGGAGGGATCTTCGAATCCCACTGGACAGCTACCGCCCGCCTCAAGCTGGGCAGCCCCCAGTCAATAAGGTGCTGTCCCGCCACGGTTTGCTTTCTTCATTGGGTGCATGGAGATTAGGAGATATCCAACAGGCAGACTGCAAACTTTGCACCAGGCAATAACAAAAATCATCAAAAGAAACCAGTCCTGAAACTAGGCTGCTGGAACGTTAGAACAATGCTGACGGGCCTCTCAGAAGACCTTCAGGACGTCAGCGACTCCAGGAAAACAGCCATCATTAACGACGAACTTAGGAGGCTTAATGTGGACATTGCCACCTTACAAGAAACACGACTTGCAGACTCTGGAAGACTGAAGGAGAAAGACTACACCTTCTTCTGGCAGGGGAAAAGCCCCAATGTACCGCGTCAACATGGGGTGGGCTTTGCAGTGAAGAACAACCTGCTGAACATGGTAAAGCCAGGCAACAGCGGCTCAGAGCGACTCCTCACTCTCTGCCTGAACACCACGGCAGGCCCTGTAACTCTCGTCAGCGTGTATGCTCCAACACTCTCTGCTACACCTGAAATTAAAGACGAGTTTTATGATCAGCTCACAGCCACGATCAGCAACATCCCAAACAAAGAAAAACTTATCCTTCTGGGCGACTTCAACGCCAGAGTAGGAGCTGATCAAAGATCATGGCCTTCTTGCCTTGGAAAGTTTGGCATAGGCAAGATGAACGACAATGGCCAGAGACTGCTCGAGCTATGCACCTATCACAAACTCTGCATAGCCAACTCTTTCTTCAAGACCAAACCTCAGCACAAGGTCTCTTGGAGACACCCGCGCTCAAAGCAGTGGCATCAGCTGGACCTTATCCTTGTTAGACGAACCGCTATTAAGAACGTCCTCCACACACGCTCTTACCACAGCGCGGACTGTGACACAGACCACTCCTTGGTGTGTTGCAAGGTCAGGCTCCATCCGAAAAGGTTCCACCGTGGCAAGAAGAAAGGGAGCCCTCGTATTGATGTCATTAAGTTGAGCCAGCCTGATCTTAAAGAGCAATTTGCTGAGAGGTTTGAGAATCATCTAGCAACATTACAGTCAGGGGACTCCGCAACTGAGAAGTGGACCACCTTACGGGATACAATGCACCGCACTGCCTTGGCCACCTTTGGAAAAAGTACCTCGAAATCGCATGACTGGTTCAAAGCTAAATCCGCTGTGATGACCCCCATCATAGAAGCAAAGCGTGCCGCTCTAACGGAATACAAGCGATTACCCAGCGAGAAAAATCTTCAGATTCTCCGAGCTATAAGGAACAAAGTCAAACACACTGCAAGACGCTGTGCCAACGACTACTGGACCGAACTCAGCGAAGCCATCCAGACTGCAGCAATTACTGGGAACATAAGAGGGATGTATGAAGGCATCAAAACATCAATAGGTCCAATCCAGAACAAGACAGCTCCCCTTAAATCCACCTCAGGGGAAGCCATCACAGACAAGGGACAACAGATGGAGAGATGGGTGGAACACTACTCTGATCTCTATTCAAGACAGAATGTAGTAACATCATCAGCCCTTGATGCCATAAAATGCTTACCTGTAATGGAAGAGCTTGACAACGAACCCACTAATGAAGAACTCAGCAAGGCTATCAACAGCTTGGCCTCAAGGAAAGCTCCAGGCAGTGACGGGATCCCCCTGACCTGATCAAACACTGCAAGACTACACTATTACAGCCTTTACATAATGTCCTATGTGCGTGCTGGAAAGAAGGGGCCGTACCACAAGACATGAGGGATGCTAAGATCGTTACCCTCTACAAAAACAAGGGAGATCGCAGTGACTGCAACAACTACAGTGGCATCTCCTTACTCAGCGTTGTGGGCAAAGTCTTTGCTCGGGTTATTTTGGTAAGACTTCAGAAACTGGCTGAACGTATCTATCCAGAGTCACAGTGCGGCTTTCGAGCAGAAAGATCAACGATAGACATGGTATTCTCCCTCCGCCAGCTTCAGGAGAAATGCAGAGAGCAGCAGATGCCTTTGTACATTGCCTTCATCGATCTGACCAAGGCGTTTGATCTTGTAAGCAGAGAGGGTCTCTTCAGAATTCTATCTAAAATTGGCTGCCTCCCTAAACTACACAGCCTGATTGAGTCCTTCCATGCCAACATGCAGGGGACTGTGCAGTTCAACGGCAGAACCTCTGAGTCATTCAACATCAACAGCGGTGTCAAACAGGGCTGCGTACTTGCCCCAACCCTTTTCGGAATCTTCTTTGCCTTCCTTCTGAAACATGCATTTGGCGCATCGAAAGAAGGGATCTACCTGCATACAAGATCGGATGGCAGGCTTTTCAATCTTGCCCGTCTCCGAGCAAAGACCAAAGTGCGTGAAGCCCTGATAAGAGACATGCTATTTGCTGACGATGCAGCAGTAGCCTGCCATACTCAGCAAGCACTTCAGTCACTCATGGACCATTTCTCTCAGGCCTGCAAAGACTTTGGGCTTACCATCAGCCTGAAAAAGACTAAAGTCCTGGAACAAGGATCAGAAACACCACCATCCGTTACCATCGACGATTACGAGCTCGAAGTGGTCCATCATTTTACGTATCTAGGCTCCACTGTCACTGACAATCTCTCCTTAGACTTCGAGCTCGACCAGAGAATTGGAAAGGCGGCTGCCACACTTGCACGCCTCACTACACGTGTGTGGTCCAACCCCATGCTCACAGAGAAGACCAAGATGGCAGTATACAGCGCTTGTGTCATCAGTACACTGCTATACGGCAGCGAGACATGGACGATGTACGCCAGACAAGAAAAACGCCTGAACACCTTCCACATGAGAAGCCTCCGCCGCATCCTGGGAATTTCGTGGCAAGACAAAGTCCCAAACACAGAGGTCTTGTCTCGTGCGGGCCTGCCAAGCATGTCAACCTTACTCAGGCAACGTAGACTCCGCTGGCTGGGCCACGTTCATCGCATGCCAGACGGCCGCATCCCCAAAGACTTACTGTATGGTGAGCTAGCCACTGGAAGTAGACGCAGAGGACGCCCACAGCTGCGATACCGAGATGCTTTGAAGCGTGACATGAAGGCTGTAGGAATTGACACAGAGACCTGGGAAAATCTCGCAGCTGATCGGTCACAATGGAGAGGAGCCGTTACAAGGCACCTCAAAACAGGAGAAGAGAAGCTGACACAAGCTGCCACAAGGAGGCGGACCCGCAGAAAACTTCGTATCAGCAACGTCCAACAAACAGCATACACGTGCAGCACTTGCGGCAGGGACTGCCATTCACGCATTGGCCTTCACAGTCATAGCCGCAGATGCTCCAGCCAAACACACAATTAGGATGCTATACCCATGGTCGACCCTGACCGATGGAGGCCTACTACTAAAGATATGGCATTAAATACAACATAATTTACTTTCCTAGTTGTGTGTTGGTTGTTGTATTTATGTTGCATGACTTGTTTAGCTACATTGGCTTGGTATTAGCACTTGGCCAAGGGAAAAGAGGGAGAGGAAAAAAAGCATTCTTGAATTTTATGGTCAATGAAGTACGCTTATTTACTCTGTTGGAGTCTTTTGTAGAAAAAGTGACCGTCACAATAGCTGTTTGCATCAATCTGATGTATGACTGTATACCTGAGAATGACAACACTTGAATGTTGTGCCACTCAATACCACTTTCCTGGCCAGGCTTTGTCTTTACTACGATTCTGTCCCTTCTCTTCATACTGTCTGGTCCATACTCGGCTAAAACAGCATTGCAATTTTTAAGGCTCCCACACTCATACGCAAACATTCCCAGTGAACATAGCAACTGCTCTGTATTCCGCAGCTCGCAATGAAGAGTGCATAGGTTTACATCACACAACTCTTCTTCAAGGAGAAACAGCAAGTCATCCCTAACACCCTTCCATCTAAAATATTAGCAAAGGAGGAGTAATATCAAAAACTGCTGAAAGTTGACCTTTTATTTTATACCTAAACATTATCAAGCTTAGGTATTTATCAGTTTCTCCTGTGCATACAATGTAATTACAATTATGCCAGATTGTAATTATGCACAATTACAATCAAGCCAATTCCTGGGAAGTTGTCTGCAGTTTCTCTAAGAACAATAACGCTTATATCTACAACCATAGAAAATTAATGTAAGGTATAATGGAGAAGGCTAAACAGGGATTAATAAAATACTTGTTTACTGAAAATAGTTTTGTAATCAAAATTTAATACATAGATGCATGTCTAAAGTCTGAGGTGTGTACAAAAAAATTAATCACATAACCAAAAACACATAAATAACATACAGCTGCCCTTGTAAAATGATTGCATTAAAAAATTAAATGGGCTTACTGACCCTCCAACATTTGCCTTGCTCTTGATAAAGCATTCTGCACAGGATTCACCACATTCAACCCCTGGACATGCACATCCCTGCAATAAAATAGAGAACAATATTTTATTGTTTACCAGATAGTGACAGCTTGCAACAAGACAAGACAAAAATTCAAGGGGTACCGCTAAGGTGTGTTTGCTAAGTAACAGGACTATTTTACAGGTCGTCATCAAGGAACCACAAAACAAGGAAACCAAGGATTACGGTTAACAACGATTTATAAACGATCATAAAATATCGGTCCCACTCGTGCCAAAGATTATGAATCAAGACAACAAACAAGGCAAACAATGGACAATAAGTCAAAATCTTATGGAAAATGTGAGGTGACACTAAAGGATCTGATTACAAACCAATAGGAAAACAGAAAAAACATTGTAACTACGTCCATAAATAGGCACACAATCAAAGTAATTGATAATTGATCGGATTGAAATTGAATCCTTTGTCTATAATAGTATCCTTAACAAGCTTGATACAATTAAAAACTGTGAAGAAGAAGTTGAAGTTGAGTATGAATTTTAATTACCCATATACCAAAACTTACAGTGAAAACACTATTATAAAATGACTTGTGCACATCCAGTGACATAGGAACTACATTTAATGGCTACTTCTGTGATAACTTACCCGTATAACTTTACAGAACACACAGCACTCTGTGTCCAACCCTCTCTGACATAGACCTTCCATTTCTTCATCTGACTCATTATCTTCACACTTTCGTTTGATAAGCGTTATCAATGCCTTGTAATCAAGCATAACTGTCATAAAAAAACAAGATGAATAATTAAATTTTCTCAAATGTAACATCCTGACATTAACAAATATGATTTTAATGTCCATTAACAGGCTTCTTCTAGGATCACATCCCAAAATGCCTTTTATTTTAATTAATCAGTCTGCATTTACTGTCATCAGCATTTCTACAGCCTGGCGTAGAAATGCAGATGGTTACAATCTTTAGGAACACACCCAAGAAGAGAATGAGGAAATTGATTCTTAAGTCTTGTTTTTTTTAAGGTGATGGAGTCAGTAATTTAGCAGTAGGTAAAGGGCCATTCAAGCCTATAGTGGCCCATCAGGCTTTGTAGCCTTACCTTGGATTCAGGAGCATAAAGTGACAAGAGTATTTCTATGCACACTCGGATGGGGCGCTAGCCCATCAAAGGGTTATACATGCCAGGATTAAGTTCACTGGTACTTTTTCAATCCCCTGAGCTCAGACACTGTGAGTATTGCCTATGAATACAACACAATTACTCTGGCCAGGACTTGAAACCCAGATCACTAGATCTCAAGTTCAGCACACTCACCACTGATAATTACAATGCAGATCACTATGTCTCCCTTATTAAGTAAGGTAAGGTCTGGGTTTGGGCCCAGAAGTCACCCACCAGCGTCGAAGCTTATCCGGATTTCAGTAGCACTAAGGGACTAGGAGTATTTCTACTTCATCCTGGATGGGATGCTAGCCAATAAAAGGGTTATCCCTGCCCAGCATTAAATTTGCCAATTGATACACATTCATATACATTTATATTATTTGTGGGTGGAGAGAAGCACTATGAAAGTTGAATGTCTTGCCCAGGAACACAACACAATGGCCTCGGCTAGGGTTTCAACCCGGACTGCTTGATCTGGAGTCCAGTGCTCACGTGAAACATTAGGCACTTACAAATTCAGCAGATGGAGTTATTCTACAATATCATTATTATAAGTTATATGTTTTAATAGCAAACAGAAGAAAGAAATACATGTAATTCTGAAAATAAATATAACTTCAATATATAAAGGAACTCCAGCAATAAGCTGGGTATTTTTCCTTGGCCCTACAGTGGCCTAGGAAAGTATATTTAATCACCTGTAAATTTGACTTTAAAGTGTCTTCCATCAATAGTTATTCCATTTTTCTTGATGGCATTTTTTTGGGCATTGATTTCCTTTATTAGGGCTTCAACATTGATCCTACAGAAAAAAAAAACAGTTTAAACTCATTTAATTGAACTCCTAACTTAATAATGGGCATTGAATTATGAAATCATAATAGTGCATTTAGCAGTCTGCTAAATGCATTTCTTAAAGTGATATTTTAGCCATTGAAGACCTAAATATTATTATTATCACCTGTTTTCCTCACAATTTGCAATTGCTATAGGGTAGACACTTTTACAGCTCTCACTTGATGCATGACTGACATTGATAGGATGACTTGCTGCCTACCTGTAGAAGGATGCAAGAACAGGAATATTATCCGACACTATGATTACTTATTATTACTTGTCCTTAACAGGACATGCAAGAACAAATGAAAAATAGGTGGCTTCATAAATGTTGGGTTGTTTTCTCAGTAATACACTGCATGCTGCACTATTAGTATAAATACGTACCAGGTAGTGATTTTCGGAATTGCTTTATTTGTCAATGGCAGAGGTTCAAAACGGGAACTTGATGTTGTAGGGTAGCTTGGGGTGATCTTGATAATTATATCAGACAGCTTATAGAAAGTAAAATGCTAAATTTGCCCCTTAGATATGCAACAAGAAAAAACTAACAATAATAATAATAATAATAATAAACTTTATTTATGTGTCAAATAAGATAGCAGTTTCCCACTAAGTAAGGACACCTAAACTAAACTAATCTAATCTATATAAAACTATGCGTTAAAAATTTATTGGAATATGATAAAAGAGCTCTAACCAAAAAATGGTCTCCCATCTAGCTTAAGATTAAGCTCAAGGGTTTGCTGGTCAGGCTGATGCAGTCTTGTTTCCCTTGCTGATGCCCAAGCCACTGCAGCAGAAAGGTTAACCTGATATCCCTGAGGAGCTCCATCTGGCAAGGGCCGATTCCCATTGCCTTTTTTACAACATGAAAAATCATCTTGCGCACAGCCTTTATGTGATTCTTGTTCAGAAGAAGTGGAATTATGTCAGATTTCGTCGAGATAAACAAATGCAGACATAACAATATCTTAATGAATCAATAAAAAAAGGCATTACAGGGTTGGAAATTAGCACTTGCCCACTTGCCCAGGCGAGTGTCAAAACTACTTGGACAAGTAAAAATCCTAGGCTTTTTGTTGCATTTATTGAAGGCACTCGCCCAATGGCCAGTGCTGTCAAAATTAAGTTTCCATCCCTGGCATTACAGATCAATGAACCCATTAAAATGTAAAATGGTAATAGAATGATTATAATATAATGTGGAATCCATCAATAATGATAAGAGCACAAATAAATGTTTAGGTAAGGAAAGACATGTCTTGTGAAATAAAAATACTGAGATCAAGTTACAGTTTGAGTTCTAATATAAACTACTCTATTTTAGTCACACTGCTCATCAGTGAAAATGATTTTAGTAAGATGAGGTATGGTTAAAGGGGGGTGGGGGGTCAGGGGCACCTCAGGAACCCCTCTAGCCATGCCCTTGACAAAGTTTAGCAATAAAAAAAGAAAGAGGAAAAACAATATTTCTGTTTGTTATTTTTCTATTTATCTTTGTACTTTGTATCGGTATATTGTTTTATTATATCATAATTAAATAAATTTTGACCTCCAAAAGAAACGGATAAAGTTGACCAGAATTTAAATACAGGGGTGGCAGATTTTCCCCACTCGCCAATTTAATCAAACACACTAACTGGCAATACAAAATGATTTACCTTAGTTCGCCCTAACTTTGTAAAGTTCAACAAGGTTTGCCATCCTTGGTCTGGGATCTGGGACTGCAGCTTGAAGTAAAGCAACGTCCAATCGGGCACACGAACGGATTTAAAGAATTTTGGGGCACTGTCCCCCAGTATTGCTTCCAGGGCTTGCTTCGGGTCTTTTTTTCTCAGCAGCTGTTCTGCGATATCGCTCATCACCTTAGCCACTTCAACATTCTGGTCCACCTGATCGGCGAATAAAGATGCAAGAGGCACCTGGAACTTATCGCAAACATCGCCGATCAAGGTCCACATATCGCTTGTACTGTCCGGGTTGTCCTTTGCCGGGTCCTGTGTGCCTGAGCTCAGCGTCGATTGACCGCCGTTTTTCATCTCATCTCGAAGGGCCTCCAACTGGGAAAGCACAACTTCAAGTTCAGCCTTAAGCTTAAGATTTTCATCTTGACACTTCTCGATATCCTCTATGGATATGGCTGACCTTGAATCGACTCCAAATACTGTTTGTACAGGGTCATGAATTTTGTCCTTGTTGTTGTCACGTGTGTCAGTCGCTGTTTGGCAATCTTCATTATCTTGGCCAATATTTAGGCTGTTGATGCCATCAACCAACCAACTGTACTTTTCTTCTTCGCCCGCTTTTAGTTTTTGCCGAAGTATCGCGGAAACAACGCCGAAAGAAGAGGCTATGAATACCTCTTCTTTGTGAACTAGTCGTCGATCCAAGTGCCCGCCATTTTTAAGATTCGAGAGTTGCACTGTGTTAAATTCTTTTGGAAAGCTTGACACCAAAGGGCTACTCGACATGAATTTTCCTACAGGAATGCCGCATATTGTGGAATTCAGGAGATACCAGTCCCTCGAATCGCTCGCTCATCTCTGAAAAATCAGTCTACAAACCGACCGAGACCTTTCAATATACACACTATTCATCTTGCCACCCGCCAGGTGTTAAGAAAGGCTTTATTAAAGGAGAAGCTATCAGACTTCTAAGAACAAACTCCTCGGAAAGAAATTTCCAGGAGGCCATGTGTAACTTCAAAACACGACTTGAAGCACGTGGTTACCCAAAAAGCCTAATTGAAAAAACGTTATCTGAGGTCTCGTTTGCCGCAAGGCAGCCGACACTTAAAAAACAAACCAAAAAAACTAAAGGCAAAATATTGCCTTTTGTACAGCATACCACCCAGGGGTTAAAAATTTAAAACAAATACTGATGCAAGAATGGAACCTCATCCAAAATCAGCCACTGCTGAAAACAATTTACAAAACGCCTCCGATTATATCATACAAAAGAGGTAAATCGCTCAAAGACATACTCGTCAGAGCGAAGCTTTAATTAAAGGCTTTTGCGTCGCAAACGTAAAACCACACGGGGGAGTCTGTGTAGGCCTGTCTATGACCTTTTCAACGAATATCGAGGGCATCCATGCCGCACAGCACCTGATGAGAACAAATTTCCCGCTCTTGTGAGTAATGTCTGAAATTCAATCTCAAGAAATGTCAAAAGAAAAATCCAGCCCCTCAAAATAAACAGGATTGACGCCATTGGAGGTTGTACACAACGGTGTTAATGTAATCACCGAACGCTCCCCTGTTGAAACCACAAATCGAAAGCGATGATATCTACTGAGCCGGATCATGACATCACACCGTAGCAACCAAACCCGGTTTGCTCTGGCTCGTCATGCGTTGGTGATCACCAATTTCTTGAGCCACGCGCGTTATCAGCTACAGTCCCCGATCAATTGCATAAAGTAAAGCCACAACTCTAAACACGGAGGATAACATCCAACTTATATTTATATCCGTATCAAAAAGAGGCAGAAGTAAGTGGCTATTTTCGGCATTGTATTACTAAATAAATATGACAGCAATTTATTCGACAACTGTGTTTCTTGAAAAAGTTACGTGAAGTGAAACGAAAATAGACGCGGAACAATTGATTTTTTGGGAAACTACTAACTCAGACCAATCAGAAGTTTTACCGTGAACTTATAAAAAGGGACAAAGACAACAATATCACCCCCCTTGCATGCGTTCCCTCTCAGATTCCAACGACCACGCTCCGGGCTTGAATTAATTTTTCTTCCCCCCCCCCCCCCCCACCCCTCCACCCTCTATTTCCCTTTGTGCATACCTCTCAGTCTGCAAATTTAGAATTTCACTTTTCTTCAATAATCCCTCATGGCAGCCAGACACACATGGCCCAATGATTGATCTAAGCCTTTGTTTATCATTTGTCAATCTGCTTTTTTAAAAAACAAAGAAACAAACGAAGAAACAAGAACAATCAAAAAGCGCAAAGCTGTCTGTTAAGTTTCGTTATATAAAGGAGACATCTAATTATTGAGGTGAACTGCAGTATTCATTTGTCAAAGATTTTTGGTTTTCGTGGTGGCCATCAATATTCAACAAGCGTCTCTTTTAATTTTCTGAATACAAGAGAAGCCTCAACTTAAAAATGATAAAAAGTTGAATGCAAACCTTTCATATCCCGATAAATCCTGATCTTAATCGGCGAAGGCCACAAACCATAACACCTATCACATGAGCCTAAAATTTCTGATTTAAGTCATCCGACAGCCCTTGATTTCATGACATTATTTGCAAGACTGAAAAAATACCCAAATGCTGTAATTGGTACAAGATATCCAAACGCTGTGATATGACTGGTACGAGATAAATACCCTAATGCGGCGATCTGATTGGTGCGAGCAACGTACCACTATACTCGCTAACATAGAGTATTTTTTTTTATTAAGAAAAAAATAACTCGATAAAGAGAACGGATGTTGACAAAGGTGATAACGAGAGACTAACTTCCGCTGAATAGACAACAAGCAGTCTCTCCTTTTCGGCGGCGTCCATAGGACGGGTAAACAAAATCAGTGAAGAAAAATTCGCGTCAGCACGCGGAGGGTAGCTCTTTAAGTGAGGCGCTCGAAAAGAAGGGACTACAGACGAAGCTCAAGAGTTTGACTTCTTCTCACAATGCAAAAATATGATGAGCCCAGCGTAAATCGAGTGCTAGACTTGGGATTTGTAAATCACTTTGGGATTACTAAAGGCAAATTACAAGCACGCACACGGCAAAATTCGTTCTGCGATGGTCCGGCTTGCCCTTCCTAATTATCTCCATTTCACAGGTTTCCAGTTTATTGTGCGCCTCGAATGTTGAAACAGTTTTCATGTTATTCTCCCCGCGCTTTGCAACTACATGAAGATTGACTGGCAACTGAAGACAGGGAATGCCATTGGTTACACCTAATTGAGATTAAAGGGCTGTAGTTCTTTCTTGTCATAGAGAAATAGCATATTATTCACAGCCAACCGCGCTCAAGGGCAATATTTAAAAGCCATCCCGATTAAAAGATATCCTGGTCATGGCTAAACTTTGGAGACATAAGATTCAAAATCGCTTGCGAATGGCGGGAGTCACGCCGACGCGTCAACACGTTAAAAAAAAATCAATCTATTTTCTTCAGCGTTTCTTTATTTCAGGGCGGTTGTCCTCTGAATTCGGGATGATATGAAGAGAGATAACCATCTTTTAGGGAAGCTGTATCCTGCTTTATGCTTCCGAGCATAAATCTATAGCTCTTTCCTAGGCTTACTATGAGTAATGTTGAATCGAGTGCCAGGATAATGTGACGAGCCAACCCGCCCCAAAAAAATAACCAAAAGAGATGCGACATCACCTTTTTCGACTTGGTTATAAGTTTGAGCTCTTTTCGGCCACGTCAGCTTCTAAGCTATTTTGATTGATGTGTTTTCTTTAAAGCAACAACTGTGAAAATGCCAAGTAACATAATTAATGCACAATGCAAATGACACGAAACAAACCCAAACTACCAATGAAAATGCGATTTGTCACGTTAACACCCTGATAATCAGGACTGCCACCTTCAATTCCGGGAATTTGAGGAACAAGCTAGTTCTGTTGTCTGAAAAATTCAAAATTCAACTTGTTTTGCTATGGCGCAAGACGTTTCCACCGAAGAAGTGAGTTTACAGCAGGTAAGAGATGCCGAATACGTTTACAGTCGTCTGAATGTTCAAACGTCAAAGAATTCGAACGATCTTGCAACTAAACTACTTCAAGCCCTCGGGAAGAAGGATGCTTTAGAATGCTTGAAACTTCTAGATGGTGGCCATGAAACGGTCTTGTCAGAATACGAAAACTTCCGAAATGACTGCAAGGAAGCCAACAAGAAAGAGCGGCAGAGGGAAGGGAGATTTCGGTGCGACTGTCGGGATTGCTGCACGAAAATGTTTAACTTTTGTCCCAACAAGTGCAAACCTCGTTGTTGTTCGAACTCTTCGAAAGAGTCTAACGACGAGCAACAAAGCTCCGAACCGCAAGGATCAGAAGAAGACAGCATAAATGATGAAACGAAACTTAACTGGATCAAAATTCTTTCTAACCCTCTGTTCATTGGTTTGGAATGGCTATGGAGAACAGAATCTGACTGTTCGTGTAAAGTGTGCGAGAAAGATAGGAAGTTGGATGGAAAAGAAAAGAAAGAGAAGGAGGATGTCATAGAAAGTTCTCTACATGATGCATATCTACTCGATGAAACGTCGTCTCTCAAGCACTACAATAGCCGAGATGTTTACAGGGAATCGGCGGAGGCTTACGAAACGTTTGCTGTTGGCGTGCTGGAGAAAGCCGCCCAGAATGAACTTTACCTGATCATGGATATAAAAGGAGAGGGCTGCCTGCTGAAAAATAATCCTAATCAACACAGAAATTTTATTCAAAGTCTGAGCCTTCTCAAGAGTGCAGTCAATAAGGGAAGGAAGAAGGTATGCTCTCGGGATTAAACGACGATGTTGTTTAGCGCCGCAGGAATATGAATATTGATTTCTGCACTCAACCATTTCTTAGAAATATCAGAAATGACCCCTCATTACTCTGCCAACAATTTCCAAATCTTGTGTGATGGAGACCGATCTTTAAATCTCTTGGTAACATAAATCAGTGACAGCACGTAGTAATTGATACTGTAGGCCTCCTTTATTCTCCACAAGTTTAATCAGATGATTAAAGATTCGGCTTTGTTTTAATAATGGATTTTGAACGAGATTACATCAGGCAAATTATTTTTAACCCATCGTATCTAGTACAATTTGCATTTCATTAAGGGTGTGAGCAACAAAACAACCAAGCTGAAATGTTTAAGTTTGGAGCTCGCCGACCAAACGTTAGATCCGTGAGTTAAGTGTTATTCTACATAAGGTGAAATGGTGATTCATATGAAATGCAGTTAAATTATACACTTTCAGTGCCTATCAACTTCGATGGTGGTCTTAATACATACTGCTTGTTTTCGTAAAGGAATGATCGTTGCAGCAAAAGTCTTTCAACGATTTCCTCTTACAGAGATTTTATTACATCAAAGCACTCTTTCAAAGTTTCCTTTGTCTGTTACTAAAATACTTGATATTTCGGCCGAACAAGTTAACTTTTTCTGTCTCAAGGCTGAACGCGTATCCATCAGGGCCCGGTTGTTCAAAAGGTGGTTTAACTTGTAATTAGTTGCCCTTGAAATAAAGTTTGTATTAGGGTCTAAGTATTAAGGGTTTTACCTTAGTGTGACACAAAACTGATGGAAAAAATATATCCAATTAAAATTGTCTGCAAAGCTACACAAATTAAACTAAAAACTGGTGGCTAACCCTCGGTTAGCTTAATCGTACTATGTACAATCCGGCCCGGGTTAATAAACTTTTCTCCTTAAACCTTAGAAACCTCCCACTGATTGAAAAAAATTCATCTCTTTGAATGCTCTGAGGCGTAAAAGCCCAATCAGCATCATTTCTTGTTCTGATAAACTAATACGTCTATCTCTATATTTACTTGTAGTTTGTTTCAAGTCCAAGATGTCAAGCTATCCTCGATGCGATTATTTTTTACAAGATGCGGGATTGGCAGGACAAGAGCATGGCAAAAAAATTTTTTTGGTCCCTTTGGCAGTTTGTCGTCATCTTACTTGTTACTCCTTTTTTCGTTTTCGTTCGACCATTCATGAAGACATGTTGCAGTGATATCAGATGCCATGCGTACATAGAGGAATTATATGAGCATCCCTACAATAAGTTTGGAAACCACATCAGTTTTTACATTGTATTCCTGGGGCTGCTTTTCGCCTCAACTTTCGGCTTTGAACACGAGTACAGAACAAGTACAACAGGGCTTTCATCCATTGGTAAGTTGTGTAGATTGATTCTTCAGTGTCTATTTCACCACTAACAGTGTATTAGCTAAGAGCAACAGCTAATTCTGCTGATACCGTTCAAGCTCAAATTAGTGCCCGGGACTATTTCTTTATTTCGCAATGCATAATCCTGACTTGTAGTAATCTCGAACTGCAAGTTTCTGAAAAGTGAACTTCTGCGACATTAAAGGAATTTAATCAACATCTTGTTAGCATGAAGCACTTACCAAATATTAAATTTTTCAACAAATAATGAAACAGCGTCTCCAATTAATTTTTGCAGAGTCATTTGCGTTCCGTTCTGATTCGTCCACAGATTATGTTGTCCTCGTCTTTTTGGGCGGTTTCCTTCTACAAGAAATTTGGGAAGTTTCTAAACAAGGATTCCGAATCTACATCTCGAAATGGTGGAATGTCGTGGACACAATAACATTTCTTACACTCCTGGCAGCTTATATAGTATGGCTTGTCACATGGCTAAGCGTTTATAAAGAATGGCAACCGAGGAAGAATGCCTTCATCGTGACAGATGTCTTGTATGCAAGCGCCACAGTGTTAGCGTTCTTTCACCTAGCTCACGCGTTTCAAGTCAGCTCAACTCTTGGCCCTTTGCAGCTTTCATTGTACAGAATGCTGAAAGATGTGGCCAAGTTTCTTTTCATTTTTCTGATGCTTTTCATTGCATTTGCAACTGGCCTCATAAAAATTTATTCATACTATGTGACCTCCCAAGCGAAACTTCGTGAAGAGGGCGAGAGCAAATTCCAGGACTTCCATCCATATGCTGAGTAGGGGGATACTATTGCGATATTTATATAAGAGAGTGGGCGCCCATAAGCAAACATACAATATTTCATCTATAATTTTATAGAAAAATATTGCTGAAAGAAATTTAAAGTGCTTTAATTGATTTGATGAGTGGACGGACGAAGAAAGACTTATGCCCATGTAATCGGACAGATAGACAAACATCAGGGCCCAGTTGTTTAAAGGTCGGATAACGCTATCCAACGGATAAATTACTATCCAGTGGATAAGTAATAGCAAAATGTATAGCGTCAACCACCGTATAGAGTTTTATCCAGTGGATAGCGTTATCCCATCTTCAAACAATCGGGGCCAGACGTATAGATTAGCTGACCAGTGAAAAAGATATCTCATATTTTCATCATTCGAAACTTTTCAGGCACGAGAACACTTTTATTAGCTTGGTCTGGTTACTGGTTGGCTACGTGGAAGAAGACAAAATAAGGGTTGATGATCCTGCCTTTTACCTTACACAACTGTTTGGTCGCTTGGGTTTCCTCATCTACCTGGTTTGTACCGTTATCGTTGCTTTGAACATGCTGATCGCCATGATGAATAACTCCTTCGACAGAGTTATGGTAGGTCCCAAGTTGTGGTTTGTGACAGATTTTGACTTGATATAATAGTTCCGAGAATGATGTTTGCTAGTTGGCTTTTTACTCAGTGACATAAACCACGTTGATTACCACACTATCATCATGATTGATCCGTAGCATGACGACTCATATGAATTCGAGGGAATTCAGTCAACCTTCGCATAAAATCACTAAATCCTCTTATTACTGAGTATACCTACCTAGTCAGTCGATCACGGATAAGCTTAAACTCTTTCCAAACCTTAGGGGAAATTTATGTGAGTTATTACATGTGATAGATTTTAACTTAGAAAATGAACTTTGGTTTTTAGGGTGATGAGGACAAAGAGTGGAAGTTTTCAAGGGCTCAAATGTGGTTAGAATATATCGACAAAGGAAATGCAATACCAGTACCTTTTAACCTTCTGTATTATATCTTTTATTTTTGCTTTTTCCCTATATTCCTCGTTTACTGGATGGTAAGGGGAGACTGCAGATGCAATTGTAATAAGAAGGTAAATGTTGGCAATTGCTATTTTGTCTTTGGAATACTTGCAAAATCCTTTTAGTGAGATCTTGGTTGTACTTTCATCATGATTCTGAGGAAAAAGGGCTCGAAGAAATCAATTCCGTTTGCTTCATTCTCCCCCAGGATGAAACATTTTTCGCTATGACCTGGTCTCTTAATAAATCCCGCGAGCACACAGAAACAGATAAAATTAACTAGTAATTCTGGGAAATGCAACATGTAAATGCAAATATAAATTCCAACAGATCTTATATTATCAAGTGTAGATTTCAATTCCAACAGGTCTTAACAAGTTTACTACAGAAGCATTGCATGTCTCTTGAGTGACAACTCACGTTGGTGCTAAAATATGTTTTGTTTCATTTTGCTGCTTACTTTGACGGAAACAGCGAGAAGAGAGAAAAAGAACTGTTGAGGTACGCAAAATGAAAAAAACGATTTCGATTTAAACCTTACTCGTTGTTTCGTTACGTCATCTCGGGCGCCCAGTACGCTGGCCGATTCCTATTGCAAGAAGCCTGGTGATGAGGAGTTTTGAAAGTGGGCTGGCATTTGCCTCCTTTGTTTGCGTTTTAAGCATTCAAGATCATGGGAGTAATCTTAAGATAGGTTGTCTAGATCTGCATAACTCATTAACTGGCAGATTTCCTAATTCTTTACTTTTAGTTGCAAGCCAGTCCTAGACCCACTAGAGCAGAAGAGAATGTTGAAGAAGGCAATCCACAACAAGTAGAGCAAAATGTAGAGCAAGGAACTAAAGATCAGGTAGGATTAAGATCCCATTACTTACTTTCACCTCACAATTCACGATTGCGCTCCGCAGTCAATAGTTTACCAAATATGGCAAAGGAAAAAGTCACCAACACATTGAGATCCTCATTAGAAAAAGGGAAAAATAAGAGACAAATCACAAAACTCTTGTTTTCATTTTATGCAAATGATTTAATGTAAAAATAAGGAAGCTGTTTTGAACCTTCTCGGTTACAGCACCAATTAATATTTTTAAGTCATTTTCTCTTTACTTTTTCATCAGACTTCAGGCGATAGTATCGCCTGCTGTATTTGTCATGGATGTTTTTGTTGTTGTAAATCCGAAACCGAAAACAAACGAAAAGAGGTCAGTAAATGGATCATTTTGTTGTACCACATATGCGTATAAGTGACAACACTTAGCTGATGAACTAAGGGCAACAGATCCAGGCTGTAAGAGAAATAGATCATGTATCTTTTTTGTATAAATAAACGTCTCAAATTAGCCTCACAATTCCCAATTGCCCTACGCAATCCAAACTGAGTTTGCCAAACCGACTGCTGTGAAAAAGGAATAGAAAAAAACTGATTAAAGGTAGATACCACTACATTGCAATTCACGGTAGAAAAAGGGGAAAACTAGAGACAAATCACAAAACTCGTGTTTTAATTTTAGGCAAACGATTTAATGTAAAAATAAGGAAGCTGTTTTGAACCTTCTCGGTTACAGCACCAATTAATATTTTTAAGTCATTTTCTCTTTACTTTTTCATCAGACTTCAGGTGATAGTATCGCCTGCTGTATTTTTCATGGATGTTTTTGTTATTGTAAACCCGAAACCGAAAACAAACGAAAAGAGGTCAGTAAATGGATCATTTTGTCGTACCACATATGCGTATAAGTGACAACACTTAGCTGATGAACTAAGGGCAACAGATCCAGGCTGTAAGAGAAATAGATCATGTATCTTTTTTGTATAAATAAACGTTTCAAATTAGCCTCACAATTCCCAATTGCCCTACGCAATCCAAACTGAGTTTGCCAAACCGACTGCTGTGAAAAAGGAATAGAAAAAAACTGAGTAAAGGTAGACACCACTACATTGCAATTCACGGTAGAAAAAGGGGAAAACTAGAGACAAATCACAAAACTCGTGTTTTAACTTTAGGCAAACGATTTAATGAAAAAAAAAGAAAGCTGTTTTGAACCTTCTCGGTTATAGCACCAACTAATATTTTTAAGTTATTTCTTCTTTATTTTTTCGTCAGACCTCGGGCTATAGTTTTGCCTCCTGTATTTGTGATGGATGTTCCTGTTATTGTAAACCTGAAATCGAATACAACCGAGGAGAGGTTTGTTAGTGTTGATAAATTACTTCAGTAAATGGATCATTTTGTCGTACCACATATGCGTATAAGTGACAACACTTACCTGATAAACTAAGGCCAATAGATCCAGGCTGCAAGAAAAATAGATCATGCGTCTTATGTGTATAGATACACGTCTCAAATTAGCCTTACAATTCACGATTGCGCTCCGCAATCCAAATTGAATTTGCCAAACCGGATGCTGTAAAAAGGGAAAAGAGAAAGGTGAAGACAAATTTTGAGGCAAATTTGCTTTTTCCGTCGCTTTATCTACGATAAGTACCACCCAGAAGTGCCATTCTTTACTTTTAGATGCAAGCCATTTGATCCAGCGAGCCTTGCCAAACGCAAACCTTGCCTTACGCAATCCAAACTGAGTTTGCCAAACCGACTGCTGTAAAAAGGGAAAAGAGAAAGGTGAAGACAAACACCTTTTCAGCGATTTGGGATCATTTACAATTTAAATATCACAGATGCAGATATTCCAATCGTTGTTGGAAGCAGTTCATTGCTAAGTTTAGTATTTACTATAATACTAAATTGGTACTGTTTCTTCTTTATAAGGGACGCGGGGAAGTTATAGCATCATGTGTTAAAAAGTATGTGAACCAGATGAGGAACACTTAGCACGGAGGACTTTAAAGGAGTCACTTGTTGATGAAAGAGATGACCGAAATCGAAAGAGGGTTGCGTAAACCCATTTACAGGAACTGTAGGCCGTTTTGATGATGTATAAGATTTTTGTTTTTATTGCAAGAAAATTTAAGACCGGCCCACAATTTAAAGTGCGGGTAGGAAACGGAATTTATCGTAGTTAGTTTAATGTAATTTTTGGGGGGATCTAACGAACTCGTATTTTGTGTTAAGAAAGGACGAATTCTTCAGATTTCTGGTCTATGTTTGCTAATATATATATCCATTATAACCGCTTTGGCTGCTGTTTTCCCCATATTCACCCGTCTTTATATCAATTGCTTCATTTGTGCTGTCATGCAGCGGTAATGTATGATTATTCTTTTTATCTTTGACTTCTGAATAGTAGAAGTTACTCAGTATGATAAAGTGGCGTTTTCTTGATTTGGTTTCCTTTGTCCCCTGTCCTCCGCCCCCCTAGTGCAGGGTTTCAGATCGGCACGCCCCCTCCCCCTCTCCTTTCAGTCCGAACTACCAACTTTCAGGAATGTTAATAGCCAGAGGAAGAGAGCACGTTTTTGTAACAAGATTTGTTTGGGTGTGGTTAATGTTGACGTAGTCTTAGTTTGTGTTTGTATAAATCACATCGAGCAGTCACACAACTTGCCGATCCGAAACCTCGCTTCTTTTGAGGCAGATGAGTTCTACTTAGTTCACTTGGGTTTTGGTGTGAAAAATCATCTTTTCTTTTTCTTTGTTATTTTTACTTTCTTTTTTCTTAGAGTTTCTTTTATTTTGCCCTCGTTCCTTTTTCCAGTTGTAGGTACCCATACCTCCCCTTCTCCCTTAAAAAATTACTGGAGGACCTTCCGCGTTATGGGGCTCACTTAAATAATAAGCTTATCAAGTACTTTAACGGAGTCTTAATTATGTAAGATAAACTTGATTTGACTTATTTTTATTATTTAACTTTGTATATTTATCCTTTTACAAGTGTGGTTATCCCTATAGCTTACCCATTGTATCATTGTATTCTATATTTTTGACGCTCAGTTGTGTATTAAATTACACCCAAAGTGTTCCTGAACATGGGGTGAAATCACTAGACTCTCGAATACGTTGTCTCTACTACAATCTTTGAAAGTGAGAACTAACAGACGGTTCGTTCCGAGCACAATTAGTGGTGATGTTAATCTAGCAAATCAATAATGATTTTTTAAATTGGCAGAGGGGTAGTAAATAGCCACACAATCGCGTAAGGAAATATAACTCATTAACTCTTGGGAAACCAGTCCCGGAAAATCTAAGTAAATAGTTATCTTGAAAGAATAATTGTTATTATACAGGTGTAGTTTATGAAGTCTGAGTTATTTGTTCTACTCTATCTTCTTTTATATTCTGTTCCCTTCTCTGTAATCGTGAATTTAAGAAAAACGTGAAAGAATGAAGGCCTATAATCCTTGCTCCATAGATTCTGGTTGACAGTACATGAGAAGAAACAATTGGAAAGATATGACAAAATGTTCAGTAAAGCAACAGTCAGTGCCATTATCTCTTCACTAATGTGTCCATCACCATATTAAGTTTGGCAAGCTCCATCGTATGACGATCAACCAATCATTTAAGTAACTTAATGTTTTCCTCAATGAATTGGGAACTCTTTTCTTTTCCCGCTTTCCCCCTTTTGTCATCCGTTGTGTCATCTCTACTTAAGTTGTCTTCCTCACCTTTTTTTAAAGTAGCGGCCCCATAAATATTTCATCACCAATTTCTTCATCGTTTCTTTTCGTCTCTAGGATGACGTAATAAGATTAAAGACTTAATTCATCATTATTTTCCCCCGCTCTAGATCTCTATATCATGATACTCTATCGATTTAATTTAGGAGCATTTGTTGTTTTTCGCATGCTTCAAGGCTCGCTGGATCAATTCTCTTGGTGTTACATCAAAAACATTACTTTAAGCGGTAATCTCGTCCGAAAACAAAATTAAGAGTCAAATTTCATTACCTGAAATAATGAGACAAATAGGATTGCATCTCTAAGGAGAAAAATAGGATTGTATATCAAGGAAGTTAGACCTTGATTTGTTTGGGTTTTAACAGAATTTCTCACTTATCAGTCCTGCTTACCTCTCTTTGCGCTTACACTTCGTCTGGTTCCTGTAACACAGAGATGAAATTTAAGAAATGAGAATAAATTAACGCCTCAATTTGACAGTCTAATTGTAAATGCCAGGTCAGCGATCGGTGTGTTACTTCAATAATCTACGCTCCCTTCTAAAATGAAACGTACGGTTTTGTGTGCTTCCAGAGACGCATATTTCCCGATTAATATTGAACGACTTGGAAACAATAGTTGATCAGAACAATAAATATCCTCTTAGTGATCTACAAAAGATAAAACTTCTTCTCTTCCTTAAGATAAAAAGATAAAACTTCTTCTCTTCCTTCCTTTCCTTCCTCCTTCCTTTACCCTATTACCATGACAACTACAGCATAACGCTGGTGATCACCAATTTCTTGAGCCACGCGCGTTATCAGCTACAGTCCCCGATCAATTGCATAAAGTAAAGCCACAACTCCAAACACGGAGGATAACATCCAACTTATATTAATATCCGTATCAAAAAGAGGCAGAAGTAAGTGGCTATTTTCGGCATTGTATTACTTAATAAATATGACAGCAATTTATTCGACAACTGTGTTTCTTGAAAAAGTGACGTGAAGTGAAACGGAAATAGACGCGGAACAAATGATTTTATGGGAAACTACTAACTCAGACCAATCAGAAGTTTTACCGTGAACTTATAAAAAGGGACAAAGACAACAATATCATCCCCCTTGCATGCGTTCCCTCTCAGATTCCAACGACCACGCTCCGGGCTTGAATTCATTTCTCCCCCCCCCCCCTCCCCCCTCCATTTCCCTTTGTGCATTCCTCTCAGTCTGCAAATTTAGAATTTCAGTTTTCTTCAATAATCACTAACGGCAGCCAGACACACATGGCCCAATGACTTATCCAAGCCTTTGTTTATCATTTGTCAATGTGCTCTATAGAAAACAAAGAAACAAACGAAGAAACAAGGACAATAAACAGCGCAAAGCTTTCTGTTAAGTTTCGTTATATAAAGGAGACATCTAATTATTGAGGTGAACTGCAGTATTCATTTGTCAAAGATTTTTGGTTTTCGTGGTGGTCATCAATATTCAACAAGCGTCTCTTTTAATTTTCTGAATACAAGAGAAGCCTCAACTTAAAAATGATAAAAAGTTGAATGCAAACCTTTCATATCCCGATAAATCCTGATCTTAATCGGCGAAGGCCACAAACCATAACACCTATCACATGAGCCCAAAATTTCTGATTTAAGTCATCCGACAGCCCTTGATTTCATGACAATATTTGCAAGACTGAAAAAAATACCCAAATGCTGTAATTGGTACAAGATATCCAAACGCTGTGATATGACTGGTACGAGATAAATACCCTAATGCGGCGATCTGATTGGTGCGAGCAACGTACCACTATACTCGCTAACATAGAGTATTTTTTTAATTAAGAAAAAAATAACCCGATAAAGAGAACGGATGTTGACAAAGGTGATAACGAGAGACTAACTTCCGCTGAATAGACAACAAGCAGTCTCTCCTTTTCGGCGGCGTCCGTAGGACGGGTAAACAAAATCAGTGAAGAAAAATTTGCGTCAGCACGCGGCGGGTAGCTCTTTAAGTGAGGCGCTCGAAAAGAAGGGACTATAGACGAAGCTCAAGAGTTTGACTTCTTCTCACAATGCAAAAATATGATGAGCCCAGCGTAAATCGAGTGTTAGACTTGGGATTTGTAAATCACTTCGGGATTACTAAAGGCAAATTACAAGCACGCACACGGCAAAATTCGTTCTGCGATGGTCCGGCTTGCCCTTCCTAATTATCTCCATTTCACAGGTTTCCAGTTTATTGTGCGCCTCGAATGTTAAAACAGTTTTCATGTTATTCTCCCCCGCGCTTTGCAAGATTGACTGGCAACTAAGACAGGGAATGCCATTGGTTACACCTAATTGAGATTAAAGATCACTTAGCCGAGCAAGGTCGATCTCTTGGGCTTCGTCTGTAGTTCCTTCTTGTCATGGAGAAATGGCATTCTATTTAAAGCCAACCGCGCTCAAGGGCAATATTTAATAGCCATCCCGATTATGATATCGAAAAGGAGAGTCATTAAAAGATATCCTGGTCATGGCTAAACTTTGGAGGCAGAAGATTCAAAATCGCTTGCGATTGGCGGGATTCACGCCGACCCGTCAACACGTTCAAGGAAAATCAATCTATTTTCTTCAGTGTTTCTTTACTTCAGGGCGGTTGTCCTCTGAATTCGGGATGATATGAAGAGAGATAACCATCTTTTAGAGAAGCTGAATTGCTGTAACCTCCAACAACACACCTTCCGAGCATAATTCTATAGCTGTTTCCTAGGCTCTAGAGCGACTGCTTTCTAACTAAATAATATGAGTAATGTTGAATCGAGTCCCAGGATGATGTCATGAGCCAACCCGCCCCAAAAAATAACCAAAAGAGATGCGACTTGGTAATCAGTTTGAGCTCTTTTCGGCCCTGTAAGTTTCCAAACATTTTTGATTGATGTGTTTTCTTTAAAGCAACAACTTTTGACATGCCAAGTAACATTACTAATGCACAAATGACACGAAACAAACCCAAACTACCAATGAAAATACGATTTTGTCACGCAAACACCCTTATAGCGTCGGTGCCTGATAATCAGGAGTGTCGTTTACAATTCCGGGAATTTGAGGAACGGACTAGATCTGTTGTCTGAAACAATTCACCCTGTTTTCAAGTTGTCTTGCTATGGCGCAAGACGTTTCCACCGAAAATGTGCATTTACAGCAGGAAGAAGGTGCCGAAGACGTTTACAGTCCTCTGCGAGATATTTTGAAGAGAGAAGACGAAAATGATAGAAAACCAGAGAACAATCTTGCAAACCAACTACTCCATGCCCTCGGGAAAAATGATGCTTTCAAATGTTGGAAACTTCTGGAAAGGAACCATGCTATGGTCCGGCTGGAATACGAATACTTCCAAAGTGACTGCAAGGAAGCCAACAAGAAAGAGCAGCAGAGGGAATGGAGATTTCAGTGCGATTGTCGGAATTTCTGCACAAAAATGTTCAATTTTTGTTGGGATTGCTGCACGAAAATGTTCAATTTTTGTCGCAACAAGTGCAAATGTAGTTGTTGTTCGAACTCCGAACCGCAAGGATCAGAAAAAAAAGGCATAAATGATGAAACAAAACTGAACTGGATCAAAATTCTTTCTAACCCTCTGTTCATTGGTTTGGAATGGCTATGGAGAACAAAATCTAACTGTCAGTGTAAATTTTGCGAGGAAGATAGGAAGTTGGTTGGAAAAGAAAAGAAAAAGAAGGATGATGTCATAGAAAGTTCTCTACATGATGCATATCTACTCGATGAAACGTCGTCTCTCAAGCACTACAATAGCCGAGATGTTTACAGAGAATCGGCGGAGGCTTACGAAACGTTTGCTGCTGGCGTGCTGGAGAAAGCCTCCCAGAATGAACTTTACCAGATCATGGATATAAAAGGAGAGGGCTGCCTTCAGCAAAATAACCCTCATCAACACAGGAATTTTATTCAAAGTCTGAGCCTTCTCAAGAGTGCAGTCAATAAGAGAAGAAAGAAGGTACGTGCGCTTTAGTGATATTTTGTGGTTAATAAAGCGCTTTACTGGTAGTAAATATTAATGATAGAGATTGATAAAAAGAGATATGCGATGGTTTTTTCTGTCCACACATCTAATATTCTTTCTGGCGTCGGTTGAAATACTTGTTCTTCACCACCTTAAATTTTTTTTTATTTGTAATGAAATTACAAAAACAATCACTCGAAAAGTCCTGCGTAACCAAGCATGATATAGTTCTGCAACTGAATGATTCCACTAGTTGCCTAGCTTTCCTAAACTTTAATAAAAATTTGAGCAATTGTTATCCTTATTTAGACCACCAATGAGAAAAAAAGAGAGTACGCATGTACATGTCACTAAACTTGCACTATACAACGGGATTGAACGGCGATGTTATTTAGCGTCGCAGGAATGTGAATGTTGATTTCTGCACACAGCCATTTCCTAGAAATAATAGAAATGGCCCCTTATTACTCTGTCAACAATGTCCAAACCATAAAGGCCTCTAACTTGTGAGACTTGTGAGATGGAGACTGATCTTTCAATCTCTTGGTATCATAAATCAGTGACAGCACTTTGCAATTGATGTGATACTGTAGGCCTCTTTTATTCTCCGCAAGTTTACTCAGATGATTACCGATTCGGTTTTGTTTTTCTCATGGAGTTTGAACGAAATAACATCAGACATATTATTTTTAATTCATCATACCTAGTACAGTTCGCATTTCATCAAGGGTGTGACCAACAAAACACCCGAGCTGAAATGTTTAAGTTTGGAGCTCGCCGACCGATTGAACGTTAAATCCGTGATCTAAAATGTTATCCTACATAAGGTGAAATGGTGATTCATATTCCATGCCGAAAATATTGAGATGCAATTAAATCATTTTTAAATATAAACCTCGCTGGTTGTTTAATCCATACTGCTTGTTTTCGCAAAGGGATGATCGTTGAACAAAAGTCTTTCAAAGATCTCCTCCTGTTAAGCAGGTGATATTTAAAGTTTTCTGACATATCTTCTGATTCCGTTCAGCATCAGCGGGTTGGAAGTTGTGAAAGAGAAAGCTCTATCTTTCAGTGTTTGACCGCAAACTTAACTCCCTTGTTAAGACATTTTATTACATCAAAGCATTCTTACAAAGCTTCGATGAGTGGGAACCTTAGTCTGTTACTGAAATACTCGATCTTCCGGTAGTACAAGTTGAGTTTTTCCTGTCTCAGGAGTGAACGCGTATCCATCAGGGCCCAGTTGTTCAAAGGCGATTAGCAATTATCCAGGATTAAACTTTGAATCTATTATTAGTTGCCCTTAAAATATAGTTTTCATTAGAGCCTAAGGTCTGAGGGGTTTTACCTTAGTGTGACCCAAAACTGAAGAAAAATTATATCCAATTAAAACTGTCTGCAAAGCTACAAAAACTAAGCCAAAAATTGTTGGCTAACCCTCGGTTAGTTTAATCGTACTTAGAACAATCCGGCCCAGGTTAATAAACTTTTCAGCTTAAAAAGGGCATTTTCCCCGAGATATTTCCCACTGATAGAAAAAAATTCATCTCTCTAAATGCTCTGAGACCTTAAAAAGCCCCATCATTATTATTTATTGATCTAATAAACTAATATGTTTATCTTTATACGTATTTGTAGTTTGTTTCAAGTCCAAGATGTCAAGCTATGCTCCATGAGATTATCTTTTACGAGATACGGGATTGGCAGGACAAGAGCATAGTAACGAAATTTTTTTGGTACCTTTGGCAGTTTCTTGTCATCCTACTTGTTACTCCTTTGTATTGCGTTTTCATTCGACCACCCATGAAGATATGGCGCTGTTGGAGTGATATCAGATGCCTTGCGTTCATAGAGAAACTATATGAGCATCCCCACAATAAGTTTGCAAACCACACCATGTTTTACATGGCATTCCTGTGCCTGCTTTTTGCCTCAACTTTCGGCTTTGAACACGATTACAGAACAAGTACAACAGGGGTTTCAATCGTTGGTAAGTTCTGTAGATTCACTCTTCTGTGCCCATTTCACCACTTACAGTGTATTAGCTAGAAACAACGGCTGATTCCGCCGATACCGTTCAAATTAGCGCCTGGGACTATTTCCTTATTTCTTAATGCATAATCCTGAATTGGATGGTTAAACTAATGGGAGGTGTGTGTGTGTAGGGGAGGGGGGGGGGAGGGGGGAAGTAGAGGTTGGGCGCTTACTTTCAATTACTCTTTGGGTTAAAAATTTTGTTGTCTTTATCAATAGAAACCTCAAACTGCAATGTTCTGAAAAGTAAACTTTTGCGATATTAAAGGAATTTAATCAACATCTCGCTAGCGTGAAGCATTTACCAAATATTAAATTTTTCAACAAATAATGAAACGGTGTCTCCAATTCACTTTGGCAGTCATTTGTTTCCCCCAGGAGCAGATATTGGTTTCCTGGCAAAAGAAGTTTAATAAAAGTTAAACTGAACTGCAGTTCTGATTTGTCCACAGATGTCTTTGTCATTTTTTTTGTGGTTGGTCTCCTCCTACAAGAAATTTGGGAAGTTCCTAAACAAGGATTTCGTATCTATTTTTCGAAATGGTGGAATATCGTGGACGCAATAACACTTTCTTTATTCCTGGCAGCTTATATAGTGTGGCTCCTCACATGGTTAAGCGTTCATGAAGAATGGCAACCGAGGAAGAATGCCTTCATTGTGGCAGATGTCTTGTATGCCAGCGCCACAGTGTTAGCGTTCTTTCACCTGTCTCACGCATTTCAAGTCAGCTCAACTCTTGGCCCTTTGCAGCTTTCATTGTACAGAATGCTGAAAGATGTGGTCAAGTTTATTTTCATTTTTCTTATGCTTTTTATGGCATTTGGAACCGGCCTCGTAAAAGTTTATTCATACTATGTGGTCTCTCAAGTGAAACTTCATGAGGAGGGCGAGAGTCAATTCCGGGCGTTCCATCCATATGCTCAGTAGGTGGTTGCTATATTATATAGGAGAGTGGGCGCCCATAAGCAAACAGACAATATTTCATCCATCATTTTATATATAAATATTGCTAAAAGAAATGTAAGGTGCTTTATTTGATTTGTTGAGTGGACAGACGAAAAAACACTTACCCATGTAATACGTGACAGATAGATAAACATCAGACGCCAAGTTCACATGTTGACATGAACTGACCAGTGAAAAAGACACCTCATTTTTTCATAATTCACAACTTTTCAGGCACGAGATCACTTTTATTGGCTTGGCCTGGTTACTGGTTGGCTACGTAGAAGAAGACAAAGTAACAGTTGATGATCCTGCCTTTTACCTTACACAACTGTTTGGTCGCTTGGGTTTCCTCATCTACCTGGTTTGTACCACTATCGTTGCTTTAAACATGCTGATCGCCATGATGAATAACTCCTTCGAAAGAGTTATGGTAGGTCTCAAATTGTGGTTTGTGACAGATTTTGACTTGAAATAATAGGTCCACGAATGATGTTTGCCAGTTGGCTTTGTACTTAGTGACGTAAACCACGTCGATCACTACACTATCATTGGTCCGTACCATGACTAATGTGGATTCGAGTAAATAGAGTCAACTTTTGTATAAATCACCAAATTCCTTTTATTACTGAGTATACCTAACTAATTCGATCACGAAGAAGCTTAAAATCTTACCAAACTTGGGGGAAATTTATGTGAGTTATTACATGTGATAGATTTTAACTTAAAAACTGAACTTTCGTTTTTAGGGTGATGAGGACAAAGAGTGGAAGTTTTCAAGGGCTCAAATGTGGTTAGAATATATCGACAAAGGAAATGCAATACCAGTACCTTTTAACCTTCTGTATTATACCTCTTTTGTCCTAATATTCATAATTGGAAACCTCGTTTGCAGGATTACAACGGTATGCTGCGGATGCAAATGTAATGAGAAGGTAAATGTTAGCAATTGCCATTTTGATTTTGGAATACTTGCAAAATCCTTTTAGTGAGATCTTGGTTGCACTTTCATCATGATTCTGAGGAAAAGGGCTCGGAGAAATCAATTCCGTTTGCTTCATTTAACCCCCCCCCCCCCTCCAGGAGGAAACATTTTTCGATATGACCTGGTCTCTTATTAAATCCCGCAAGCACACAGAAACAGATAAAATCAACTAGTAATTCTGAGAAATGTAACATGTGAATCTAAATATAAATTCCAACAGATCAAGTGTAGATGTCAATTCCAACAGATCTTATCAAGCGTACTTCAGAAGCATTGGATGTCTCTTGAGTAATAACTTACGTTGGCGCTAAAATAGGTTTTGTGTCATTTTGCTGCTTACTTTGACAGAAACAGCGAGAGGAGAGAAGAGGAGCTGCTGAGGTACACAAAATGAAAGAGCCAATTTAGATGTAAACCTTACTCGTTGTTTCGTTACGTCATCTCAGGCGCCCAGTCCCATGGCTGATTGCTATTGCAAGAAGCCTGGTGATGAGGGCTGTCGTTTGTCTCCTTTTTTTGCGTTTTAAACATTCCAGATCATGGTGGTAAATGCTACGATGGGTTGCCTAGATCTAAATAATTCACTTACGGGCATTATTCCCAATTCTTTACTTTCAGATGCAAGCCAGTCATAAAGCCAATGGAGTAGAAATGAATGTTGAAGAAGGCGATCCACACCAGGTACTGTGGGGCCAATTCGCTTTTTTCGTCGCTCTATCTACGATCATTACCATTAAAAGAAGCGCTTGATTGTAAACTTCACGTTTCACAAGATTTTAAAAGTCGTTATCGTTATTGGCCAGTATTTTAGAGACATAGTTTATACATCGGTAGGTTTAACATTTTCAGAACAATTCTGCCTTAGATTATAGGATACATACACAAACATGGAAAATTAATATTTCGGGAGTTTTTATGATTTCTACACGTGTAATATATTGTCCTTTTGAACAAGGTTTCTTTTATCTCTCTTAGATAAATGAAGAGCGAGACAGCAAAGATCAGGTAGCCTACCAATTTCTCACATTCACCTCACAATTCAAGATTGCGCTGTACGATCAATAGTTTGCCAAACACGGCAAAGAAAAAGTAAAGGTAGACAGCACTACACTGAGATCCACATTAGAAAAAGAGGAAAAAAAGAAACAAATCCCCAAACTCGTGTTTTAATTTTAGGCGAACGATTTCATGTAAAAAAAAGAAAGCTGTTTTGAACCTTGTCAGTTATGGCACCAATTAAGATTTTAAAGTAATCTTCTCTTTACCGTCTTTTTCATCAGACTTCAGGCGATAGTATCGCCTCCTGTATTTGTCATGGATGTTTTTGTTGTTGTAAACCCGAAACCGAAAACAAACGAGGAGAGGTTTGTTAGAGTTGATTAATTACTTCAGTAAATGGATCATTTTGTCCTACCACATATGCGTATAAGTGACAACACTTATTAAGGGCAACAGATCCAGGCTGCAAGAAAAATAGATCATGTATCTTTTAAGTATAGATAAACGTCTCAGGTTAGCCTTACAATTCACGATTGCGCTCCGCAACCAAACTGAGTTTGCCAAACCGGCTGCTGTGAAAAGGGTTGAGAAAAAGAGTAAAGGTAGACACCTGGCGCAGAATGGCTTTTGTTTGAAGGACATATTACTTACTTAATGGCATAAATTACCTAGGTCGCACTGGAGCTCCCGTGTGGGTCCTCGATGGACTCTAATTGGTTGCAGTTTGCCCTTACTTAAAATTGCCTGCAGTTGCGAATACCCGGTGGAACTGAACTGTCCATCAAATGTACAAGCAGAGAGCAGACAATAGAGTTTCGAGCAATCCCGTTAATACGTAATAATAGCTCGTTCATCAATGTACGAATGAACGTGTTAGCTGTTTGTTGACAGCGACAGTTATTTAGGCGTTTATGCCGCGTCACCTTTTAGACCCTTCCATTGTGTCATCTGGTTTTCATAAAATCTGAAATTAAACAGTTGGGTTCGCTCGAGTTGGGTTCGAACTGAACTCTCAGCGCGCTCTCTCGCTCATGTTTGAGAGTTTCTGCAAATCATAACTACTTAATAACAGCTCGCCTATCAATGCATGAGACAACAAGTCAGCATAAAGTTTGTTTTCAGAGGCAATTGTTCAGGCGTTTTAAGCTGTTCTTAAACACATTCATAAATGAGAAAAAAGTAAAGGTAGACACCACTACATTGATATTCACGTTGGAAAAAGGGGAAAACAAGAAACAAATCAAAAAACTCCTGTTTTAATTTTAGGCAAACGATTTAATGTAAAAAAAAGAAAGCTGTTTTGAACCTTCTCAGTTACAGCACCAATTAAGATTTTTAAGTCATTTCCTCTTTACTTTTTCATCAGACCTCGGGCTATAGTTTCTCCTCCTGTATTTTTCATGGATGTTCTTGTTATTGGAAACCTGAAATCGAATACAACCGAGGAGAGGTTTGTTATTGTTGATTAATTACTTCAGTAAATTGTTAATTTTGTCGTACCACATATGCGTATAAGTGATAACAATTACCTGATGAACTAAGGGCAACAGATCCAGGCTGCAAGAAAAATAGATCATGTATCTTTTATGTATAGATAAACGTCTCAAATTAGCCTTACAATTCACGATTGCGCTCCGCAATCCAAATTGAGTTTGCCAAACCGGCCGCTGTGAAAAGGGAAAAGAGAAAGGTGAAGACAGACACCTTTTCAGCGATTTGGGATCATTTACAATTGAAATATTATAGATGCCGATATTCGAATCATTGTTGGAAGCAGTTCATTGCTAAGTTTAGTATTAAATGTAAACTAAATTGATACTGTTTCTTCTTTACAAGGAACGCGGGAAAGCTATAGCATCATCTGTTGAGAAATATCTGAAACAGATGATGACCACTCAGTACGGAGAACTTGACTGAAAGGAGTCACTTGTTGATGAAAGAGATAACGAAAATCGAAAGTGGATTGCGTAAATCCATTTACATGAACTGTAAGCCGTTTTGATGATGTGTAAGATTTTTGGGTTTTTTGCAAGAAAATTTAAGACCAGCCCACAATTTGCGGGCAGAAAACGGGATTTATTTTTAGGGGGATCTAACTAACTCGAATCTTCTGTTAAGAAAGGACGAATTCTTTTTCTAGTCTATGTTTGCTAATGAATATGCCTGTCATAACCGCTTTGGCTGCTGTTTTCCCCATATTCACCCGCATTAAGATCAATTGCTATATTTGTGCTGTCATGAAGCGGTAATGTATGATTTTTCTTTGTATCTTTGGCTTATGAATAGTAGTAGTTACTCAGCTTGATCAAAGTGACGTTCTCCTGATTTGGTTTCCTTTGTCCCCAGTCCTCCGCCTCTCTAGAGCAGGTTTTCTGTGTTTATCCCTATAGCTTGCTTCCCTCCCCCCCTCCTTCTTTCAGTCCGAACTAACAATGTTCAAGAAGGTCAATAGCCAGAGCAAGAGTTCACGTTTATGTGGCAAGATTTGTTTGGGCTTGGTTAATGTTAACGTAGTCTTAATATGTGTTTACATAAAACACACTGATCGAGTAGTCACATAGCTCGCCGATCCGAGACCTCGCTTCTTTTGAAGCAGATGAGTTTTACTTAGTTTCCTTGGGTTTTGGTGTGAAAAATCATCTTTTCTTTTTCTTTGTTATTGTTACTTTCTTGGTTCTTAGAGTTTCTTTTTTTTCTTTTGTCTTCGTTCCTCCTTCCAGTTGTAGGTACCCATACCTCCCCTTCCCTCTTAAAAAATCAATTGAGGACCCTCTGCGCTATGGGGCTCACTTAAATAATTATCTTATCAATTATTTTAATGGAGTCTTAATTGTGTAAGATAAACTTGATTTGATTTGTTTTTAATTTTCAACTTTGTATATTTACCTTTTTACAACTGTGTTTATCCCTATAGCTTACCCATTGTATCATTGTATTCTATATTTTTGACACTCAGTTGTGTATTAAACTATACCCAAAGTGTTCCTGAACATGGGGTGAAATCACTAAAGACTCTCGAATACGTTGTCTCTACTACAATCTTTGAAAGTGAGAACTGACAGATACTTCATTCCGGGCACGATGTGTGTTGATGTTAATCTAGCAGATTAATAATGATTTTTAAATTGGCAGAGGGGTAGTAAATAGCTACACAAACGTGTGAAGTATAACTCATTAACTATTGGGAGACCAGTCCCAGAAAATCTCAGTAAATAGTTATCTTGAAAGAATAATTTTTATTATTCAGGTGTAATTTATTAAGTCTGAGTTATTTGTTATACTCTATCTTCATTGATATTCTATTCCCTTCTCTGTAATCGTGAATTTAAGATGAACGTGAAAGAGTGAAGGCCTCTAATCCTTGCTCCATAGATTCTGGTTGACATTATATGAAACGAAACAATTGGAAAGCTGTGAAAATTATGTGTCCATCATCTCATTAAGTTTGGCAAGTTCCTTCGTCTGACGATCAACCAATCGTTTAAGTAACTTAATGTTTTCCTCAATGAACTGGGATCTCTCTTTTTTTCCCGCTTTCCCACTTTTGTCATCCGTTGTCTCATCTCCACTTAGGTTGTCTTCCTCACATTTTTCAAAGTAGCGGCCCCTTAACTGATACTTTATCACCAATTTCTTCATCGTTTCTTTTCGTCTCTAGGATGAAATAATAAGATTAAAGACATTATTCATCATCATTTCCCCTAACTCTAAGTATAATGATACTATATCGATTTAATTTAAAAGCATTTGTTGTTTTCGCATGCTAAAAGGCTTGCTGGATTAATTATCTTGTTGTTACATGAAAAAAATGTCAGAGTTTCACTTCTTTAAGCTTACATGTACCTCTTTCCTGGCGGTAATCTCGTCTCTCTGAAAACAAAATTAAGAGTCTCATTTCACTACCTGAAATAATATTTCTAATGAGACAAACAGTATTGCACATCAAGGAAGTTAGACCTTGATTTGTTTGGGTTTTAACATAATTTCTCATTTATCAGTCCTACTTACCTCTCTTTACCATGCACTACGTAGCATAACAAAGAGATGATTCAAGAGATGAGCCGCTGCCTTAATTTGACAGTCTAATTGAAAATGCCAGGTTAGCGATCAGTGCATTACTTCAATAATCTACATTCCCATCAAAAATGGAACGTACGGTTGTGGTGGAGTTCGAGAGACGCATTTTTCGCGAGTAATATTGAACGACTTAGAAACAATAGGTGATCGGAAGAGTTAATATCCACTTAGTTATCCACCTTTGAAAGATAAAACTTCTTCTCTTCCTTACCCTATTACCATGACAACTACAGCATAACGCTGGTGATCACCAATTTCTTGAGCCGCGTGCGTTATCAGCTACAGTCCCCAATCAATTGCAGAAAGTAAAGCCACAACTCTAAACACGGAGGATAAGTCTGCCAACATATTCAAAAAAAAATTCAAGCATTACTATTTGCAACTCTAGGAAGTCTGGATAGTTATTTATGAAATAAAAAAGGCATCTTAATTATAATTCAAACATAATATATTAATTTACTTTTATCACCTTTTCCCTCTTTTGTCAAAGAATGTATGTAAAATCGAGTAATTCGCATAATTCGTGTTTTTGTAATTCGTGTTGTATGTCCTTAACACCGCCTGCCTAGATTAGCTCGCTATTTGCAGGAGGTGATTATTGTACAAAGATTTTCCTGCAAACTTAATAAACTTGAACTTATTCGACAGCTGTATTTCTTGAAAAAACTTTTAAGTGACGTGAAGTGAGACGGAAATAAAGGCGGAACAAATGATTTTATCGGAAACTACTAACTCATGAGGCCAATCAGAAGTTTTACCGTGAACTTATAAAAAGGGACAAAGACAACAATATCATCCCCCTTGCATGCGTTCCCTCTCAGATTCCAACGACCACGCTCTGGGCTTGAATTCATTTCTCCCCCCCCCCCCCCTCCTCTATTTCCCTTTGTGCATTCCTCTCAGTCTGCAAATTTCGAACTTCAGTTTCCTTCAATAATCACTAACGGCAGCCAGACACACATGGCCCAATGATTTATCCAAGCCTTTGTTTATAATTTGTCAATGTGCGCTATAAAAAAACAAAGAAACATACGAAGAAACAAGAACAATCAAACAGGGAAAAGCTTTCTGTTAAGTTTCGTTTTTTAAAGGTCATATTTAATAATTAAGGTGAACCGCAGTATTCGTTTGTCAAGTGTTTGGTTTTCGTGGCGATCATCAATATTCAACGAGCGCCTCTTCTAATTTTCGGAATACAAGAGAAGCTTAAATACTTTGATTTGAAATGGACAACTCTGCTCGAGTTCCGATGTGGCTCTGGATTCTACCCCTGAAAGCAATCTTGTTAATTTTGAGGACGACGACTTGTACGACCCTGTGTTCATTTTTGTAACAGAAAGAGAGCATAACTTTCAAAAGAGCGAAAATATCGCATTTACACTTCACCTTGAGAGAAAGAAAAAAAAATTTATCTGAACTCAAACAGGTATTTTTTGGTTTATGTCTCTCTTGTCTGAATACTTCTAAGCAAAAATAAATACATCGGTGCCACGCTTACTGTTTTCTGCTACGCAGCCATTGTTTGGTCTCGTCACACGACGCCATCTATTCCCCGTTGGGGAGAGAGTGCGTTGCGTGACGACACCAAATAACGGTTGCTATGCTTGTCCAAAAGGGACAATATATCAAGACTATCAAGATATACATATATTTAATTCAAGTTTCATGTATCAGTTTCAAGATTTAAACATCAAGTTTCATAGAACAATGTCAAAATTAGTATACACATGTGAAGATAGATTTGTACAAGTCTGCAACAAGATCTAAAAACGCATATCAAGATTTAGTGCACGTATCAAGATTCGCATACGAATACATCAAGTTTAATAAATACTAGGCAAATTCGAACATACACACCAAATTCGCATACCTACATCAAGATTCATTTTTACATTTAGAAGCTTAATTAAGGCTTACATGTAAAATATTTTTGATTAAATAACATCAATGTGTGGTAATATTAGGATGGGATTTGATTTATTTTTCTTTTCTTGAAAACTTCATACGGATTAATCCTCAATTACAGCTATTCATATAAAATAGTTCTAATCAATCATTAAATTTGGTTTGACACAAATTGTGAATAAAATCTGTTGATTCTTTTCCATAAAATACAATATCTTAAGTTATATTTGAAAACCAAGCACTCTTGGGAGTGAAGGGGCTAATTACAGACAAATAAAATTGATTTTTTGAAAATCTTGTTGTAACTGTAACAATAAATTAGAATGAAGTTATCCTAAACTGCAAACTTAGCTGCTGTTTGTACTGTTTGTATTTTTTTTCCTGGGCTCACAATGAGTTGGCCTTGAATGAGGTTGTCAACAAGAACCTTGACCATTTTGTATCTGGATTCCTTGACATCTGAATTTGAAAAAAAAATAATATATTAAATATGTATATTTAAAGCTCAGACCAGGCTTTTAAGATGGCTATGAGGAAAAGGGCATTCATTGGATTCTCAAATTGAGAAATCTCTGTTATATTGAGTGACTTTTATATTGGAGTTAGTACATCTCTCTCATGGATTTTACTAAAAAAGGGCTGAATACATTATTTTGTTTTTACCAAGGAGGGCTTCTTTATGTACTAAGGTTTGTTTAATAACAGTTCCTATTATGAATCTTGAATGTTCCCAAACGTGACTAGAGGAATCTTGAAACCTTACTGATAGGTTTATTTCATTGTAAAGCATAAGCTTAAGAAACTGCGGCATGCAAGTGACCGATTCGATTCTCAGAATTATTCTAGTTTCAGTTACGCCGAGCGTTACGTAAGCTTAATTCAACCCGCTACATCTATTCTTTTATAAGATTTTGATCACGTAACGAATATCGCAATTTTTACTCACCACAAACTTTCAAAATCGTAGCTTTACAGATGGCCACTCGACCCTTGTTTGTACCAGTCAATATGTCAACTGTTGTCCCTTCTTTTAACTCCACGGCGCCAACGACTTTCTTTTCTTTTACAACACTCACGCTATTCTCGTTTTCCCATTGAACCACAATAAAAGCTATCTTTAGAAATGTTATATTAAGCAAAACAGTTGAGAAAAGCGATCAACCGATGAAAAGTACATTCAAAGATGAGCGCCAAATGGAGTCTTCTTTGTTTCCGATCACGGGCATGATCACGTGGATCTTTTAGGACTTGTAATTGGCTAGCAAAGTGAATCCGCTGGCTTGCCGATTGCAGTGTTAAGAGAAGCGCCTAACTTTATTCTGACTTCTCCGACCGGTTCTCTGCTTCTAGAAGATGGATAGCTTGGTGATACAAATAAAGATGTGAGCTCACTCTATGTAGAAATAATCGAAAAGAATCGATCGTATTACAAATGCACGATTTGTGGCCGAAAGTTGTCGAGGAAACAAAGACTCGAAACTCACTTGAGTTGTGTTAATGGCCAAGGTGAGAAATAACACAAGCCAATCACAGTTTTGAATGCGACTACAAATCTTCTTTTACCCTCATACTTATAAAAAAAGGATACCACATTCGGAAGTATAAGAGATACATAGATGATCCCAGTGTACCAGTACCTAAATCTACAAAGCTTGACCGTAGCAAGCGTTCAGCAACACGTTCCAACACCGCCATCTCGATTCCTCAGTCAGTCGTTTCCAATGAACTTAAAGCAGTATTGACAACAGAGTAGAGTGCGTCTTACAAAGGAGAAACATTTGTACAAGAGACAGGAGTAGCTGTAGCTGAGTAACTCTGGTCCACAAATAGTTATGCACTGCCCGAAGTATAAAACAATCTTGTTGATAGCTGACAGACAGAGAAGAACAACAAGTAAACTTAAGAGCTGTTATTATTGAAGTGTGACTATCACTTTTCATTTTTATATAAAGAAGGACTTGTAATTTGCACCAAAAATAAAAAGATGAAATATTTTTTTGGGAGATCCAGTGATTGGGACATTTAAGAAATTAAGTTATGAAAGGAAACTTGGTTGGTACTTCTCACTACTAACAAGTCTTGTTGACAAATATTTTCAGATCAGAGTTTCAAATAAAGTAAATTGAAGACGTCATATAAAAGGTGTTTTTCCTCTAAGGGAACATTGACTACCTTTGTCTTGTCTGCATGCCAAATGTTTGCAAAGTGTGTGGATGATCCACAAGTATTGGAACATACACAAAACATTTTTGTAAGAGTTCCAATACTTGTGGATCATCCACACACTTTGCAAACATTTGGCATGCAGACAGGACAGAGGTAGTCAATGTTCCCCTTTTCTTACAAAAATGTTTTGTAAGAATAAAAACAGCAAAACAAATTACAGCAATTAGTCATGAAAATAGAGCAAAAAACTGAAAAAAAAAGCAGCAACAACAATCATGAAAAAAGAAAGATTAATTAGGTGTTGAATTTGTTTGTCTAAGGCATGAAATTTCTACTAAAAGTATTGTCAACAAAAAGTCTCTGACAGCGTTTGAGGCAACTGAGCTTGACTGTTCCAAGATTTTCTAACAAAGGCAACCAGTAATGTAGGTTAGGGAAGTAAGATAACAATGTAATTATTGTTAATTATTGTGGAAGTTGGCAATTTCCATTTAACATAACTGACAGCTGGTTCATGAGAAAATCCATATTAATGTCAAGATTTACTAAAACTTAGTTTGAGTAATAAATTTCATGATCTTTAAGTTATAAACATGTACATGTATGTATATCTCTTGGTAAGTTTTGTATAGCATACCTTTTATTGAGCCAAAGTTTTAAGCCTCTGAAATTACTCTTTTTCTTAAAACCTTCACATTCAAGGTATTGAGAATTTCTTAGAATTTATGTGGACCTCAGGGTATTAAAATTGCCTCAAATTCAATTCCCAGAAATTCCCAAGAGTTCCACACTTCTTAAATTATAGGTAGTTTGTAAAGCTGAGAATTCCTAGGAATTCCTAGGGATTCCAAGTCCTCACAAAACTGGAGTCTTCCTTTCCCAGAAATTCCCAGTAATTCCAAGCTTTTTAAATCAGAGTTAATTTGCATAGTTGGGAATTTTTGAGAATTCCTAGGAATTCCTAGGAATTCCTAGGAATTTTTAGGAATTCCTAGGAATTCCCAGAAATTCCCAGAAAACTGGGAATTCGGTTTGCAAGAGTCATTTGCATAATTGGGAATTTTTGAGAATTCCTAGGAATTCCTAGGAATTCCTAGGAATTCCCAGAAAACTGGGAATTCAGTTCGCAAGGGTCGAGATTATGACTGGATTGTACGAATGACCTGGTAATATATGAGCGGACCGCTGCATGTAAACACTGCTGAATGTTTTGTCGCGTCGTATCATCGTCGATCGTTGTGTTGGGAACTTTGTGTGCATCTATTTGCAGCTGTGTGCAGAGGGTAAACTGGAAGGCTCCAACACCACTGAATTTAACGAGGACAGATTGGCGTCTATAGTTAGAAATGTTTACCAACTCTGCGAGGAGATTCTACAGCGACAGCATTGTGGAAGACCCTAAGTCTAGATTTCAAACACCTCGTGGTCATGTAACCATTGGATAATTGATGGATTTCCTTTTCAATTCGTCTCTTGTATCTTCTTCTAGTTAGTAGGGGACGTTAAAGAACCCACACACTTATTGCAAAGAGTAGGTGTTGTGGTCTGCCCCAGAAGAACCTTTTCGAACCTGACCAAATCCGAGCACATAAGCCTTGTAGAGAGTGAATGCTCGTAGTATGGTAAATAAATTAATAAAACTTGGGATGAGGCAGCTTCAAAGGATGGTACCTAATTCCTCATAACAGTCCGCTTTGTTTTGTAAATGTCAGCCAAGAATATTGGAGTAAGTTTGCATGTATCCTTGAAGGGGGGGGGGGGGGGTAAATTTCAAGAATTTTTTTCTTTGAGCTGTGGCCTTTTCAAAATGGTTAGGAAAATTAGGAAAATGATCTAACACAGTGTCTGCCAGGGCTGCACAGGCTTTCCATACTTGGTACCATTAATGTGCTATTATGTTGCTACTGCTGACATCAACCAAGCAGCTGCCTATATGCATCAGTTTATGATGTCTATGATGAGAGGAAGCTATCGTATGTTAAGAAGGTGAATGTTTCAATGTCTTTACTATATCAGTTATAGATTTTTGTTTGTTCATGGTTGAGGTAATTATGGTCATACCTTTAAATTGCAGTTGTTGTATGGACCTTTTTAAGTGCTTTTCAGTTGGTGTGTTGTACTTTTAATAGACTTGCTGATCTGTGGTAGAAAGAACTCTCCCTGGAGACCAAAAGAGTAAAAATAGGTTATTTTCAATTTGCAGTCCAGAATTTGCTCAGCAAAAGCATTTAGTCTGTTTTCTTTTCCCAATATTTGAATTGTGTGGATTATTTTGTTCCTCAATAACACAGACTATCTGTGGCTGCTATATTTCCTATTCTCTTCTTGATACTTTATTGTTTTTACAACCAACACAGGTGATTGATGATGAAAATGTGACTAATTTAGATGAAGATAAGTACTTTGTTAAGCTTATGAGACAGTGGAATGACAGTTTCTACAAGTGATGGTAAGTTCAGACACATAATTACAATGACTGCGATAAAAAAATTAAAAAATAAAGAGAGTGAACAAGGTCAGTTAAAGGTTCAAACAAAACAGATTTCACTTCATCAGTGTGTCCACGTAGAAACAATAATGAAATTGTTGTTGTATCGTGTCAACCCTTGTGCCTCTTTTATCTTTATTTCTCTGATTAATAATTATTCTTTGCTCAAGATTTGTTTTATTTATTTCTAATACCGGTTTCCTTCCCTATATCAAGTCATTCTTTATCCTCCTCGGTCATTGAAAAGAACACTTTTTTAAACAACAGTATTGGCCTGGTTAATGAATTGCTTACATTTAATATTTTTATGGCAATATCATAATTATATTATATCTGATGACATAATATTATTATACACCATTAGGCAAAAAGTCCTTGATTGTAGAAATCCTGATCCTAGAAATAATTATTATGGTATGAAAGCTTAGAAACTTTTCTCAGTAACTTTGACCTTTAACTCATAGGAAACAACAGAAACATGGCCGCCTAGTGTTTGATAACACATCTCACAGAGGGCTGCAGAATTGCAATGCTTGATCAGTTTTCCAATGGTCTTCAGACCCTGGGTTTCTTACCTGCAGTTCGCAATAAGTTCGCTTTATTTGAGGAACTGTTTGTGTCACCATCATCAAAGATCACTCTACTCATGCTGTTAAAAGCTTGTTTACATTAAAACCTGGTGCAGGTGGTTCATCAAAATTGTTGCAATGACTGTGTTTGCTTACATTCAGAGGATTGTAGAGGAGGGTGATGAAGAAGGCAAGTACAGTGCATTTACCAAGTTTCTTCTTGATAATGTATTTGTTAAATGCCTGTATCTAGTTTGGACAAGACACCTCTGGGTGTTTAAGCAGGTTTCAGGGTGCAAGCATGAACCATGCCCCAAAATCAACTTGAGCACCCCAAAAGCACCCTTTGTACTTTAGCCCCTCCACATTTTTAAGAAGGGTGTAAAACTATTGCTGCATGTTCAGTTGGTTGAAAGATGTTGCCAAGAAGAAAGGTCTGCTACTTTATTGTTTCTTGTGTTGAAATTGTGGAAGAATGGATTAGGCAGAATAATGGCAATACTTGTCCATAGAATAACCATAACCTTTAGATGTGTTGTGGGGAAGCCGATTTGCTCTCCAATTTCTAAGGACAGGGAAATATTCGTGGACCAGCTAACATTACCTTACAAATTTTTCCTTCTGCAGAACTGAAGAGGTTGCTAAGGTTCACTACTGGTGGGGAAATGTTAAATCCCTGTGGAATTAAAGCTGATGTAAGTCCTGACAGTAATAGCATCTATGCCTGTAATTTCTTGTGTGAACTGGTTATTCCACAATAAATGATAACCTGGGAGCACAATTCTTTCAAAGTTGTACTGTGGGCAGTTGTGGCTGGAAATGCTTTTAACTGTGTCTAGAACAAATTTCTTATTTCCACTTTTATTCCTGGTTTGTTTACTGTTAACAAACTCCAAGGAATTGTTTATCTAGTTGACTTACAGATGCAGAGGATAATGAAGGGTTTATGTGCATAATTTTTTACGGCAAATTTCTATTGAGATAAAAAACCTTTGCAAATGATTTGATCCATTCAATGAACAGTAGTTTGAAATTACTGGATAAGTTTATTCTAGTTTTGTTCCTGCTAAAAACAATGTCGTTGATATACCAATTTATCTATTACTGTATATACCTTTTATGGAGGGCAAGGTTATTATGGCTGTCCTAACCAACTTTTCAAAGGCATTTGACACAGTCTCATATGTGACGGTTCTCACAGAGCTCCACAATCTTGGATTCTCCAAATCCTACTTAAGATGGATAACCGGCTACTTGACTGATACGAAACAGTTTGTTTCGATCAACCATAAAGCCTCTGAAACCATTGAAGCAGCACTCAGCATCCCACAGGTTGCATTTTGGTTGAGTTTTTGGTTTAGTTTACTGACTTATAGTAATTTTACAGCATGCAGGTATTTCCAGTACAGTAGGATTACTGCAAGTAGTACATTTAATGAGTTAGAACTCATACTAAGCTTGTTGTCAATAATTACAAGATGTGCATGTGTAATCAATACAAGGTGCATGTGTAATCAATACCCTACACCCATTTATGCCTCTGTGAATCAAAATTCTGTTGGGCTCAGTTAATTTATGATCACTGTCTATGTGCCACAAGGCATAAGGGCAAGGCACAGAATGTGGTTGCTGTACAATTCTAAAACTGTGTCCTCTTACAGCTGACATCATAGGATTAACAAGTGAAATAGAATCAAGGACATGTCTTCTCTGGAACTTGAAACCCTTAGCTCTAACCCTCCTTCTACTAAGTGCAACCCTGCAATTTAAATTAACATGTACCAAACTGAAAGACATAACATAAAGGGGTGGCTGTCAGTAATTGCATTCATTGGGATGTAACTTGATGTAAGAACTTCAAATGGTATCATCTGAAAAGTCTACCACAGGTCAAATTCCACTAGTCAAAGGTACAGAAATTTGAACAGTGTCAGCTGTGTTAAAAGGACCGTTCTAGGTTATAGTTCATTTAGGGTTGGGTGGAGAAAGGCATTGTAAGAAAAAAGAGTATTTTGAAAAAATAACTTTGATATGTAATAGCATTTTACTTTGCTTCACACTGAAAAAATATTTTCCTTCCAGGGATGTGTTGCTCGAAACCTGATTAACACCAATCCTTGGCTAACTGGCGACATTAACTTTTTCGACTTAGTAATCAGTTAGAGCTCTTTTCGGCCCAGTAAGTTTCCAAACTATTTGATTGATGCGTTTTCTTTAAACAACAGCTTTTGAAATGCCTAGTAACATGCTTTATTAATGCACAAATGACCCGAAACAAACCCAACTACCAATGAAAATACGATTTTGTCACGTTAACACTCTTATAATAACACTCTTATAATCAGGACTGTCGTCTTCAATTCTGGGAATTAAAGGAACGGATTAGTTCTGTTGTCTAAAACAAGTCTTTCTGTTTTCAAGTTTTCTTGCTATGGCGCAAGACGTCGCCGCCGAAAATGTACATTTACAGCAGGAAGGAGGTGCCGAAGACGTTAACAGTCCTCTGCGAGATATTTTGGAGAGAGAAGACGAGAATGATAGAAAACCAGAGAACAATCTTGCAAACCAATTACTCCGTGCCCTCGGGGAAAACGATGCTTTCGCCGAATGTTGGAAACTTCTGGAAAGGAACCATGCTATGGTCAGGCTGGAACACGAAAACTTCCGAAATGACTGCAAGGAAGCCAAAAAGAAAGAGCGGCAGAGGGAAGGGAGATTTCGGTGCGACTGTCGGGATTGCTGCACGAAAATGTTTAACTTTTGTCCCAACAAGTGCAAACCTCGTTGTTGTTCGAACTCTTCGAAAGAGTCTAACGACGAGCAACAAAGCTCCGAACCGCAAGGATCAGAAATTGAGAGCATAAACGATGAAACGAAACTTAACTGGATCAAAATTCATTCTAACCCTCTGTTCATTGGTTTAGAATGGCTATGGAGAACAAAATCTAACTGTCCGTGTACATTTTGCGAGAAAGATAGGAAATTGGTTGGAAAAGAAAAGGAAAAGAAGGAGGATGTCATAGAAAGTTCTCTACATGATGCATATCTACTCGATGAAGCGTCGTCTCTGAAGCACTACAATAGCCGAGATGTTTACAGAAAATCGGCGGAGGCTTACGAAACGTTTGCTGCTGGCGTGCTGAAGAAAGCCTCCCAGAAAGAACTTTACCAGATCATGGATATAGAGGGAGTGGGTTGCCTACTGCAAAGTAATCCTAATCAACACAAGAATTTTATTCAAAGTCTGAGTCTTCTCAAGAGTGCAGTTAATAAGAGAAGGAAGAAGGTACGTGCGCTTTAGTGATAGTTTGTGGTATGAAGCGCTTTACTGGTAGTAAATATTAATTATAAAGACTGATGGAGGAGATATACGATAGGTTTTTCTGTTCACATATCTAATATTCTTTCTGGCGTCGGATGAAGCAATTGTTTTTCACCACTTGAATTTTTTCAATTTGTAACGAGAAACTCTCGAAAATTCCTTCGTAACATGATAGCTTTGCTTAAGAAAAAGATTCTCACCGGTGAAGCGGAAAATGATCTATAAGCTTGTCAATGTAAAGCGAGAGGACTCAATTAGCAAGTGAAGGAGATGACTATGATGAATAACTCCTTCGACAGAGTTATGGTAGGTCTCAAATTGTGGTATGTGACAGATTTTGATTTGAAATAATAAGTCCATGATGTTTGCTAGCTGGGTTTTCACTCAGTGACGTAAACCACTTCGATCACCACACCATGATTGGTCCGTACTACGACTCATGTGGATTCAAGTAAATGGAGTCAACCTTCGCAGAAATCACCAAATTCCTCTCATTACTGAGTATACCTACCTAATTCGATCTCGGATAACCTTAAACTCTTGCCAAACTTGGGGGATTTTATGTGAGTTATCACATGTGATAGATTTTAACTTAGAAACTGAACTTTCGTTTTTAGAGTGATGAGGACAAAGAGTGGAAGTTTTCAAGGGCTCAAATGTGGTTAGAATATATCGACAAAGGAAATGCAATACCAGTACCTTTTAACCTTCTGTATTATATCTCTTATTTCTGCTTTTTCCTTATATACCTCGTTTACTGGATGGTAAGGGCAGACTGCAGATGCAATTGTAATAAGAAGGTAAATGTTAGCAATTGCTATTTTGTCCTTGGAATACTTGCAAAATCCTTTTAGTGAGATCTTGGTTGTACTTTCATCATGATTCTGAGGAAAAAGGGCTCGGAGAAATCAATTCCGTTTGCTTCATTCCCCCCCCGGGATGAAACATTTTTTCGCTATGACCTGGTCTCTTATTAAATCCCGCGAGCACACAGAAACAGATAAAATTAACTAGTAATTCTGGGAAATGTAACATGTAAATGCAAATATAAATTCCAACAGATCTTATATTATCAAGTGTAGATTTCAATTCCAAAAGGTCTTAACAAGTTTACTACAGAAGCATTGTATGTCTCTTGAGTGACAACTCACGTTGGTGCTAAAATATGTTTTGTTTCATTTTGCTGCTTACTTTGACGGAAAAAGGGAGAGGAGAGAAAAGGAACTGTTGAGGTACGCAAAATGAAAAAAACAATTTCGATTTAAACCTTACTCGTTGTTTCGTTACGTCATCTCGGGCGCCCAGTACGCTGGCTGATTCCTATTGCAAGAAGCCTGGTGATGAGGAGTTTTGAAAGTGGGATGGTGTTTGCCTCCTTTGTTTGCGTTTTAAGCATTCAAGATCATGGTGGTAATCTTAAGATAGGTTGTTTAGAACTGCATAACTCATTAACTGGCAGATTTCCTAATTCTTTACTTTTAGATGCAAGCCAGGCTTAAACTCACTGGAGTAGAAGTGAATGTTGAAGAAGGCAATCCACAACAGGTAGAGCAAAATGTAGAGCAAGGAAGTAAAGATCAGGTAGGATTAAGATCCCATTTCTTACTTTCACCTCACAATTCACGATTGCGCTCCGCGGTCAATAGTTTACCAAATATGGCAAAGGAAAAAGTCACCAACACATTGAGATCCTCATTAGAAAAAGGGGAAAATAAGAGACAAATCACAAAACTCTTGTTTTCATTTTAGGCAAACGATTTAATGTAAAAATAAGGAAGCTGTTTTGAACCTTCTCGGTTACAGCACCAATTAATATTTTAAAGTCATTTCCTCTTTACTTTTTCATCAGACTTCAGGCGATAGTATCGCCTGCTGTATTTGTCATGGATGTTTTTGTTGTTGTAAACCCGAAACCGAAAACAAACGAGAAGAGGTCAGTAAATGGATCATTTTGTCGTACCACATATGCGTATAAGTGACAACACTTACCTGATGAACTAAGGGCAACAGATCCAGGCTGTAAGAGAAATAGATCATGTATCTTTTTTGTATAAATAAACGTCTCAAATTAGCCTCACAATTCCCAATTGCCCTACGCAATCCAAACTGAGTTTGCCAAACCGACTGCTGTGAAAAAGGAATAGAAAAAAACTGAGTAAAGGTAGACACCACTACATTGCAATTCACGGTAGAAAAAAGGAAAAACTAGAGACAAATCACAAAACTCGTGTTTTAATTTTAGGCAAACGATTTAATGTAAAAAAAAGAAAGCTGTTTTGAACCTTCTCGGTTACAGCACCAATTAATATTTTTAAGTCATTTCCTCTTTATTTTTTCGTCAGACCTCGGGCTATAGTTTCGCCTCCTGTATTTGTCATGGATGTTCCTGTTATTGCAAACCTGAAATCGAATACAACCGAGGAGAGGTTTGTTAGTGTTGATTAATTACTTTAGTAAATGGATCATTTTGTCGTACCACATATGCGTATAAGTGACAACACTTACCTGATGAACTAAGGGCAACAGATCCAGGCTGCAAGAAAAATAGATCATGCGTCTTATGTGTATAGATAAACGTCTCAAATTAGCCTTACAATTCACGATTGCGCTCCGCAATCAAAATTGAGTTTGCCAAACCGGCTGCTCTAAGAAGGGAAAAGAGAAAGGTGAAGACAAACACCTTTTCAGCGATTTGGGATCATTTACAATTGAATTATCACAGATGCAGATATTCCAATCGTTGTTGGAAGCAGTTCATTGCTAAGTTTAGCATTTATTATAATACTAAATTGGTACTGTTTCTTCTTTATAAGGAACGCGGGAAAGCTATAGCATCATCTGTTGAGAAGTATCTGAAACACCATGCTACTCAGCACGGAGGACTTTAAAGAAGTCACTTGTTGATGAAAGAGATGACCGAAATCGAAAGAGGGTTGCGTAAACCCATTTACAGGAACTGTAAGCCGTTTTGATGATGTGTAAGATTTTTGTTTTTATTGCAAGAAAATTTAAGACCGGCCCACAATTTAAAGTGCGGGTAGGAAACGGAATTTATCGTAGTTAGTTTAATGTAATTTTTGGGGGGATCTAACGAACTCGTACTTTGTGTTAAGAAAGGACGAATTCTTCAGATTTCTGGTCTATGTTTGCTAATGTATATTCAACTATAACCGCTTTGGCTGCTGTTTTCCCCATATTCACTCGTCTTTATATCAATTGCTTCATTTGTGCTGTCATGCAGCGGTAATGTATGATTATTCTTTTTATCTTTGACTTCTGAATAGTAGTAGTTACTCAGTATGATAAAGTGGCGTTCTCCTGATTTGGTTTCCTTTGTCCCCTGTCCTCCGCCTACCAGATCGGGCACGCTTTCCCCCCGTCCTCCTTTCAGGTAGAACTACCAACTTTCAGGAAGGTTACTACCCAGAGCAAGAGTTCACATCTATGTAACAAGATTTGTTTGGGCGTGGTTAATGTTAACGTAGTTTTAATATGTGTTTGTATGAATCACATCGAGTAGTCACATAACTCGCCAATCCGAGACCTCACCTCTTTTGAAGCAGATGAGTTCTACTTAGTTTCCTTGGGTTTTGGTGTGAAAATTCACCTATCTTTCTTTGTTATTGTTACTTTCTTGTTTCTTAGAGTTTCTTTTATTTCGCCCTCGTTCCTTTTTCCAGTTGTAGGTACCCATACCTCCCCTCCCTCCCCCCCCCTCAAAAAAAAAATCACTGGAGGATCCTCTGCGTTATGGGGTTCACTTAAATAATAAGCTTATCAAGTATTTTAGTGGAGTCTTAGTTGTGTAAGATAAACTTGATTTGACTTATTTTTAATTTTCAACTTTGTATATTTTTATCTTGTTACAACTGTGTTTATCCTTATAGCTTACCCATTGTATCATTTTATTCTATATTTTGACACTCAGTTGTGTATTAAACCTTTAACTCCCAAGATCTCATTACCCATTCTCCTTACTGTCTGCCGAAGATTCTCATCATGTTAGTTTGGAGAATTTGGTATCAGATCAATTAATAATCCAATAATATATTTTTTTCCTTTATTCTCATCACTTGTCTGCATGATATTGTATAGATAGAGTAAGGAGAAATTCTGTCTTGGTCACTCACGGGAGTTAAAGGTTTAAACTTTACCCAAAGTGTTCCTTAACATGGGGAAAACCACTTAAGACTGTAGAATACGGTGTCTCTACTACTATCTTTGACAGTGAGGACTAACAGACGGTTCGTTCCGCGCATAATGAGTGTTAATGTTAATCTAACAAATCAATAATGATTTTTAAATTGGCAGAGGGGTAGTAAATAGCCACACGAGCGCGTAAGGAAATATAACTCATTAACTATTGGGAGACCAGTCCAAGAAAATCTCAGTTATGGGGATCACTTAAATAATAATCTTATCAAGTATTTTAGTTGAGTCTTAATTGTGTAAGATAAACTTGATTTCACCTATTTTTTATTCTCTACTTTGTATATTTATCCTTTACAATTGCGTTTATCCCTATAGCTTACCCATTGTATCATTGTAGTTTATGTTTTTGACACTCAGTTTTGTATTAACCCATACCCAAAGTGTTCCGAGCACAATGTGTGTTGATGTTAATCTAGCACATTAATAATGATTTTTAAATTGGCAGAGGGGTAGTAAATAACCACACAAGTGCGTTATGAAATATAACTCATTAATTATTGGGAGACCAGTCCCAGAAAATCTCAGTAAATAGTTGTCTTGAAAGAATAATTGTTATTATTCTGATGTAGTTTATTAAGTCTGAGTTATTTGTTCTACTCTATCTTCATTTATATTCTGTTCCCTTCTCTGTAATCATGAATTTAAGATGAACGTGAAAGGGTGAAGGCCTCTAATCCTTGCTCCATAGATTCTGGTTGACAATATATGATAAGAAACAATTGGAAAGCTGTGACAAAATGGTCAGTAGAGCAACAGTCAGTGCCATTATCACTTCACTAATGTGTCCATCATTTTATTAAGTTTGGCAAGCTCCTTCGCCTGACGATCAACCAATCGTCTAAGTAACTTAATGTTTTCCTCAATGAACTGGGAGCTCTCTTTTTTTCCCGCTTTCCCACTTTTGTCATCCGTTGTGTCATCTCCACTTAGGTTGTCTTCCTCGCATTTTTCAAAGTAGCGGCCCCTTAGATATTTCACCACCAATTCCTTCATCGTTTCTTTTCGTCTCTGGGATGACATAATAAGATCAAAGACATTATTCATCATCATTTTCTCTCACTCTCTGTATCATGATACTCTATCGATTTCATTTAGGAGCATTTGTTGCAATTGTTTTCGCATGCTACAAGGCTCGCTGGATCAATTCTCTCGTTGTTACATGAAAAACACGTCAAAGTTTTACTCTAAGCTTACATGTACCTCTTTTCTGGCGGTAATCTCGTCTCTCTGAAAAAAAAATTAAGAGTTGCATTTCATTACCATTACAAATAGTATTGCATATCAAGGAAGTTAGACCTTGATTTTGGGTTTTGACAGAATTTCTCATTTATCAGTCCTGCTTACCTCTCTTTGCGCCTGCACTTCGTCTGGTTCCTTTAACAAAGAGATGAAATTCAAGAAATGAGAATGAATCAACGCATTAATTTCACGGTCTTATCGTAAATGCTAGTTTAGCGATCAGTGCATTACTTCAATAATCTACATTCCCATCTAAAATGAAACGTACGGTTTTGGTGGAGTTTGAGAGACGCATTTTTCCCGGCTAATATAGAAAGACTTAGAAACAATAGGTGATAAGAAAAGTCAATACCCTCCTAGTGATCTACAAAAAATAAAACTTCTTCTCTTCCTTACCCCATTACCACGACAACAACAACATTTTTCTCTGAATTTCCCAGAAACTTTGTCAGCAAATAGAATACTCCCATACAAGGTGTAATAGACCATGTTGATGGGTGCCGGCATCGTGTTGCCTTTGTCAATCCATTCCAGCCACATTCGGGATCTTGAGTATTTCCACTCAATTTCGGAGTTTTTCTAAAATTGAATTGTGAAGAAGAAATCAAGAAGTTGAGAAGGTTTTTCAGTAGCGGGGGTTGCTCATTTCAAAAAAACAACGCAGTTAGGAATTTATTCGATGGACTAAAACTTTCTTGAATATGGGTCAAATCTGACTGACTTGCGGCAATGGTATTTATTTTGGGTGTATACTCACCATGATTCTCTCGAACGAATTATTCATCATGGCGATCAGCATGTTCAAAGCCACTATTACAGTGCAAATCACGTAAGCCATCAGGAAAAGACGACCAAATGTGGCGGTGAGAGCAAACACTGGGTCTTTTACCTCAATTTTGTCTTCTTCTACGAGGCCAAGCAGCAACCAGAATAACGCTATAAACGCGCTCTTGTGACTGAGAAGCAAAAGATATCAGCATATTATAAATAGTCAGACGCAAGAATGAAATTTTCGCATTCCTCTAAACAACTTCTAACTTTTGCGTTTCCGAACGAAAATCACCGAGCTTAAGTAGCCTTCTTCGATGCCAATGTCCATGTTTCAGATTAAAGCTTTGTTTCAAGGTGGCCTATAGTCGTGTTTTTGTTCTGGCTTAATTATGTACATGTATAAACAACAACTTCAATTAGGAAATGTGACATGAAGTAACTCTATGTTAGCACACATACAATGCAGACATGTGAAATTGGTGCTGGCTTTGCAAAGGGCCGAGCGCTCCACTGTTTCTCGAGCTTCTGCATTATCAGCTCAAAGGCTACTCAGTAAGTTCATCTCTCAGTAGAATTATACCTAATTCGCAATAAAAAAAACACCTTACGGAGTAGCTTTCTTATCTCAAAAATATATTATACTTAATGTTGGACGTTATTGGATAAAGATATTTCTCATCAAAGCTCTCTTACCCCGCGTACGGATGGGATTCCTCATTCTCAGTGTGGTTCCATTTTCTCTGCAGTTCAGTTTTCGAGGTTTCATAGTAAGAGTAGACTTTTACGACGCCATTAGCAAACGAGAAATACAGCACAAGGAAGATAAAGAGGAATCTTTGCACATCTTTGAGCATTTTGTAAAGTGACAGCTGTAGAGGGCCAAGTATCGAATCAACCTGAAATATATGCGTCAGGTGAAAATATGCCATAACGGATGCACTTGCGTACAACACATCGGCTAGAACAAACGCTGCTTCCTCAGGTTTCCATTTTCTAAAGTACAGACAGGAGAGCAACCACACAGCGAAGGACGCCAGAAAAGTCAAGATGATCAGCGTGTCTACGACATTCCACCACTTTGATATATAAATGTAAATTCCTTGTCTGCGAGCTTCGAGAAATTCCTGTAGAAGTAAGCCAAGAACAAACGAAAGCACCACATAGTCTGTGAAGAAAATGTACAGTTGTTTAGCACAACAGCACACGCGCGTCAAACATTGATTGATATACGTCGTCTTCATACAATTCAAAATAAGTTGTAAATGTACTTTGCTCTGGCAAATTCAAAATGAAAACTGTGTTTTTCTGGGCGTTTTGGAGGCTAACCATAGAGGGAAGGAATACATGACTTTGAAATGTTAGACTGTAAAAAGGGTGATATTCTACACAAGTAATAGATATGTAATAATAGGTTGATCTGTATACTTGTTTTTTGCTAAGTTTTTCTTTCTTTACATCAGTTATTTGATCTTAATTAAAATCGTAAGGTTGAAACCCAAACTGCTTAAAATTTTAAGTGTAGTACACTGGAAATAAATGATGACTGCGGGCTATCAAACGAACAAAAAAAGCCAAGTCGATGTGAGTGAAAATTAAATTTATGACACTTACCACACCATATCAGCCCAGTCGATGAAGTTTCAAACTTGTCGTCAAAGGAGGTCAAGAATATCATTGAGAGAAACACCAGATACCACATCGTGTGGTTAATAAACTTGGAATAGGGATGCTCATAAAGCTCTCTGAATTCCCAAATCTTCTCATTGTTACAGCAACGATAAAATTTACGAACCAACCGTATCGGTATGTAGAAGACGCTCGATACTGCTACAAGCAGTAGTTGGAAGAAGAACCAAGCCAGTTTGGTCAGTCTGCTTTTATCCCGCCAACCAGGCCATTCATAGTATATAATCTCGTTAAGAATCCACTGACATTTTGGGCTTGCTACAAACTGCGAATTGAAAAGGAAAAGATTGTTTTGATAAATTTGTAATTTCTTGATTTCTAACATATAAGTCCTAAATTATTTGCAACCACTAATTTACGCCTACCCTTTTCGTTTTTTTCACGTATCATTAATGCACCGTTATTTTGGCATTTTATGTAAATTAAGCCGCCCTTCACATTTTATGTGTCACGCACTTCCCGTGTACTTTATTTTTGCTACGATATGAACCTTTTTCCTTCGAGTGTTTCATGATTCGTATATTACCTCAGAATTTGGTAAGTTTTTGTCTCGACATATCTTTTTTTTATTTTTTTCGCCTTATTTGTTACTATATTTTTGTAAAGGTCGTTTTTTCTGTTTCATAGGAGTTTACTTCTTCACGTTCATATTAAGAGGGTTGGTAAATCGAATGGTGAGTAAACTTGAGAGGCGCTTGCCTCTTTAAAGACTTAGGAAAACATAGTTGGACACCAAGGTTGGGGCCACTGATTTGTCAATGACCAGCCCAATTTTTTCTTAAGTCTTTGAAGAGGCAGGGTCCCGCTTCAATAAACACTTTTACTCACCATTCAATTTAATAATATATTTCACTATCTTAGTTATCACATTGGCAAACCTTTTTTTATTTGACTCAGCGGCTTAGTCTTTGTTTTTAAACACAGTGACAAGAGTTTTATTTTTTTTTAAGTGTACTACCCATACTTTCCTGGAATAAAAGGGTGAATAACATAATTTTTTGACGTAAATAATGTCAAGATTTCACTATGATTTTAATCCCAAGCAATACTTCAGTTTCATACCGCTCTTTATTTTCACGGGGTCCAAATTACGACAAAAGCAACGAAATACACGTCATATTGTCATCTTACTCTAAATGGAAAAACACTTGGCATTGCCATCTAGATTATGCTTCACACGTGCTTTTCATGAACAGCCACACGAAATGATATAAATCAGTTAATAACAACCTAGCTAAAAGAGATTGATTGTACGTGTACCATCCAGCATCCCCAGTTTTCATTTGGCTAGTCTTAGATCAGCGATTTCGTGATCACTAAATAAATGCTCTGCTGAATATTAATTCAAATGACTGTTTGTTTTACCCGATTGAAGATTGAAATGTTTGCAATACACTTTCCGAGAAAAATGAAAGATTCCAGTCCATTCGATTCAATAGTGTATATTATTTCAAAGGCGGAAATCACGGAACATTTTTGTTGTAGCAATTTTAAAATTTCGTCTTAAGTAAGTGGTTTTAATTATTCATGGTAATTTAGATTGGAATTGAAAACTCGGTGTTAATGCTTGACGCTCAAGTTATTCCATAGTGAATCTGTGGGTTTGATATGCTTTTTAAGCTGTCATACTTTATGAACCAGTGAATAAGTTTTAGCCACATAACTTAGGTACCTTAAACGTGTAAAAAAAATAAAATAAATGATTACAAACCATCTTTCTGTTTTTGTCGGCAGCAAACTTGAGAAGAATCAGGCTCTGATTAAAATTCTTAGGTTTCTTCGCCATTAAACAGCCCTTACCATCGGTATCCATTATCTCCTGAAGTTGGCTGAAGTTACATCCTTCAACAACATCAGCCGCAAATTTCTCACACTCCAATGCTCGCTTGTAGTACTCGTCCCGACTGTAATGATGCTCGTACCGAGCAATTTTTTCCAGCAGGTATGCATCATCCAAAGCAGCCTCGATGATGTCTTCAAGCTTACTTTCTCTCCGCTTCGGGTATTGGATAGCGGTGGATGTCAGCTGTGAATTATTTCTCCATAGCCATTCCAAACCAATGTAGAGTGGATCAGAAAGTATTCGTATCCACTGTTGTTCTTCTTCGTGTTGAAATTCAGTTTGTGGTGGCCTGCTTTCTCGGAATATACAAGCGGAAGTATCACGTCCTCTAGCAGATCTGATTTGGCCGCGTAGCTTTCCCCAAAGATACTTGATCAGTCCTTTCTCTTTCAGGCACTCATTTTCTGCGACAGTTTCGCATGTCTTGTTTAGGTTTTCTATCGTCTTGAGCTCCGACTCTTTAGCTCTTGCTATTAATTTCCAAACTGTGACAGCATCTTCGTCTTCGAGGGCTTTCGTAAGTTGTCGCTTGTGAGACACACATGTTGGATCTTCGTCTCGACTATCCCTGCGCTCGTCTGAATTCGCTTGCCGTAAAAATCGCTCCACATCGTCCTTTGTACCACTCGAAATTGCATCAAGAAAATCTTCGTAAACATTTGAGCCGCCTTCTGGTTGTTCGTTGATTGCCGCGTCAACGTGTGCGGCCATCTGATGATTTTTGCTTGTAGAGAAATTAGAAGAGTTGTGAAAATAAGTGTTCTAATTGTTCATTTTAGGGAATAGGAGAACATTTTAGTGCTTTCCTACATGAAGACGATTGACGGTGCGATTTTTCTAGAAAGGACAGTGGACAGGAACAGATTCTTTATCCTTATCGGTGGAAAGTGAAGCTGTCAATCCAAATCATACTCAAGTGACGAGCAGACGACAATAGAACGTAAAATGGGGTTTTCGTGCGTGAGGTGTAGTCACACCAAAGTTGAAGTCACGCAGCTCAATAAAGAAATATTCCATTGTTAGACGCAGCTGTTATACGTGAAATGCCTTTTAAAATCAACCTTCCGCTAACCGTGCTGAAGAATATATGTTTCATCAAGTGGATCTTACTTCTTAGTCGGGAAAAATTACATTAAGATCTTTCTAAGAAATAGCGGAAGTCAATCGAAGCTTTTTATGAGCCTCAGAAAGCGAATCAATCGCATTATTCGCGTTAAGTTACGGTGTTTCTTTCAGATTCGCGACAACTGTTGAGGGCAAGAATGTCTACCTAGTGTTATCTTCTCAGCTACCTTTGCGGACCAAAATTCGATGCGGACGATGGCTAATTCGAACTTCCGACTCAGAAGCATAACTATTCGAGTAAAGTTTTCAGATCCCCATATCCATTCTGTTTATTGCGCAATTTATGCTGTCTATATCTATGCTGTTGTAATATTAATGAGTGTTTTCGCTTTTGAGCCAATAACGGAAGGAACATATAAATGGAACGTATATTTAAATAATTTTCGACACGTTTCTGGCCATGCACATAGATAAGTACACATTACTACAGATTTACATGAACGCACTAAGGAATCGACAACAACTCTTGTCACGCAGTCAGGTACATCCGGTAACTGCCACTAGTTCTGATGCCGTCACGGAAACTTGACTTGAAGTTGAAATTGCTAACTATTGTCTTAGTGCTTAGGAAAACAATTTAATTTTTAGGACAACAACTTCCAACGCTCCATGCTACAGTTGATTCGATGCAAAAGACCCAAGTCCGCCAGCGCTTATAGGTTATTGCATTAACCCTGAATTCCTATGAGTGACTAAGACATAATTGCTCCTTACAAAATCAACACAATATCAAAAAGAACAATTATGAGACTAAAGGAAAATTATCAACAATTAGATTATCGGTTGATTTAATACAAAATTCTCCAAAGTTACATTATACGAAATGTATGACAGACGATAAGGAGAATTACTATTGAGATCTTGGGAGTAAAAGATTAAAAAATCTCTAATATTTTCTAATAAAATTTCATAATCACTTGTAGTCGAGGAAGCGCTTCCCCCAATTGGTAAAGTGACGAACGATTACCTGCGGAAAAAGCTTGATAATATCATATTAGTCTACAATATTCTAACAACGTATGGAGAAAGTATAATATTATGCTAAAAATAAATGGTCCACATGTAGATATAAAGACACAACTGCCCTATATCGTCGTCAGTAGTTTAGTCTCTACAAAAATTAAATAATTTCTATTCTACTTGTAACCTAAACATGCCATATCTTTGTAACTGTCATTCAAAAACTGATATGTTAGGTGCTTGAATTCTGATAACTAATTGTTGGTAACACCAAATATAGATATTTTAACTGACCGGCTACAAATGAAGACTAGCCTTAAGCAATATATTTCTTTTCTGGAGAATGTTTAAAATCATCATCAATTAATTTCGCTCATGCACGATTTGTTGCTAAAATATTACGGTGCTCAAAAATCCTCGGATAAAACAGAGAAAAACGCACAATAGCCTCTATTTGGCTCAAAATATACTCCGCTACTTATATTCGTAGACATTATCTGATTGCGGAATGCGAACGGTTTTCCGACATCGCAATTTGACACAAATTCTGACAATTGGGAAATATTATCTAAGAAATATCACCGATTTCAATCCATCACATACGTTCGCTCACACGCGATCGGTTTTAATACGTGCATGACGTGACCGAAAATGTTCCAATGCGATGGAAGTCTTTCTTTAAAATTGACGTTATCTGTTCCTCGAAGCTCACATGTATTCTCTGGTATCGCTCTCCTGAACTGCTCGCTACTCAAATCAGATAATGTCCGCGGACAAATATCCGGGCACCAAATGAATGCTAGTGTATATCTAAATCCAGAGACTTCAGTATTGACCTGTTTAAGAACGAAAACTGAGGAAAAGGACTGCGTTTAAGGGCGCGTTGCTCCTGTTTTTACCGTGGGCTCCTTCCATTTATCTTCGTAGCGATCAATAAGATACTCCACAACTAATCCGTTCATTACCTGCATGCGTGTCTGAAACAAAGAGATACTCACAAATCAGAAGATGGTCGAAAAATATCGAGCAAAGTATTAAGGTGTCTAAGATTTTCTTTCTCAAATCAATCCTTTTGAGACATTTAACTCGCCTGTCGATCATTTTCATCTCTTTTCTCATCCTTTAAAAGTATCAGTTAAGCATTCAGAAAATGTAAAGTAAAATGTCGTATGTAGCAGTAACAGTATCTCAATACATTCGCAACAGGATATTTGGCTAACCTTTCTTTTATTTCCGTCTCCTCCCCTCACCTAAAGAAGAGGAAAATTTCGTGCAGTCAAAAAAGTAAAGTGAAGTGCTGCATACAATAGTAACGAAGAAACGAGGAACAAGCCTTAAACCTTTACCTCCCATGAGTGATCAAGAAAGAATTTCTCCTTTCAATACCAATACATATCAAGCATAGAAGTGATGAGAATAAAGTAAAATATCAATTAGGGGATTATTAGTTGATCCAATACCAAATTCTCCAAATTGACATCATAAGAATTGTATGTCAGACAGTAAAGAGAATTACTAATGAGATCTTGGGAATTATAGAGTTAATTTGAGCCATGTAATTTGGTTTACTGTCTCAATACGCTCCAGAGGAGACATTTGGCTAAATTTTTCACCGTTTTTACCTCTCTTCGCCGCCATAGAAAATGAAATAGCAAGTAATCAGGAAATGTAAAGGAAATGTAAAGCGTTTCAGGTTTATAGTCTCAATACATTCACATTTGGCTAACCTGGCCACCCTGGTTACCTGATGGAAGAGTAAAATTAGGACAAAAATAAAAACGATCATCACAGAGACAGAAATCTAGGTTTCTGGTACGGATAGTGTCATGAACTTGTACAGCGGCAAAACAATCGGTGCACTGACCACCTAATCTGCATGATAGTTGAGCGGCACTCGATCATTTCTTTAAATTTATTAATTTAATTTATTTTCAAAATGATTCATCATTCTTTTGATTCTTATTTCGTTTGTTCATTCCATTTCATTATATGAAAAGAGCTACAATTCTATAATTTGAGGATTTTAGCAAGTGTGTTTAGTACAATGGCCCTCCCAGATTCAACTTTGTTATATACGCCGATGATTTTTTGTTTCTTTTCTATATGAAAGCTCTGCAAGCGAACTAGCAAATGTGATTCTTAGGTTCCTTTAAATGCACTAAAAATGCTGCAGAGATAATTAATTCTCACATTCGCCTCACAATTCAAGATTACGCTCCGCGATCAATAGTTTGCCAAACATGGTAAAAAAAAAAGTAAAGGTAGACACCAGTACATTGAGATCCACATTAGAAAAAGGGAAAATAAGAGAAAAATCACAAAACTCGTGTTTTAATTTTAGGCAAACGATTTAATGTAAAAAAAGAAAGCTGTTTTGAACCCTCTCAGTTATGGCACCAATTAAGATTTTTAAGTCATTTTCTCTTCACTTTTTCATCAGACTTCAGGCGATAGTATCGTCTACCGTATTTGTCATGGATGTTTTTGTTGCTGTAAACCTGAAATCGAATACAACCGAGGGGAGGTTTCTTACAATTAAGATTTTTAAGTCATTTTCTCTTTACTTTTTCATCAGACTTCAGGCGAAAGTTTCGCCTCCTGTATTTGTCATGGATGTTTTTGTTGTTGTAAACCCGAATCCGAAAACAAACGAGAAGAGGTTTGTTAGTGTTCATTAATTATTTCAGTAAATTGATCATTTTGTCGTACCACATATGCGTATAAGTGACAACACTAAACTGATGAACTAAGGGCAACAGATCCAGGCTGCATGAAAGATAGATCATAGATCTTTTTTGTACAAATAAACGTCTCAAATTAGCCTCACAATTTACGATTGCGCTTCGCAATCCAAACTGAGTTTGCCAAACCGGCTCCTGTGAAAAGGGCAGAGAAAAAAGTAAAGGTAAACATCACTACATTGAGATTCACGTTAGAAAAAGGGGAAAACAAGAAAGAAATCAAAAAAGTCATGTTTTAATTTTAAGCAAACGATGTAGTGTAAAAATAAGGAATCTGTTTTGAACCTTCTCAGTTACGGCACCAATTAAGATTTTTAAGTCATTTCCTCTTTATTTTTTCTTCAGACCTCGGGCTATAGTTTCGCCTCCTGTATTTGTCATGGATGTTCCTGTTATTGCAAACCTGAAATCGAATGCAACCGAGGAGAGGTTTGTTAGTGTTGATTAATTACTTCAATAAATGGATAATTTTGTCGTACCACATACGCGAATAGGTGACAAAACTTACCTGATGAACTAAGGGCAACAGATCCAGGCTGCAAAAAAAATAGATCACGTATCTTTTGTGTATCATAAAACCTCTCAAATTAGCCTCACAATTCACGATTGCGCTTTGCAATCCAAATTGAGTTTGTTAAACCGGCTGCTGTGAAAGGAGAAAAGAGAAAGGTGAAGACAGACACTTTTTAAGCGATTTGGGATAATTTATAAATGAAATATCACATATGCAGATATTTGAATCATCGTTGGAAGCAGTTCATTGCTATGTTTAGTATTTATTATAAAACTAAATTGATACTGTTTCTTCTTTACAAGGAACGCGGGAAAGCTATAGCATCATCTGTTGAGAAATATCTGAAACAGATGATGACCACTCAGCACGGAGGACTTTAAAGGAGTCACTTATTGATGAAAGAGATGACCAAAATGGAAAGTCTGTTGCGTAAATTCATTTAAACGAACTGTAAGCCATTTTGATGATGTGTAAGATTTCTGTTTTTTTGCAAGAAATGTAAGACCAGCCTACAATTTGCGGGCAGAAAACGGGATTTATCGTAGTTAGTTTGATGTAATTTTTGGGGGGTCTATAAACTCGTATTTTGTGTTAAGAAAGGATGTATTCTTTGTCTGATCTATGTTTGCTAATGTATACGCCTGCTATAACTGCTTTGGCTGCTGTTTTCCCCATATTTACCCGTCTTTATATCAATTGCTATATTTGTGCTGTCATGCAGCGGTAATGTATTGATTATTCTTTTTATCTTTGACTTCTGATTTGGTTTCCTTTGTCCCCTGTCCTCCGCCTCCCAGATCGGGCACGCTCCCCCCCCCCCCTCCTCCTTTCAGTCCGAACTACCAACTTACTACCCAGAGCAAGACTTCACATCTATGTAACAAGATTTGTTTGGGCGTGGTTAATGTTAACGTAGTCTTAATATGTGTTTATATAAATCACATCGAGTAGTCACATAACTCGCCAATCCGAGACCTCACTTCTTTTGAAGCAGATGAGTTCTACTTAGTTTCCTTGGGTTTTTGGGGGTGGAAATTTACCTTTCTTTTTCTTTGTTATTGTTACTTTCTTGTTTCCTAGAGTTTCTTTTATTTTGGCCTCGTTTCTTTTTCCAGTTGTAGGTACCCATACCTCTCCTCCCCCCCCTTAAAAAAAATCACTGGAGGACCCACTGCGTTATGGAGTTCACTTAAATAATAAGCTTATCAAGTATTTTAATGGAGTCTTAGTTGTGTCAAATAAACTTGATTTGACTTATTCTTAATTTTCAACTTTGTATATTTTTATCTTTTTACAACTGTGTTTATCCCTATAGCTTACCCATTGTATCATGTATTCTATATTTTTGAGACTCAGTTGTGTATTAAACCTTTAACTCCCAAGATCTCATTACCAATTCTCCTTACTGTCTGCCGAAGATTCTCATTATGTTAGTTTGGAGAATTTGGTATCAGATCAATTAGTAATCCAATAATATATTTTTTTCCTTTATTCTCATCACTTGTCTGCATAATATTGTATAGATATAGTAAGGAGAAATTCCGTCTTGGTCACTCACGGGAGTTAAAGGTTTAAACTTTACCCAAAGTGTTCCTTAACATGGGGAAAACCACTTAAGACTGTAGAATACGGTGTCTCTACTACTATCTTTGACAGTGAGGACTAACAGACGGTTCGTTCCGCGCATAATGAGTGTTAATGTTAATCTAACAAATCAATAATGATTTTTAAATCGGCAGAGGGGTAGTAAATAGCCACAAGAGCGCGTAAGGAAATATAACTCATTAACTATTGGGAGACCAGTCCAAGAAAATCTCAGCTATGGGGATCACTTAAAAAGTAATCTTATCAAGTATTTTAGTTGAGTCTTAATTGTGTAGGATAAACTTGATTTCACCTATTTTTTATTCTCAACTTTGTATATTTATCCTTTACAATTGCGTTTATCCCTATAGCTTACCCATTGTATCATTGTAGTTTATGTTTTTGACACTCAGTTTTGTATTAACCCATACCCAAAGTGCTCCGAGCACAATGTGTGTTGATGTTAATCTAGCACATTAATAATGATTTTTAAATTGGCAGAGGGGTAGTAAATAACCACACAAGTGCGTTATGAAATATAACTCATTAATTATTGGGAGACCAGTCCCAGAAAATCTCAGTAAATAGTTATCTTGAAAGAATAATTGTTATTGTTCTGATGTAGTTTATTAAGTCTGAGTTATTTGTTCTACTCTATCTTCATTTATATTCTGTTCCCTTCTCTGTAATCGTGAATTTAAGATAAACGTGAAAGAGTGAAGGCCTTTAATCCTTGCTCCATAGATTCTGGTTGACAATATATGAGAAGAAACAATTGGAAAGCTGTGACAAAATGGTCAGTAGAGCAACAGTCAGTGCCATTATCACTTCACTAATGTGTCCATCATTTTATTAAGTTTGGCAAGCTCCTTCGCCTGACGATCAACCAATCGTCTAAGTAACTTAATGTTTTCCTCAATGAACAGGGAACTCTCTTTTTTTCCTGCTTTCCCCCTTTTGTCATCCGTTGTCTCATCTCCACTTAAGTTGTCTTCCTCGCATTTTTCAAAGTAGCGGCCCCTTAGATATTTCATCACCAATTCCTTCATCGTTTCTTTTCGTCTCTGGGATGACATAATAAGATCAAAGACATTATTCATCATCATTTTCTCTCACTCTCTGTATCATGATACTCTATCGATTTCATTTAGGAGCATTTGTCGCAATTGTTTTCGCATGCTACAAGGCTCGCTGAAAAACACGTCAAAGTTTTACTTTAAGCTTACATGTACCTTTTTCCTGGCGGTAATCTCGTCTCTCTGAAAAAAAAATTAAGAGTTGCATTTCATTACTATTACAAATAGTATTGAATATTAAGGAAGTTAGACCTTGATTTTGGGTTTTGACAGAATTTCTCATTTATCAGTCCTACTTACCTCTCTTTGCGCCTGCACTTCGTCTGGTTCCTTTAACAAAGAGATGAAATTTAAGAAATGAGAATGTATCAACGCCTTAATTTCACGGTCTTATCGTAAATGCTAGTTTAGCGATCAGTGCATTACTTCAATAATCTACATTCCCATCTAAAATGAAACGTACGGTTTTGGTGGAGTTTGAGAGACGCATTTTTCCCGGCTAATATAGAAAGACTTAGAAACAATAGGTGATAAGAAAAGTCAATACCCTCCTAGTGATCTACAAAAAATAAAACTTCTTCTCTTCCTTACCCCATTACCACGACAACAACAGCATTTTTCTCTGAATTTCCCAAAAACTTTGTTAGCAAATAGAATACTCCCATACAAGGTGTAATAAACCATGTTGATGGGTGCCGGCATCGTGTTGCCTTTGTCAATCCATTCCAGCCACATCCGGGATCTTGAGTATTTCCACTCAATTTCGGAGTTTTTCTAAAATTGAATTGTGAAGAAGAAATCAAGAAGTTGAGAAGGTTTTTCAGTAGCGGGGGTTGCTCATTTCAAAAAAACAACGCAGTTAGGAATTTATTCGATGGACTAAAACTTTCTTGAATATGGGTCAAATCTGACTGACTTGCGGCAATGGTATTTATTTTGGGTGTATACTCACCATGATTCTCTCGAACGAATTATTCATCATGGCGATCAGCATGTTCAAAGCCACTATTACAGTGCAAATCACGTAAGCCATCAGGAAAAGACGACCAAATGTGGCGGTGAGAGCAAACACTGGGTCTTTTACCTCAATTTTGTCTTCTTCTACGAGGCCAAGCAGCAACCAGAATAACGCTATAAACGCGCTCTTGTGACTGAGAAGCAAAAGATATCAGCATATTATAAATAGTCAGACGCAAGAATGAAATTTTCGCATTCCTCTAAACAACTTCTAACTTTTGCGTTTCCGAACGAAAATCACCGAGCTTAAGTAGCCTTCTTCGATGCCAATGTCCATGTTTCAGATTAAAGCTTTGTTTCAAGGTGGCCTATAGTCGTGTTTTTGTTCTGGCTTAATTATGTACATGTATAAACAACAACTTCAATTAGGAAATGTGACATGAAGTAACTCTATGTTAGCACACATACAATGCAGACATGTGAAATTGGTGCTGGCTTTGCAAAGGGCCGAGCGCTCCACTGTTTCTCGAGCTTCTGCATTATCAGCTCAAAGGCTACTCAGTAAGTTCATCTCTCAGTAGAATTATACCTAATTCGCAATAAAAAAAACACCTTACGGAGTAGCTTTCTTATCTCAAAAATATATTATACTTAATGTTGGACGTTATTGGATAAAGATATTTCTCATCAAAGCTCTCTTACCCCGCGTACGGATGGGATTCCTCATTCTCAGTGTGGTTCCATTTTCTCTGCAGTTCAGTTTTCGAGGTTTCATAGTAAGAGTAGACTTTTACGACGCCATTAGCAAACGAGAAATACAGCACAAGGAAGATAAAGAGGAATCTTTGCACATCTTTGAGCATTTTGTAAAGTGACAGCTGTAGAGGGCCAAGTATCGAATCAACCTGAAATATATGCGTCAGGTGAAAATATGCCATAACGGATGCACTTGCGTACAACACATCGGCTAGAACAAACGCTGCTTCCTCAGGTTTCCATTTTCTAAAGTACAGACAGGAGAGCAACCACACAGCGAAGGACGCCAGAAAAGTCAAGATGATCAGCGTGTCTACGACATTCCACCACTTTGATATATAAATGTAAATTCCTTGTCTGCGAGCTTCGAGAAATTCCTGTAGAAGTAAGCCAAGAACAAACGAAAGCACCACATAGTCTGTGAAGAAAATGTACAGTTGTTTAGCACAACAGCACACGCGCGTCAAACATTGATTGATATACGTCGTCTTCATACAATTCAAAATAAGTTGTAAATGTACTTTGCTCTGGCAAATTCAAAATGAAAACTGTGTTTTTCTGGGCGTTTTGGAGGCTAACCATAGAGGGAAGGAATACATGACTTTGAAATGTTAGATTGTAAAAAAGGTGATATTCTACACAAGTAATAGATATGTAATAATAGGTTGATCTGTATACTTGTTTTTTGCTAAGTTTTTCTTTCTTTACATCAGTTATTTGATCTTAATTAAAATCGTAAGGTTGAAACCCAAACTGCTTAAAATTTTAAGTGTAGTACACTGGAAATAAATGATGGCTGCGGGCTATCAAACGAACAAAAAAAGCCAAGTCGATGTGAGTGAAAATTAAATTTATGACACTTACCACACCATATCAGCCCAGTCGCTGAAGTTTCAAACTTGTCGTCAAAGGAGGTCAAGAATATCATTGAGAGAAACACCAGATACCACATCGTGTGGTTAATAAACTTGGAATAGGGATGCTCATAAAGCTCTCTGAATTCCCAAATCTTCTCATTGTTACAGCAACGATAAAATTTACGAACCAACCGTATCGGTATGTAGAAGACGCTCGATACTGCTACAAGCAGTAGTTGGAAGAAGAACCAAGCCAGTTTGGTCAGTCTGCTTTTATCCCGCCAACCAGGCCATTCATAGTATATAATCTCGTTAAGAATCCACTGACATTTTGGGCTTGCTACAAACTGCGAATTGAAAAGGAAAAGATTGTTTTGATAAATTTGTAATTTCTTGATTTCTAACATATAAGTCCTAAATTATTTGCAACCACTAATTTACGCCTACCCTTTTCGTTTTTTTCACGTATCATTTATGCACCGTTATTTTGGCATTTTATGTAAATTACGCCACCCTTCACATTTTGTGTCACGCACTTCCCGTGTACTTTATTTTTGCTACCATATGAACCTTTTTCCTTCGAGTGTTTCATGATTCGTATATTACCTCAGAATTTGGTAAGTTTTTGTCTCGACATATCTTTGTATTTTATTTTTTTCGCCTTATTTGTTACTATATTTTTGTAAAGGTCGTTTTTTCTGTTTCATAGGAGTTTACTTCTTCACGTTCATATTAAGAGGGTTGGTAAATCGAATGGTGAGTAAACTTGAGAGGCGCTTGCCTCTTTAAAGACTTAGGAAAACATAGTTGGACACCAAGGTTGGGGCCACTGATTTGTCAATGACCAGCCCAATTTTTTCTTAAGTTTTTGAAGAGGCAGGGTCCCGCTTCAATAAACACTTTTACTCACCATTCAATTTAATAATATATTTCACTATCTTAGTTATCACATTGGCAAACCTTTTTTTATTTGACTCAGCGGCTTAGTCTTTGTTTTTAAACACAGTGACAAGAGTTTTATTTTTTTTTAAGTGTACTACCCATACTTTCCTGGAATAAAAGGGTGAATAACATAATTTTTTGACGTAAATAATGTCAAGATTTCACTATGATTTTAATCCCAAGCAATACTTCAGTTTCATACCGCTCTTTATTTTCACGGGGTCCAAATTACGACAAAAGCAACGAAATACACGTCATATTGTCATCTTACTCTAAATGGAAAAACACTTGGCATTGCCATCTAGATTATGCTTCACACGTGCTTTTCATGAACAGCCACACGAAATGATATAAATCAGTTAATAACAACCTAGCTAAAAGAGATTGATTGTACGTGTACCATCCAGCATCCCCAGTTTTCATTTGGCTAGTCTTAGATCAGCGATTTCGTGATCACTAAATAAATGCTCTGCTGAATATTAATTCAAATGACTGTTTGTTTTACCCGATTGAAGATTGAAATGTTTGCAATACACTTTCCGAGAAAAATGAAAGATTCCAGTCCATTCGATTCAATAGTGTATATTATTTCAAAGGCGGAAATCACGGAACATTTTTGTTGTAGCAATTTTAAAATTTCGTCTTAAGTAAGTGGTTTTAATTATTCATGGTAATTTAGATTGGAATTGAAAACTCGGTGTTAATGCTTGACGCTCAAGTTATTCCATAGTGAATCTGTGGGTTTGATATGCTTTTTAAGCTGTCATACTTTATGAACCAGTGAATAAGTTTTAGCCACATAACTTAGGTACCTTAAACGTGTAAAAAAAATAAAATAAATGATTACAAACCATCTTTCTGTTTTTGTCGGCAGCAAACTTGAGAAGAATCAGGCTCTGATTAAAATTCTTAGGTTTCTTCGCCATTAAACAGCCCTTACCATCGGTATCCATTATCTCCTGAAGTTGGCTGAAGTTACATCCTTCAACAACATCAGCCGCAAATTTCTCACACTCCAATGCTCGCTTGTAGTACTCGTCCCGACTGTAATGATGCTCGTACCGAGCAATTTTTTCCAGCAGGTATGCATCATCCAAAGCAGCCTCGATGATGTCTTCAAGCTTACTTTCTCTCCGCTTCGGGTATTGGATAGCGGTGGATGTCAGCTGTGAATTATTTCTCCATAGCCATTCCAAACCAATGTAGAGTGGATCAGAAAGTATTCGTATCCACTGTTGTTCTTCTTCGGGTTGAAATTCAGTTTGTGGTGGCCTGCTTTCTGGGAATATACAAGCGGAAGTATCACGTCCTCTAGCAGATCTGATTTGGCCGCGTAGCTTTCCCCAAAGATACTTGATCAGTCCTTTCTCTTTCAGGCACTCATTTTCTGCGACAGTTTCGCATGTCTTGTTTAGGTTTTCTATCGTCTTGAGCTCCGACTCTTTAGCTCTTGCTATTAATTTCCAAACTGTGACAGCATCTTCGTCTTCGAGGGCTTTCGTAAGTTGTCGCTTGTGAGACACACATGTTGGATCTTCGTCTCGACTATCCCTGCGCTCGTCTGAATTCGCTTGCCGTAAAAATCGCTCCACATCGTCCTTTGTACCACTCGAAATTGCATCAAGAAAATCTTCGTAAACATTTGAGCCGCCTTCTGGTTGTTCGTTGATTGCCGCGGTGAAAATTAGAGTTGTGAAAATAAGTGTTCTAATTGTTCATTTTAGGGAATAGGAGAACATTTTAGTGCTTTCCTACATGAAGACGATTGACGGTGCGATTTTTCTAGAAAGGACAGTGGACAGGAACAGATTCTTTATCCTTATCGGTGGAAAGTGAAGCTGTCAATCCAAATCATACTCAAGTGACGAGCAGACGACAATAGAACGTAAAATGGGGTTTTCGTGCGTGAGGTGTAGTCACACCAAAGTTGAAGTCACGCAGCTCAATAAAGAAATATTCCATTGTTAGACGCAGCTGTTATACGTGAAATGCCTTTTAAAATCAACCTTCCGCTAACCGTGCTGAAGAATATATGTTTCATCAAGTGGATCTTACTTCTTAGTCGGGAAAAATTACATTAAGATCTTTCTAAGAAATAGCGGAAGTCAATCGAAGCTTTGTATGAGCCCCAGAAAGCGAATCAATCGCATTATTCGCGTTAAGTTACGGTGTTTCTTTCAGATTCGCGACAACTGTTGAGGGCAAGAATGTCTACCTAGTGTTATCTTCTCAGCTACCTTTGCGGACCAAAATTCGATGCGGACGATGGCTAATTCGAACTTCCGACTCAGAAGCATAACTATTCGAGTAAAGTTTTCAGATCCCCATATCCATTCTGTTTATTGCGCAATTTATGCTGTCTATATCTATGCTGTTGTAATATTAATGAGTGTTTTCGCTTTTGAGCCAATAACGGAAGGAACATATAAATGGAACGTATATTTAAATAATTTTCGACACGTTTCTGGCCATGCACATAGATAAGTACACATTACTACAGATTTACATGAACGCACTAAGGAATCGACAACAACTCTTGTCACGCAGTCAGGTACATCCGGTAACTGCCACTAGTTCTGATGCCGTCACGGAAACTTGACTTGAAGTTGAAATTGCTAACTATTGTCTTAGTGCTTAGGAAAACAATTTAATTTTTAGGACAACAACTTCCAACGCTCCATGCTACAGTTGATTCGATGCAAAAGACCCAAGTCCGCCAGCGCTTATAGGTTATTGCATTAACCCTGAATTCCTATGAGTGACTAAGACATAATTGCTCCTTACAAAATCAACACAATATCAAAAAGAACAATTATGAGACTAAAGGAAAATTATCAACAATTAGATTATCGGTTGATTTAATACAAAATTCTCCAAAGTTACATTATACGAAATGTATGACAGACGATAAGGAGAATTACTATTGAGATCTTGGGAGTAAAAGATTAAAAAATCTCAAAAATTTTCTAATAAAATTTCATAATCACTTGTAGTCGAGGAAGCGCTTCCCCCAATTGGTAAAGTGACGAACGATTACCTGCGGAAAAAGCTTGATAATATCATATTAGTCTACAATATTCTAACAACGTATGGAGAAAGTATAATATTATGCTAAAAATAAATGGTCCACATGTAGATATAAAGACACAACTGCCCTATATCGTCGTCAGTAGTTTAGTCTCTACAAAAATTAAATAATTTCTATTCTACTTGTAACCTAAACATGCCATATCTTTGTAACTGTCATTCAAAAACTGATATGTTAGGTGCTTGAATTCTGATAACTAATTGTTGGTAACACCAAATATAGATATTTTAACTGTCTGACCGGCTACAAATGAAGACTAACCTTAAGCAATATATTTCTTTTCTGGAGAATGTTTAAAATCATCATCAATTAATTTCGCTCATGCACGATTTGTTGCTAAAATATTACGGTGCTCAAAAATCCTCGGATAAAACAGAGAAAAACGCACAATAGCCTCTATTTGGCTCAAAATATACTCCGCTACTTATATTCGTAGACATTATCTGATTGCGGAATGCGAACGGTTTTCCGACATCGCAATTTCACACAAATTCTGACAATTGGGAAATATTATCTAAGAAATATCACCGGTTTCAATCCATCACATACGTTCGCTCACACGCGATCGGTTTTAATACGTGCATGACGTGACCGAAAATGTTCCAATGCGATGGAAGTCTTTCTTTAAAATTGACGTTATCTGTTCCTCGAAGCTCACATGTTTTCTCTAGTATCGCTCTCCTGAACTGCTCGCTACTCAAATCAGATGATGTCCGCGGACAAATATCCGGGCACCAAATGAATGCTAGTGTATATCTAAATCCAGAGACTTCAGTATTGACCTGTTTAAGAACGAAAACCGAGGAAAAGGACTGCGTTTAAGGGCGCGTTGCTCCTGTTTTTACCGTGGGCTCCTTCCATTTATCTTCGTAGCGATCAATAAGATACTCCACAACTAATCTGTTCATTACCTTCATGCGTGTCTGAAACAAAGAGATACTCACAAGTCAGAAGATGGTCGAAAAATATTGGGCAGAAGTTAAGGTGTCTAAGATTTTCTTTCTCAAATCAATCCTTTTGAGACATTTAACTCGCCTGTCGATCATTTTCATCTCTTTTCTCATCCTTTAAAAGTATCAGTTAAGTATTCAGAAAATGTAAAGTGAAATGTCGTATGTAGCAGTAACAGTATCTCAATACATTCGCAACAGGATATTTGGCTAACCTTTCTTTTATTTCCGTCTCCTCCCCTCACCTAAAGAAGAGGAAAATTTCGTGCAGTCAAAAATGTAAAGTGAAGTGCTGCATACAATAGTAACGAAGAAACGAGGAACAAGCCTTAAACCTTTACCTCCCATGAGTGACCAAGAAAGAATTTCTCCTTACAATACCAATACAATATATAACATAGAAGTGATGAGAATAAAGTAAAATATCAATTAGGGGATTATTAGTTGATCCAATACCAAATTCTCCAAATTGATATCATAAGAATTGTATGTCAGACAGTAAAGAGAATTACTAATGAGATCTTGGGAATTATAGAGTTAATTTGAGCCATGTAATTTGGTTTACTGTCTCAATACGCTCTAGAGGAGACATTTGGCTAAATTTTTCACCGTTTTTACCTCTCTTCGCCGCCATGGAAAATGAAATAGCAAGTAATCAGGAAATGTAAAGGAAATGTAGAGGAAATGTAAAGCGTTTCAGGTTTATAGTCTCAATACATTCACATTTGGCTAACCTGGCCACCCTGGTTACCTGATGGAAGAGTAAAATTAGGACAAAAATAAAAACGATCATCACAAAGACAGAAATCTAGGTTTCTGATACGGATAGTGTTATGAACTTGGTCAGCGGCAAAACAATCGGTGCACTGACCACCTAATCTGCATGATAGTTGAACGGCACTCGATCATTTCTTTAAATTTATTAATTTAATTTATTTTCAAAATGATTCATTCATTCTTTTGATTCTTCTTTCGTTCGTTTATTCCATTTCATTATATGAAAAGAGCTACAATTCTATAATTTGAGGATTTTAGCAAGTGTGTTTAGTACAATGTCCCTCCCAGATTCAACTTTGTTATATATGCCGATGATTTTTTTGTTTCTTTTCTATATGAAAGCTCTGCAAGCGAACTAGCAAATGTGATTCTTAGGTTCCTTTAAATGCACTAAAAATGCTGCAGAGATAATTAATTCAAATCAACAAACTATCTCACGTTTTCGCGCCGATTATTGTAGCAGGTTTTCCAGAAGTTTGGTAAGAAAATGTAGAGAATATAGTAGACTGTATTGAATGGAACAGGTATGGTATTGCCCTTGTCGATCCATTCCAGCCACATCTGAGTTCTTGAGAACTTCCACTCTACGATTGCATTTTCCTACAAAAGATATTAAGAGTGTTTAAGATCGTAAATTTATCAGGTGCCAACCACAACAGTGTACAAGTGTTTAACTCACTGCGAGAAGCGCCGCAGAAAAAACTGACTAATCATAAAAAAGCATCAGCAGTTTGTTGTTGCAAGGGAGTGATCACTGAACGAAGCACTACTCATTAAAATAATTCCCACATCACAACATAGGACGTTGTAGTTATGACTAGCTAGCAATAGTTTCCAAAACAACGAGAAACATCTTTAAAGGTTTAGCTGCAGTTCAAGAAGTTTCTTTCTCTGGGGAGTATTTTGAACCTCTAATGAAACACGAAGCACAAGCTGGTGAAGTCTTAAACGTGCATGAAATACAATCCAGTATGTCAGCTACATTATCACAATGTATAAGGTAAATAGGATCAATTAAAGCCAGCGCTAAATATGATCCTTACCAAAGAAACGTTGACTCACCATAACTCTGTTAAAAGAGTTGTTCATCATCGCGATCAGCATGTTTAAAGCTACTATGACTGTGCAAATCGCGTGGCCTATTATAAAAATACGCCCGAAAATGGACGTCAGATGAAACGCTGGATCTTCAACATTAAGTTCGTCATCTTCAACCGAACCAAGTAACAACCAAAACATTCCAATGAAAGCCTCAGTGTAGCTACGTTAAAATATAAAAATATCGAGTTAGGTGTCATTAGTCTAACCCAATTTCGCCTAATGTTCTCTGCCCAGTGAAAACTGGTTGCTTGTCCTTCCGTTTTGGAAACTGGTGAAACTGCCAGATTAACCTTGCTTAGGAACCAGTCGTTATTTGTTGCCTAGGGGTAGGGGGAGGGGGAGGGGGAGGGGGAGGGATGTGAGGATATTTTTTGTGGGGGGGGACCTTATGGTCTTCAGAGTGACGGAGGTTGGATGAATCGTGGCCAACAAGATGTAATGGGGGGGGGGGGGGCTATTGAAAACTGACTGCCAGTTAGCTGCCAACGAGGAGGGAGGGGAGGATCAGGTAAATTTTTCACGTGACACAACCAAACTTCTTCGACCCCCCCTCCCCCCTTCTTATCACTCGAGCAATAGATAATTGCCGAACTCTAATGGGAGTAAATGTTTAACAATAATAGTGGGCTCTTCATTTGTCCTCACAGTCTCAACGTTGTTCCTTTTCATGCGTCTACACTAAACGTCCTCCAAGCTTTTGTAAAGTAAATTAGTAGCTTACGTGCGCCCCCTATTAAGTTTAATTAGAGCTCATAGGGTTATATACGTACTTGCCATATCGGGGAACTGCTGGGTACTTATCATCTTTAAGTTGTTTTTGAGAAACCACATAATACGAATATGTATTGATTACGCCTGTAGCAAATGCAATGTAAAGTAGGAAAAAAATGGCAAGAAACTTGAGGACGTCCTTAAGCATTCTGTAAAGTGACAGCTGTAATGGACCCAACACTGAATTAACTTGGAAGATGTGTGCTAAGTGGAAATAGGCCAATACAGATGCTGTGGAATAAATGGCATCAGCCGCGATAAACGCAGTCTCTCTTGGTTTCCACTGTTTGAAATATATCCGCGCAGTAAACCAAACTATGTAGGCCAGCGGGAATGTTAAAACGATCAATGTGTCTACGACATTCCACCATTTTGAAAAGTAAATTGAGGCACCTTGCCTGTAGGCCTCCATTGCCTCCTGAACCAAAAGGCCCACAACAAAAGCGACAGCAGCCAACTCTGTAAATGAGATCGAGCAAATCAAATCAACATTTTGTCGGCATACTAAATTTATCTACTCTTCCACTGAAACTGACACACATCCACGCACAACATGCCTCATGAGTAGATGAAACTGGAGAGTCTTCGTCAGAATCAAAAGCCAACTGAAGTCTATCAAACTATGAACTATGAACTATGAACTGTTGTTGTTGTAATACATCTGCTATGTTATTATGATCAGTATATCAAGATTCTTCAAAAGATTAATTGAACATCTGTAGATTAAGTTCAGAGCAGCATTGACTTTAATTTAAGATGGCCCTGAACCTACTTAAAAAAATAATTTTTAAATGTTCTAAAAATATCAATTAGATTTTGCTGATTGCAACAAACCGGTTTTTGAATTACAAGCACATGATAGGTATGCTATTGCAGTAAATATGCTTTGATAGTAACTTGCTGGGCACTAATTAGGCATTTGTCTCATGCCATCTTATAAGACGGACTTCCCGAACATTGCGCATTTTGAAGAGATAGACCTTTATAGGCTGTCACTAGTCATCACTCGAGTATTAGCAACAAAAGTGACTTACCTATATTCGACATGCCTTTCTCAGTAGTCTGAAACTTACTCTGAAAAGTTGAGGCGAAGACCATACAAAGAAATATTAAGTAGGACATAGTTTGATTGATGAACTTGGAGTATGGAAGCTCGAAAAGCCTTCTAAGTTTCCAGCATCTCTCTTGGTCATTTGATTTACAGCAGAGACAGCCTTTCAGTATAAGCCGCAAGGGAAGGTAGATGATAACACCCAAAGATATGATGAAAATATAGTGAAAGAGAAACCTCAGGGTCTTCACGGCCAGCCCTTTATCCTGCCACATGGGCCACTCACGGTAAACGATCTCATCAAGAATGAACTGGCATTTGGGGCTTGTTACGAACTGGTAAGAGAGAAAATCATAAATCATTAATGCAAATAACTGCACATCACTTAATCATTCAAACTATTTGTACTCTTATAATCCAGGTAATCTCAATATATGAAACACTAGAATTCTACACGATTACAGAAGCATTTTTGCTTACATCAATGTTGACATTTTGCTTATTAAGTATTCGAAGTTGCGAAGAAAAGGGATCACCTCCGAAGAAAATATATTTCAATTAAAAATGATTATTTTAATGAGTCATCTGTCCAATAATCAGTCCCTTATATGTTACATTGCATGGTAATAAAACTTTCAGAATTGGCAAGATCTCACACTCCATTTGGTTAAAGTGACCAATGCTCTTTAATTTTTACCATCCCAGCTTCAAACTTAAATTTCAAAATGGTTGAAACCGTGCACTGGTCTTTTAACATCTGGAGCAGTCATTTCCTATAGAACTAATTTTTTACCAGACACAACGAGCGTGCCTGTTTTTGCGCCATGTTGGTGTCACAGTTTGTGGGAATTCACAACAGACAAACGTTCCACGCAACGAAAACAAAGGCTGCTTTTATTTTGCCCCTAAGCGCAAACAAAGATAATGCAGAGGGATGCGATTGAATCTTGCTTCTAAGCTTACAATTCTCACCATTTTGCGCTGTGTATCAGCGGCCATCTTGAGAAGACTCAGACTCTCAGCGAAATTTTCGTGATTTCCGTTCAGTAAGGGGCCATCTCCCTTAATATCCATAATCTTGTAAAGCTTTCCTGAATCAGACGCGCGTATTTGCTCTACGATGTCAATGGCAAATTTCTCGCATTCCATTGCCCTCTGCCTGTACTCATCCCGGTCGTAGTCAATTTCGTTTGCAGCAATTTTTTCCAAAAGGCAAGCATTTTCGAGGGCAGCTTTAATGATATCCACAGTCTCTGTTTCATTCTCAGCCGATGATGTTTTGTGGAGCCATTCGAGACACATGTACAACGGGTTGGTCAGAATGTTGATCCAAGCTTTCTCGTGAACATTTTCGCCCGCTTCCGTCTCTTGGCCCTCATCGTCGCTTTGAAACGTGAGAATCCAGCTCAGTGAGTCCCTTAGGATCGTACAAAGTCCCTCTCCTTCTTTCCTTTTCACCTTTTCCGCAACCCGTAAGGCAGCAAGTTTCTTGATCTCGCTCTCCTCTGCATCAGCTATAAGTCGCCAGACTGCAACGACGTCACTCTTTCGGAGAGCTAGTTCGAGTTCCGTCAATAGATTTTGTTGTGTATCGTCCCCTCTCTGTTCCGCCTCAGTTATCGCCGTTTCATTCCCACTTAACAAGAAGTCATCTATCTCTTCGTTGTTGTTTTCTTGTATCTTTTTCAGAAATTCATCGAAATTGCCTCTGGTATTTCGTTCTGAGGATGTAGTCTCCGCCATATTTCTGCCAGCAATCGAGCAACGTAATGCTCTTTTTTTTAGACTGAGCGCGGCATTTCCTTTCTTTGAAAGGGGTCAACGGATATGTTTCACGTTGTTTACATGCTACAACGCGCTTATTGGCAGCCGGAAAATGTTCCAAACTGCTTATCTTTCAGTAATTTTAAACGCTCAAGCCAAACATTATCCCTATTGTTAAAAGAACCTTCAATGATTAGCTTGTTATCCAGAGTACCTTGACATTAACAGCAAGGGATAGAGAGCCTATTCGCGAAATGAATCCTGAGTTATATTACTTCCTAATTCCCTTAAAAAAAATACCTGGCACAGCGTTTTACATCACTTTATTATTCCCAGCTACTCAGTCGCAATGACATAAGGGTCATCCCTATTAAACTCATCAACTTAAAAAGTAAAATTAAGAAAATTTACATATGGTAATCGAAAAGCCAAAGAGGTGATTTAGCGAGGCACGGATAGGTAGTGAATTGTCTGCCCATCCAATGTAAAAGGAAAAGCGATGGAGTGTAATCTTTCAGTGGCCTTAGGATATCTATCACATTTAAAACCGAAGTTATCTCAAATCGCCCAGAAGTTTATCAGATATAAGCAACATAGCCTACATTCAGGAGAGCGTTGCCCTCAAAGCGTTTGATCAATGATGTAAGGATAATCGGTAGGACCCCGTCATGCGGCGTCAATTGAGCAAATGCTTCAGTTATGAGTTGCCTGACGTAGCTTGACGCTGCGTGATGTTTGTTTTTAAGTATATTTCAGATCATTCTAGAACCTTACATTGCATCACATTATCTAAGATTGCAATTTTAATTCTAATTGTTGAATAATTAGTAAGAAGAACTCGCAGAATTGGCAAAGGTTCGTACTTCTGAACAAGTATTTTGGTCCACGAGGGCGCTAAAATTTACTCTTTAACAATTTTTTCTATCAAATTAAATAAACGTTAACACCACTATTATGTGAGTCATCCACGTGAACTTTTGGTTTCACTACAAATTTCGTATTCTACAGTAATAAACAAATGTATTCACAAGTCATAAAATTTTGCGCCATGCGTAAAGTATTGTCACACTAGAGTATGTCACACAGGTTCTGTTCTATTTTTTATTAACGAAACGTGACATTTTACAGGTATTTGTCATTAGTTAATTGGGAGAAGTGTCCCATTATAATACTCTGCTTTTATGCGGGAACTGCTCTCCTGAAGTGAATACTTCCGCAAACCGTGACAACAACTGATAGATATTTCTTCTGAGGCGGAAAGAGTTCTATTAATATCCTTCTGAGAAATAGCGGAAGTCAACGGGCACTTTGCATGAGCAACGGAAAGTGAAACAATCTTGCCGTTGAAAGCTATTACAGATCTTAGCCTCTCTTAATCTTAAAAATTCGCGATATGTAATGGTATTTCTTTCACATTTACGATATCAGGGCAAGAATGTTTACCTAATGTTATCTTTCCAGCTGCTCTTGCGGAAGAAAATTCGATGCGGACGATGAATGGCTCGACGAAAGAAACTGCCGACACAGAAGCGTGCATATTCGAGTTAAGTTTTCGGATTCCCATATCCATTCTGTTTGTTGCGACATTTTTGCTGTCTTTATCCGAGAATGTTTTGGTGACCATCGTGATTAGCATCGACAAAAAACTACGCAGACCTTCAAATGGCTATCTTTTGAGTTTGGCGTTGACAGACATTAGTATCTCAATCGGATTGATACCACTAGAGATGACATATGTATGGTCGTACCCAAAGTGGCCACTTGGCTCCACAGGAACAAATTTTCTTAACTCTGTATGGCTATTCTCAATAGCAGGTTCTTTCATCACCCTGCTAGTTATCACAGTAGACCGCTACAGAGCAGTGATGTCCGTGGTACGATACAGGGATATTGCTTCATGGCGGAGAACATTTGTGATCGTTGGATTAGTCTGGATCTACGTTGTAACTATCGTAGTATTAATGGGTCTTTTTGCCTTTGAGCCAATCACGGAAGAAACATATGAATGGAACGTTAATTTCAAATTTTATTACGCGTTCTTGGCCATGCACATAGTTCTTCCACTGCTTTTGATTAGTGCATTTTACTACAAAATATACAAGAAGGCAGTGGAGAACCGACAACAACTCTTGTCACGCGGTCAGGTACATCCCGGAACTGCCACTAGTTCTGATACCGTCACGGAAACTAGACTTGAAGTTAAAATGGCAAAAACTGTTGCCTTTGTGTTTATGTTTCTGGTCATTGTGTGGATGCCAGTTTTAATTTTGGAAATTTTTTATGCTATCGGTAGTCAGTCCTGTGTTGTAGGACAACTTGGGGTTGTTAGTGTGTGGCTGACTTGTAGTAATGGCGTTATCAATCCTATAGTTTACTCTCTCAGGAACAAAGACTTCCACCGCTCCATGTTGCAGTTGATTCGATGCAAAAGACCCAGGTCCGCAAGCGCTTACAGGCTACCACATTAACCCCTTAACTCTCGTGAGTGACCAAGACATGATTTCTCCTTACAAAATTAACACTACATAAAAAAGAAAAGTTATAAGACTAAAGAAAAATTATCAATAATTGGAATATTAGTTGATCCAATACCAAATTCTCCAAAGTTACTTATTACGAATTGTAGGACAAACGGTAAGGAGAATTGCTTTTGAGATCTTTGGAGCGGAAGGGTTAATAATCCCAGTGCAATTCAGAAATACTTTTAGGAGTGTTTTTGTGGTTACAGTTATTATATTGAGGTGCGTGGGAAGTTTCGGTAGATTTCGTCAATTGTAGCAAACAGCAGAATTTAATAAAACCTCATTGGTCGCTTACTTTTACAAAATTGTAAATTAATTGATATTTTAATACGCAATTGTTGTTAGCGTTGGCAAAGAGACCCCTGATTATAGTCTAATTACGCCCCCAAGGATCAATTTTAGGTCCGATATTGTTTGTTTTGTTTATAAATTATCTCTCCAAGGTTTTAACTGAATGCCAAATTTTGATTCTCAAGGAATAGTGAACACTTTGACAAACGAATTGGCACTGGTAAATAAATGGCTCAAAGATAATGATTTGTTTATGCATAAGAGCAAAACGGAGTGTCTGTTATTTGGCATTGGCCCCAGGCTGGCACTTTCTACTTCTTTCTCTGTAGTTATTGATTAAAAAGCACTTAGTAGCGCTTCTGAGTATAAATATCTTGGAGTTGTTCTCGATGCATCGCTTACGTGGAATGCGCACGTTGAACACTTGATCGGTAAGGTTAGAAAGAGATTAGCAATATTAGCCCGACTCAGGAAAAACATAAACATGTACACGACAGGTACCGTTAATATTCACTAATATTTCTAGTCAATTTAGTTTTCATATATGTAGGGCCGCTATGGATAGCAGTCCTTATCTTGTGCAAAAACTGAAGGAGCTATCCTATTGAAATAAAGGTTTCTTACTTTATTAACAACGATACCTAATTAAATCCAGTCAACGGCTATGGTGTCCATTTCATACAAGTGATTACTGTGCTAAGCTTGCAGATATTCAAAACTGCATAATTAATCTCGACGAATTGACTAAAAGGCCCACATCCCGAAAATCAATTCAGTTTTATTCAAAGCAGTTCTGCTTAACAAGCAGCATTGTAAGTACGAAAACTCCCATTATGGCGTCAATGCTAAAGTAGAAGATAGAAAACGAACAATTAGGAAAATTGTCGACTATTATTTTATTGTTTGCTGACAAAGGAGGATCTTAGGATTTAAGGTCATTGTTTCCTCAAGGTTTCACAGGACCCACAGCAGACGATTTGCTTCGTTTTAACCCTCTTGATATATTC